GGGGGGGGGGGGGGGGGCAATAATTATAATAGAAACGAACGCAATGAATTCGCCTTCTCTCCCAATATGGGCTCGAATATTCTCATCAGAGGTTTGGACAGTTGATTCTCCAGATAGTATCTTGTATCAACTGGTATGTTGTTGTCAAGGACGTACAGCGGATCTTCCGACTTCTCGTATGCCGCAGCACCTGAAATACCAATGGGTCGGTGCTACGAAGGGAGAAAATCGGAGATAGCCTCCTACCTTTGATGCCCTTGACGATAACATACGCCACACGATCACCCAGAGCAGGAGCAGACCCTTGCAGCATATTACATGTGAATAATAACTAGGAGGGCATCAACTCAAGACAAACCGGCATCTCGTTGCTTCATTCGCTCAGCCAGTTCGACATGTGCTTGTTTACCTGCATAGTCTGGAAAAGATCCTTAGGTCAGGCATCCAGATGAGGAACATGACATTTACCGCTTTTCGCTAGTGCCTTCGTGATCACCAACTGCGACATATCGATTTTGTTTTGAAGCAAATCGGATATAGTGTGCTTAGTATACCTGAAGTATTATGTTATGAGCCACAATTTGATATCAGAAGACTGTTTGAACATACTCTTCAGCACCTCGAACATCACGGTCGATAAGCATTTTATGGAGGCACGTCTCGATGACAGTGGAGACTAGGCGACAGTTATCTCGACGCACAGTCTGGTCATAATGAGCTGTTGCAGACTGAGATAGACAAAGAGATCGCTGACCTCGATACCTTTGGAATCCATCTTGTCATACTTGTCTGGTCGCGTCCAATATAAACCAGCATAACGCTTTTTGCTGATGAGCAGGTAAGGAAAGTATACTTTCTCGAACTCAAGCTTGATAGGCTTGATGAATTTGGCGGTGACAAATTCAGCAGCCTCTGCACCTGTGAAAGCCTTTAACGCAAGCGGTAGAAAGGTACGATGGCGCTCGCACCTAATTCCATCACTTTGACTAGATCGGTAGGCCCAAATTTGACCATGACAGAATCTGTGTCACCGTAAATAACCTCCGCGTCGTGAGAATGACCATTCGCGACACTGTACTGTGCTTCTACCTCCTATATAATGATAATCATGTTCAGCCTATAATTCATAAGCAGGAGCAACGACCTTACCGATTTTGTTTTCTCGATCATTTGTCGACCATAAGACGTAACGCTAGACGAGATGGCTAAGCAAGGAAGCTTCCCAATGGTGGCACCAGTAAACCCGTAGACGGAATTGGCGCTGATCTTACACAGAGATCAGGATGACGGTCATCGCAGAAACAGTCCAGGGATAATATACCTTCAGGGCCAGCTGCCGTCCATCGAGCACAGCACGTTTAAATGGATCTGTCTCCTTTTTCAAGTCCGCTTTGGCGCGTTTACGAGCTGATATGAGATCTTCCAAAACGGTCGGAAGAAGACCTTTTCGTCGACTTGACTTGACAAATAGGTCTTGTGTGAGACGTTAGTACAGTGACTTGTTTACGACGAAGTCAATTACCATGGTTAGGTGTCCTGACATAGTCAACATCTTCAACTAGTTGGAGGCGCTCGACGGTGGTCTTGTCAAGCAGCGTCGTATAACATAAGTTGTGAGCCATCATGATTGAGGGGTACAAAGAACTGAAGTCGAGCGTGGCAATAGGTGCATCATAATAGCCTTTCTTCGGCTCGATAACCGTTGCACCCTCGTATTGGTCATCCGTACCTGCGAAGGAGATTAACAGAGGAGACCTCACTGAGTAAACATGAATACCTTCTCCTTTCAATGCTGGGACAACATATCCCTCCTCATTTGCTTTGCGGTACAGCTGTGACAACACTTTGATAGATTGACCGCGAGCCAACAGATAGTTGAAGGGGACTCCAGTCACCCTGGACATTTCAATGTAATTGACAAAGCACATAAGTTTATCCAAAAGACGTTGAGGAAGATATGCATCCTATCGTTACAGATGAAAAGAACGTGTCGTCGATGTCTAGCGCTAGGACACACCTTTAAACAGTAGACGGCAAGGCGTCGACGAGATTCCGGAGTACCATTTTGGAGTTCAGTGATCACAGAGTGGTGTACATCTTCCTTTTGCTCCCCCAGAAACTGCGCACAGACAGAATTCAGGGTATAACTACGTAGCTTGTGCTCGCGCTGCATGAACTGTAGAACATCGAGCTGTAGACGTCCATCCAAAGGCGTATCTTTAGAATCGCGCTGCCCGTAAGCCTTCGAAGAAAAGTGTGTGTTTACTGTTTTAGTTTCATTGTCTGTTACAGATGATAAGTAGCGATCATACTGAACGGTGACATCAGATCTCACACTTCAACCGTCCCAGGAACGGGAAATTTTTCAACTGCAACGCCTTGGCTCGGTCCAACAGATACGGGAAATCGAAACCTCCAATATTGTACCCGATCACCACATCCGGATCCACTTGCTCTACAAACTTGCGCCATTGCAGTAACAAGCTACTTTCATCTTTATGTTCGAGCACTTGAGAGCCGACAATAGGTGAACAGGAATTGAGGGTGAAGATGTTTCGTATGAAGGGTTTGGATTCGCCTCAATGGAGAAAGTGAGCAGCGTTGTCATAGCCTATGCTGAAACAAGCAAACCTTGGCGAGTAACCATGTTGGCTATCTGGATGACGGGATCAACGTTGGCTTCAGGAAAAATGCCTTTTCGACCAGCGCACTCTATATCAAAGCTGAGTATCCGAAGAGGCGCTACCTTAGACCAATCGCCTTCTGGTGCATGAGAAATGAAGGCATTCCACCTATTGCGTTGAATAAGAATAATAATATGAAGAGCGTGGTGGCAATGCGGCAGACCTCATGCTGATCTCTAACTGACAAAGCGATTTCTTTCCTTCATTGTTGATGATATTGTATTTTCCACAGGGAACTTCGATCCAGTTCATTCCAACGACCTGATACGCGTGGACTTTAAAAGTGCATGGAAACAGTGCAGAAGAAACCGAACCTTGGTGTCAATCATAAACCGAAGTGTATATGCTACGTTGCTTTCAAAAGTAGGTATCGCTTCACCGTCTTTTCTTACGAAGAGACCATTAAAGTCTACGCTGTTCTTTTCGAAGAGACGTGATCATCACCAAAATATAGTGAGCCAAGGGAAGGGTCTGTCACAGAGAAGAGACTTATCTCGAACTTTCGGTAGACTTCTAGGCTCGGTAATGGTAATCTTCAGGAAAGGTACCTGGTCATCACCTCGATAACCCCAAAGGCTTCGCCTCTTGATAATTTCAACCTTGATGACAACATCATAGCCAACTTGTGTCTAGAAAACAATCAGTCATGCCCACGGCTCTGTTTCCAGCAGAAGACTTGCATTTAAATATGACCCAAAGGCATCGAGATCGTCTTCGGCAAAGCCACGGGGTTGACCGACGTAGAAATAGGGCAGGAAATCAGTGACGTAGGCAAGAACACTATGTCCAGCCTACAGAGAACATCAGAAAAAAGTTCACCTAAAGATGCTGCAGCCTACTTCGGTGACCCCAAACATGCGCAGACAAATGGATCCCCCGTGGTTTGTCGAGTCGATGTCAATTTGCTGAAACACTATATGCGACGTAAATCCCTGCTTGGAGACAGGTGAGCACGATCTGCCCATACCCAGCTTATCTTTCTTTTCATTTATGAGTGGCAAAGCCGGTCTTGCCCAGCAGTCAGCGCCACCTTCGGCATCTTGTAGAAGCGCGGTCAATGGGAGCATATGTCATATGGGAGAATTTCGCACTAGGTGTGTCTCCAATATCCTCTTTAATCCGTTCGAGTACCTCGGTGAATGATGATTGTGCTGGCTGGGAGCCATAGGGAGAGCTTGATGCTAGTTTCCGTTTCTTCGAAGCGGGCCCTTGCTCGCCACCATGGCCTCTGAAAACGCGTGGTCAATGGAACGCGTCTTGGGAGGCGTAAGTGCGATAAGCATACCTAGGACGAGTTAGAGGCACGTTCTCCTTGATTACTGAAAGTGGCGCCATGCCTACGCGACGGAAGGGTGTAATGGAGAAAGATGGATAAGGTGTCGAAGACTCGGTGGTAAAGGAAGAGACAGAGAAACGCGTCTGAACAAGCGTTATGGATGACTAATTCATTTATTATGTAAGAAATATTTTATCCATGTTCCTAAAATCCAAAATCCCTTTGCCTTCTGTCTAATTTCGGCTCGATCATCTATGCTCTCAAAGATCTAGATTCAAATCCTTCAAAATGCGGATGGTATCTGAAGGACTGGTAACTGTGTGGCCAATAGTCCGGGAGTCGGCGAAGATTTCGTAGTCATTTCCTCCCTACACATAGGCGTCACTTGACGCTAAAATGTGCAAGTCTCAGATCTACCTTGTACGTCTTGTCTCCGAAGAAATGGATCTCTTCGAAGCCTTCATCTTCGACGTGACGAAGAGCATACGTCTTATCCCAGCCGCGGGGGAAAATATCAAAAGAGATTTGACCACCAATTGAATACGTCAGGTCATAATGGGCAAACTTCTCCTGGAGGACCTTAACAAATGCGGCTCGTAGGCCGTGAATCTGGAGAAAACTTAGCCATGCGCATGGAGGTACCGAAACTTCATACCTTGTCATAGGCTTCGAATTCATTACGCTCCTCTTTCCTACGCAGCCGTGAGGAACTATAATACAAGGCGGATGATATGACATACGTGGCATTGCGTCCAATAGGACTGACGTTGATCATGCCTTTTCGGAATTCAACAAAAGTACCACTGGAATATAGAAAAGTTAATAGAAGCGTACTACCACAAATAGGGTGCTAGTGACCGTTTCACCGGAACGTCCATATCAGCGAGATAGTGGAGAATAAAGTTTACGAGCTTCTTGTAATTGTCTTCGCCGACATACTTGATGAATGACTGAGACTGAAGTGCACTTCCCAACTTGTAAGCGGTCAGACCGTTTTCAGCAAAGGCATAGTCAAAGTCTTCGACAACTGGCTTTGATCATTAGAGAAGAAAGGAGGCCGTAGAGGACACACACCATTACTTCCATCGACAGACAACTGTTCTGATATTTTGGCTAGATCAGATCCTCCGACGAAACCAATGACAATTTTTGTCCTGAGCTCGCGCAAGACTTGAATCATCTCGGGTGAGGCAGCCTGGAGGCAAGTCAGTCAGTAACAAGAAACCAGATGACTTCCATACTTGTCGAGCAGGAGTGAGCGTTCCATCGACATCGAACAGAAGAAGTTTCTTGAGTGGTCTATCCGCAAAAACTGAAGAAACCATGTTGTAGGAATCTGATCAGACACGTTCACTTGAAGAATTAGAATTTGAAATCTAAATCGATATGCGGCTATTCGTGCCGTCGGATCCGGTGTGCTTTGACTCTGCTCTGGCTCTGACTCTGATCATACTCATAAGTATCCTGATTTGTTAGACGTGCTCGAATATCCCCTCAAGGGATGCAGAAGTTCTACGTTTTCTCCCTTCCTACGGAGCTCCTTGACACTCTTACGCCCAGAAATCTCGTCAATCAACAGCCACAGAGGCGAACACCTTCGTTCACGCCGCCTGCTGAACCTACATTGACCAGCTCTCGAGCCTGTAACATATGTAATGGCTCTACGTTTCTCGATGTTGCTGAACAGAGAAGCCATTATCGATCTGATTGGCATCGATACAACGTCAAAATTCGCCTTGGTGGTGGTTCGGCTGTAAACGAGTCGGAATTTGCTCAGTTAATAGATGGTAAGCTTTTTAGTGAATTATTTATCCTCTCTTTGAACATTTATAGCCCTCGATGACTCGATATCGGGGTCTGAGTCCTCATCTGATGAAAATGACTCTGAAGATTCCGATGCCGTTGCTGCTCTCGTCGGGAAAACAAAACGCGTTATTCGTTCTCAGTCCCCAGAGTCCGTTGCTCGTTCAACTCCTCAGACTGCCTTAGCTTGGTTCCATTCACCACCTGCAACACAGATTGGCGTCTATCGAACCTTGTTTCCACCGACATCCCATTATCTGGAGGAACTAAAGACAATGCAATCGTCGGTACAAGGTAGAACGTGGACTTTGTTTATGGTTGCCGGTGGTCACTTTGCTGGTGCGGTCGTGCGTGTCAGCAGATCAGACGCGGACAAAAAGGAGAAGGCAGAAGCATTCCAGGGAAAGAAAAAGCCAAAACACCCGAAGCCCGAAATAGAGGTCTTGAAGCACAAGACATTCCACCGATATACCAGTTCGTATTCCTTTTTGTTTTCTTGCTGCTTCTTCTGACTCCCTTCAGCGCGTCGGAAACAAGGAGGATCGCAATCTCTCAACGACAATGCCAAGGGCAATGCAAAGAGTGCCGGTGCTTTGCTCCGCCGATACGGTGAACAAGCTTTGCGGGATGTGAGTACTATCAGGCTATGATATCTAGTCACGCCGACAGTAATTACAGGACATCCGCAATTTGATGGACGACTGGCGAGAAGAGATTAATGACTGCGAAAGGATCTGGATCCGGGCTAGTGGGTCTAATCGCAAAATTTTCATGGATTATGATGGTTCCATCATCAGCAAGGGTGATGCTCGTCTCCGTACATTTCCTTTTCCAACACGTCGCCCCGTAAGTCGCTACGTCATTTAAAGAACCCGACATGCTCAAACAGTCCGCTCAGACTCAAGCCGAACTTATACGGTGTTTGAACGAACTGACGGTAGCGAAAGTATCACACCTTACGGAAGAAGCCTTATGTGCACAGGATGAAGAATATTTAGCCAGCCTTCCGAAACCTAAACCAACTCCCGCTGTTGCAGCGCCCAAAGAACCCTCGGAGAAAGTAAAGGCTCCACAGCTTTCGAAGGAAGAGGAGTCATTTCGCGACAAGTGGTTCCGGATTGCAGAGATGATACGGAAGGGCAGGCTTGAACCGCTGAAGGCTTTCTGGGAACGTGAGGGCACGGGCATGGGAGGCATTGATGCGTCAATTCCGGAGTGGGCTAATGAGCGGTGGAGCACTCTTCTCCAGCTCGCAGTACATGCCGAGCAAGAAGATATCGTACATTGGCTTCTCGAGGATATGAGAGCAGACCCCACGATACAAGTACCTGCTGGGAAAAATGGCGAAATCCCTGAGGACGTAGAATCTACCGGCAGGATTACCGGTCGCACAGCCTATGATCTTGCGCAAACGCGGACCATCAGGGACGTGTTTCGTCGCTCGGCTGGACTTCATCCTGAACGGTGGGATTGGTTCGGTGCTGCTCGAGTTCCGAGCGCTCTGAGTAAGGAAATGGAGGATGATCGGGAAGAAAAGAAGAAAAGCCGCAGAAAGGCTCTAAAGGATCGAGTCAAGGAGCGGGAAACCAGGGAAAAGGATAAGCAGGTGGAACCGCCATTTGTCGCGTCTGATGTTCCATTGGCGCCATCGGTTAGGGCCGATGTTCCTTCAGGTCCTAGAAAGCTGGGAGGTACGGCTGGTTCATCAGAAGCTACGACTGGTTTAAACTCAGAGATGCGGACTATAGTCGAGCGTGAGAGGCGTGCCAGAGCCGCGGAGGCTCGTCTGAAGGCGTTCTCGAAATAAATTTAGGGACGAAGATACTATACCACTTTATTTCGAGCGTACTGAGCAGAATCAAAAAACCACTTCAACGAAGAGAGTTTGACAGTCCAAATGTTTGTAGGTTACAACAGTTGGTACGGCTCCGAGATAGATAAACATTGAAGTCATGATGATTCACGACATTGAGTTACAAAGTTGTTGGAAAGTCAATCTTTGTAGAAATCCTATTTTGGTCCTTGAACCTTACGTTCATCTTCGGTCAGCATCATGTTCTCGTTCCAATCGCAGGTGGCAACATCGAGTAGTGGCGACGATTCGGAAAAGTTCGTTTTGATATTGGTGGGCTTGATTGGTTCCGGAAAGGTATCATATCAGTCCCCCCATTGCCGTCTTTGTTGCAAGTTGTGCTAGCCAGTATTCTAGAGCACATTTGCTCAAGCTCTGCAAGATCATTTCCCTCACATTCGCCGATGTAACCAAGATGATCTTGGTAGTCGGAAGATGGTCGAGCAGCTCGCGCGGGGATTCTCTTCGCCAGGGACTATCCGTGTGCGTCGATCGCACCAATTTCAATGAAGCGTGAGTTACGGCCTGTCATAGTAGATACCAACTGATGTCTCGGGCCTTAGGCAAAGAAAATATTGGATCCAAATAGCCCTGGAATTCCCCGGAACTCTGATCTGGGTTATTGTTTTCGATACCCCCTATGAGGTGAGCATGCACCACAATTGTGGTGCCCGTTCTTACTTGCATTCGGCCCTCAACTCAATTGGGATGCTGCTCACAGGTCTGCGTCTCCCGGCTCAGAGAACGTAAGTTCGATTCTTGTCATGTGTATGTAACAATGTCAATCACCCCATCCGCCTTTTTCAATAGGAAAATTCCATCCGACTATTAAGACGCCCGAGCAAGCGCTCGATGTGCTTGCACGCTTCGCGTCCGACTTCGTACCCCCCAATGAGCCACGAAGGTTACCACCGTTGCCTGTATTTTTCTCCGTCAGACCATCCGTCACCCACCTACTCTGAAACTGACATCAGCGCCATTCTCCAAAAGGTTCGGAATTCTGTGCCTGCATCTCCCTCGGTTTCGGCACAATCCCCTACCTTCAGTACCTTCATTTCCAAAACTCCTCGAGGCTCGCGTCCCTTTCCTGCTTTTTCCAATCGGAACCGGTCGCGGCGGTTATAGGCGTTACAACTATAACTTAAACCTGGCCCACTTTGGTAGTAATAGTGGTCGTAGTCAGCGTGGATCGTCAAACGGGGACTACGTAGACGCTGAGACGGCAGCACAGGACCGTGAAGTCATCAGGGATCTGCACAGTCAATCCAATGTCACTGAACCTGCAGGGCCTCTGACCTAGAAGACCGTAACCATGAGGTCCCTTCGGCTATGGAGGGCTCTTCTAATTGGACAGGAGGGACTCCACAAAATCTATTCACGCGCCTTCCTGGACAACGAATGATTTTATGTAAAAGCAATACTTGCAATAATGAGAAACTATGCTATGACCAGTCACAGTTGTCTCGGCCTGAAGCTTATTGGCTTCCTCCTACGATTATAACCATATGCGCAGGCGATGCCTTTCTTGTCGACCACCAGTCCGCGAAGCGCTTGGGTTGCCACCAAAACAACGCCCACGTTAAAGACAAGAAAATCTGTCATTTAAGGCTCAGGTTTTTCCGAGTCCTCAGCGGCTTTCAGGCGTTGGCCAAGTATTTTTGCACTGACCTGAAACGACTATTCAATTGTTTCACAAGAGCTGGAAGCAAGATGGTATACATTACGGATATGCATTGCCGCACGCTCAACTCCGAAGTCTCTACTACGCTGATATTGTTCAAGGGCCGCTTCAAGTTGCCCAGCTAATGCGTTCCAGTTAATTATAGTCACAAAAGGTCAAAGAGAAGGGGGAAAAGCTTACTAGCTTCGAGAACCGCCGCGAGATTGAATGCAATTTCAGGGTCTTCCGGCGAGAGCGAGGATGCAATACTGTATGATCAGATGTCGTTAAAACTCTGAACAAAAAAAGATGAACGTATTCGACGTGCTGTAAATGGTGTAATGCAAGGTCTGGCCGAGGAACTGGAGAAATAATATATGCACTAGCCAAGTCTACTCGTAACCGGTGGCGGTCAGACAAGGGGAAGAGGTTAGGATGACATTACACACTGGTATGGGTGTCCGGACTGGCTGGCTGAAGGGCTATGGATTCCTTCCATACGGCAATGGCTTCATCAAACTCCTCTGTCGAAATGAGATGAGCTTGGTCCACATACACAAAAGTGTGACCAACTGAGATGATAATGGGTAACGCCCAGATTGAAAAGGGAGCTGGCATTTCGTTTGATGTCGGCACTCCGCTTATAAAGATTCTTTGCAGCCTCAAGATCGCCCTCCTCAAGTTTCAGAGTTCCCTGTTCGAGACAACGGGAAGCTTCGACTTCTGCTGGATCTGTCGCCGTAGAGTGTGGGGTCGTAGACGTTGCCCAGCCTGTAGGAGTGTGTGTTCATAGTCTGCATCAAGATACACCCACAGAATAACTTACGCCTCGATATTCCACGAAAACCCGAAGACCTGGATTCAGGAGATGTCCGTTTGGAAGCAGCAATTGGCCGAGTACACAAAAGAGATGCTCTGTATGACTGTAAAACAAGTTTCTGGATATTGAGCCAAGAAACCGAACGCCTGCACAACGACATGAGGGATACGGTTTGACTTCCTGCTTTGAACAATTAGAGTCGAGACAGAAATGGCAACTAAGATCACGTGCGATGATCGCGGTCCTTGAAAAAATTTGAGCCGACTGCCGATCAGTTCAGCTTGGATTCAAGCCACATCCAGCTTGTTCCGACCGCCCCCTTCCCCCTACCGTCGCCATGTCATCGTCATCCCAGGTTTCGTCTTCGAGTAATCCAACAGACTATCTGCGGAATGCAACGTTTTCTCAGTCCCAGGATTCGTCCTCGTCGTCGTCTGGTGGTGCTCTAACTGCCTCTGACTTGCTAATGGGCGCGTATGACCCAGCAAAGCTTCACCCGCTCGCCGAGTTTGGTGACAAATTAGATTATCTTCTTCTCGAGGATGAAAAGACAAATGATATCCCTGGTGCTGGTACTGCTGTTCCCTCTAGGGGTTTCAGTGATGATCTCTGTTATGGAACTGGGACCATGTATCTCGGTGGTGCGTAAGATCTCTTTCATATTACCACTTTTGCTTTCCCTTTCTCGCTTTGGGCCTCATTTTACTCCCTGAATACACTCTCACCTTATCTCGACATCTCGGGTGTCCCATCTTTAGTCCTCTTATTGTTTTTCTCCGTCACATGCTCACCCTGGTTTACCAAGGTCTGGCCCTTGGTGGTTTGTGGGGCATGCGCGAAGGCGCTCGAAGACCGCTTGCTGTGTCAAACACCAGGCTGCGGATCAACAGTATCCTCAACTCCGTGACTCGACGAGGCACATTTATTGGTAACTCGGCTGGTGTCCTCGGTCCGTCCTATCAATCTACCGATATCATCTCGTACTCATACACTTCTCCCTGTATAGCCCTCGTGTATAATGGAGTTAATTGTTCCATTGACGCTATGAGAGGAAAGCACGATATTCTCGGAAGCATGGGAGCTGGTGGAATTACGGGAGTCCTCTACAAGTCTACGGGTACGCACTTTACGTTCTGAGACCCATTTCTCCGTGATATTCACACCTTTCATCTTCCATAGCCGGAGTAAAGCCCGCTCTCTCAGCAGCAATTTTCATGTCCGGGGTAGCAGGAATTTGGAGTTATGTCAAAAAGATCGTTTAATCGACACGTTATGTATTGTCTAATACTAATCCCACTTCTCTGGACCTGGCGCTTGATGGTATCTGTGAGCGGGTTCTATGGAATTTTACATGAGACCCGACTGATGTTAGCCATTCAAAATCATCTGTTCCAGCTAGATGGCGGCATATCCTTTGCCATATCAGGGCCCCTGATCTGACATACTTCCAGAACGTTAGGTGATCTCTACAACCTCGTTTTATTTCCCTCGTTGGCATTGGACGTCATCCCTTGGGCAAACACTATAAATCATTGTTGTCTGGCCACGACATCTGATTCCACTGTTCATTGCCACGTACTTGAGTTACGGGGCAGTTTACAATGCTTGATCTTTCCGCATCTTTCTGCCTCTTGCCGTTTCATTCTCTTTATGACTTCCCTCTCAGTGATGAGCGTCATGACAAACATTCTGGTTTCCAATGCGGTCGTTCGTTCTCCACCGATTTCCCTCGTACGCGGTTGGGATACGGTCGACAGCGCCACCGCAAGATTAGGGTATGCATTCAAATACGTCGCTTGCGTTGAATTTGAACTGACCTGTATCACCCGCTAGTTCCGTCTTAATACCGTTGTCTATTACAAAAACAAACGCTCATTTTCAAGGACATGTGCTTTACGACTCAAGGTCAAAGGCGTCGCCTCACGACAGCTTTCGCAGTCACGCCAATCTCCGCATTCAACGCGCGTCTGTAGAGAAAGTATTGACTCTTCGCCCACTCCACAATCTTTTAGCAGTCAAATCTATTCGCAAAATTTATCCCAGTCTTCTTCCGCTTCCTCTGGGCGCAGGTCTGCATCAGAATATCCTCCTCCACATTTCGTTCGGAGGCAGCCACGGATTCAAGTCTCGTCTCTATTATCTGAATCATATACTCCGTACGTACGAAAACATTCAATAAGTTCATGATCCGTTGATATACCGTCCAACAATATAGAACCTACCAGCTTGAGGTTGTTCAACAGCCGCAGAAAACAGCCGAGTTTCGGAATGCCAGCCTTTCCCGGCTACCGCTCACCCCACCACTAGTTGCTAGACTTGTAGTAAGAGATCCTTCAGGCAATCCGGTCATTCCGTACGTGTCACTGCATCGCCGCGTATATAATACTGACTGATGTCCTGTGCCCAACAGCCAGGCAGAACTCCCATTTCTCATTGCCCACTTGTCGCTGTACACGGACAACGGGCTTACGCGCATGGATGTTGGCTACACGATGGGCCAAGGACCACCTCTGTTGTATGGGAATTTAGTTTCGTCTCTAGACATTCTAGAAGACCTTCAGGGAAACACGGGTCTGTTCTTTATATTTCCTGATGTGAGTATACGGTGGTGCGGACGTTTCCAACTTGGTATATCTCTGTTGCGAATTTCTAGGCTAGTACTCTTCACCTTTCGGCTACGTAACTTTACTCATTAGTATCAGCCCTTTCAGTACAGACTCGTCTGGTAATATCAGCTTGGCTGAGCAAGGCACCGTACTTGCCGAGACACGGACTCTTCCATTTGATGTACTACCACAGGATCAGTATACAGCAGTCCGTGTGTTCTTTCCCTCTCGTTAATGCCTCTGTTCCCGCCACTGACTTGGCCCTTTCCAGCGCAAACAAGACTAACGCAATCCTTTCTTCGGCAAGGCGCCAGGATGTTTTCATTTTTGCCACAGTCAAACCCATAAACACGACCAATCCTTCGTTCTTCCCCGACGCATGTTTTTAAAAAATTTCGCCTTCGTTATACATCAACGGGCCCGGCTTAGGGATTTACTTTTTTTAGACTTGCAAACCCGAGCAATATGCTTATAGCCTTCGTCTTCAGTATCTTCAAATGGAGTTCATTATTCCTTTGCCGTTGGCACGACACAGCATTAAGCTATTTTTGCCGACCTTTGAGATCCAGAGACATCCGAAAAAAACTTTAGTAAAGAACTGATCGTGCCCGGGTTGCATCGCTTTCACTGCGGGGGCACGTGGCGGATGAGTACATAAGATCCTCCCACATCTTTACTTCCATCGTCTACCTTCATGTCCGCCAACGACTACTACGGCTCTGGAAAGCCTCAGCAATACTATCCCCCTCCACAAGGTATGCCTCCCGTTCAACTTGAAACTGAGTGCCCCTGTGGAACATCATGCCACTCGTCAACCGCCACGAAGGAACGTTATTGATACCATGCTGACTTGACATATTCCTTGTAGGTCCACCGCAGGGACAGGGCGGCTATTATCCGCAGGTTCGTCTTGTTACCGTCTTACCGCAAAGACAGCTATTCATAAGCGACTCAGCAACCTCAGCAGTCTTACCAGGGCTACCCCCAGCAAGGCTATCCTCAGCAAGGCGGCTACGGTGGAGGGTATCAGCCCCAACCACAGCCTCAGACAGTTATAGTGTTTGTCGTTTTCTTGAGACAGCGTTTCTGGCTGGACTGACTGGTTTATGCAGACAACAGCCCGAAAAAGGCGGAGGTGGAGGTGGAGGTGGATGCATGGCTTGCCTGGCTGGTATGTGCCTGTGTTGCTGCGCTGAAGGTTCGTCAGCGGTATCCTGCAAGTAATCAAAACTGAATGTGTTGCAGAGCTTTGCGAGTGCTTGTTTTAATCGAGCAGCAGCAACAGACACTATCCTTCTCTTTCCCCTTAAGCGCGACATGCGGTATTTCTCCATTTTGTTCTTCTATTTCGTCTTTATATATGTCTCTTAACTCCGTACATGTATCAGTTGTACTGCATATATCGAACAAGTATTTGTTCATTGTGAAATTCCCTGCACAGGAATCGTCAGATATTTTTTGTCTTCCGCTGGCGGTCGGCTAGGCGTTCAATGCGGAGACAATGATTGGTCCACGGCCCTGTTCCGCCTAGTTCCGAAGCCGTGAGCCGTGACCGTGACGAGGTTCATCTACGTTCTTTCCTCCAAAATCCTGACATTGAAAATGCTATCAAGGCTACCCGCTGGGGCCTTCAGGAATGCTGGGGCCTTTAGAGCTTCACGTTTGACGTTGCAGGCGGGCTCACGGTCTTCTGCGGTATGAATATTACTTTTTGATACTGAAATGACATCCCAACGCCCCTCAGGTCCGCTTCGCCTCCACGCATGCTGGTTCCAGTTCAAGTGCATTCGAGGTCGGTATTTCCATTGTTATTTCTTGTTTCTGGCCGTACTCTAACTTGTCGTAGGCATTCATGAACTCTCGCGTCACCCTCGCGTCGGCAACTCTCTTCACCGCGGGCACCATTGCCTGGTATACCCATCTCTACGGTTCTCTCCCTTTTATTGGCGAGGCCCATGCTAGTCACCTCAGTGATGCTGGTCTTCACCCTCCTGCCTACCCATGGGATCACAAGGGCTTTTTCGACACGTTTGACCACGCCAGGTATTCCGGTTTTGCCCGTCATTTGCGCGCCCATTTGACTTGAACCTCGTTCTCCAGCATTCGACGAGGCTATCAAGTGTACCGTGAAGTTTGCGCCGCTTGCCATTCCCTTGACCGCATTGCCTGGCGAAACCTTGTGGGGGTGTCACACACTGTCGATGAAGTACGTGCCTTGGCAGAAGAGGTTGAATACCAAGATGGTCCCAATGACGAGGGAGAGATGTTTATGCGCCCAGGAAAGCTGGCGGACTACATGCCTCCTCCCTACCCCAACGAAGAAGCTGCTCGGACCGGAAACGCAGGTGCATTGCCCCCAGACCTTAGTTTGATTGTCAAGGCTCGCCATGGCGGTGCTGTGAGTGTATCTGCATTCATCCTGATGTGCTCTGCTCACCCACATTCTAGGACTACATCTTCTCGTTGTTGACCGGATACGTCGATGCTCCCGCCGGTGTTGAAATTCGTGAAGGGATGAACTACAATCCGTTCTTCCCTGGCGGTGCTATCTCCATGGCTCGAGTATTATTTGATGGTATTGTTGAGTATGATGACGGTATGTTGCATTCAATGGTCAGTTGACAGTATTTGACGCCTTGTTACAGGTACCCCCGCTACCACGTCGCAGATGGCAAAAGATGTTACGATCTTCTTGAACTGGGCGGCTGAGCCGGAACATGACGAGAGGAAGAAATATGGAATCAAGGCTGTTGTCTTGTTCTCCGCTCTGTTCGCCCTCAGCGTCTACGTCAAGCGCTTCAAATGGACTACAATTAAAAACAGGAAGATCTGTAAGTTTCCACGACTTTAATTATCACGTTTGGCTCACTGTGCTCGTCCAGTTTACGACCCTCCTGTAGACAAGGGCCATTAAATACTCTGTAGCCAAGTGTACTGTAGATAAGATGATCCTCAATAATTAGTCACTTGCACATGGGAATCATTGAATTTGCTCATGTTTGGAGCATAAGCCTGATTGTCATCGACCGGTGCACTTGTCCGTCAGCGTCTGAACGTAACTCTCACCACATTTCTCATTTCTTCCTCTCGCTAGAGCTTTGCGTATTCGTAATGTCGTCCGCTTCATGGCCTCCACAACTCAAGTATGTATGAGACTCTTTCTTACGGCTCTCGTTAACCTCGAACCGCAGAGAGTGGGTCGCCAAATGCCTAGGTCAAATGACAGATACCAACAGAGTGGAAGCCCAAGAAGAATTAAGAAAGGTAATTGCTGATGCTTTCGCGGCACAAACGCTCTGGACGACGGACTGGGCTGGGATACAATTGCAAAGGTCTTCCAAGTCCCATATTTCTTTCCTGCCACATTATCCATTTATGCTCTGCTTCTCCTCCCTGTAGTTTGCTCCCCAAGCAGCCTATACTGAAGCGCAAGAGGTGTGTAATCTACCTGTGCCTCTGAGGTGAACACGTCAGTCGAACCTCCCTCAGTAACGACCTGCCTACATCCAACAAAAAGGCCAAGAAGTCTGCGCTCAAGCAAGCCTCAAATCATACTTCGGATTTCAACAATCCCACGGCCTTGAACCGACGTGCACAACGCTTCCAACGGGAACATGAAATAGAACGACAGAAGTCACTGGGTGGCAATGCTTCTCTCAAAGCAAATCAACAGTATGCTCATCTAAGCGACCGACCAACGACTCGCCCATCTTCGCCTTATGTCAACCCCGCTGATGATCCCGATGCCGACCCAGTGTGTAGACACCTCCAGCTAGCATTCGTCATGGACCTAACTTCCATGTCAGAACGTGATTGACTGGGACCGGTACACAATAGTTGGAAGCTCACAAGAGCTGTTCAAGGACTATTTGAGGTTAACTTCGGTGCGTACCGAGCCCATCTTTCTCCAGCATCTAATGCACTCTTTCAGGAACCCAAACCGGAGCAAATACGGCCTTACGCTGTCCTCCAACAAACTCTTTTGGAACTCAAGAAGCGGTGGCGAGAAAAATGCTCATATAGTTGGATATGTAATCAGTTCAAGAGTCTTCGACAGGATCTAACGGTGTGTGTCTTATTGTCCCCACCATTATGGTCTGGCGTGTTTCCCTACATTTGACTCTGCGCAGGTCCAGCGAATAAAAAACGACTTTACCGTTCAAGTCTACGAAATACACGCACGAATGGCTCTGGAAAGCGTGCGTTGCTCCTTCTCAAAGCTTACACGTTGTCTTGATTTCGCGACGCTCCAGAACGATATGGTTGAGTTCAACCAATGTCAAGCCACGTTGAAGACACTATATGAATTAGGAATACCGGGCAAACAAGAGGAATTTACCGCTTACCGCATCCTTATGTTGCTGCATGGTCGCAACAGAAGTGGTCCGTATCGTTTCCTCGGGACCATAAACAACCTCTGACGTTGTTACAGAATTGAATCTTTACGTAGGTCAGCTAACACCCCGACAGAAATCAGATTCCGCCGTCAGGCATGCACTGGATGTGCAGAAGTCTTTGGCTATGGGGAACTACCATGCTCTGTTCAAATTGTACATGAATGCCCCGAATATGGGTGGATACATCATGGATCATTTGATAGGTCGAGAGCGGGCCAAGGCTCTTATGATCATGACCAAAGCGTAAGCCTTCATTCCTTGTCTGAGATCTATTATTGAACGGTATAAATAGCTACAAAACTCTTCCCTTGAGTTTTATACATAGCGAACTCGCATTTGATGACATTGAATCCGCACGCGACTTTCTTACTGAACATTCCTCGTCTTTTTTCACCAACCCCAATAGTCCCGACACAGAGAAGATTCTCGATTGTAGGCCTGTCTTGCCCAATCTGACCCAGGCTTACGAGGAGAAGTATCGAAAAGTCGGCATCAGGGGGGCAATATGATTTTCCTTTTTCCATCTCCTATCATTTATCCTTATTGCTTTCGACCTTTTTTTCCTTCGTCATGGCAACATCCCACTGGCAATACTACCTTTCTATTGCAGGCATCACGCATCATTCGTCCATGTCAAGATAGTCATGGCAGGTCTATTATTGTTGGGCGGTGACGAGTACGGTGTAATATCATGCATGTATGCAGCATTGCTTTGTAGATATGAATGAAAAACATCAATCACGCATTCTCGCTGGAATGAATCTGCGCACGACGACCTCCCTAACGGAGTAATGCGAAAAGCAAGCAGGAGATTTCAGCACGTCTGAAGATAGTCGTGATCGTGCCGGTATGGTCACGTAAGCAAGCATGAGTGTCTGAAAGAAATCAACATAATACTTCTTGATGAATGATTATCGTACCTTTTGCACTTGAGTGTTGGCACGGTTGATCGTGCTGAGCCAGGACCATGCAAAAGGTGACGCATTTTGGACATTGAGTACTGAGTTTCCTTGATCTGCAGGATCTTCGTAAACGGGACAGACGACCACAGAAAACCTGGGAGTAGACTTAGTGAGGGCTTCATCTAGGATCGCAGACTTACTCCGCATGAGAGAAAACGGGACCCCGTTTATACAGAAGATAATCGACACAAAACTTGGTGCCTCCTCTGACGACCCAGCCGAGAGAGCGATAGTAATGATACACAACATAGTTAATTAGAAACGGATTGTCGAACTGAAGTGGCTGTACTGGGGCATTGGGTACGGGAGGGAACAGATGCACCTGTTGGAACGTATTCCATATTTGCCCCAGACTCATGGGTTCGTACTGGATAAAGAGATATTTGCATTGAGAAGCATGGATAAGATACAGAGTAGCTAACCGTATCAGGATTCAACACAGTGAGACAATCAAAATTCCATATGAGAAAAAAGGCTTCGGGCAGAGTTAGTTGGAGATGCTCAACGTCCTCCAGCTCTTCTTCATCTATATCTTGGGGTGATGACAACAGAAGGGAAGGAAGTGGTTCATCTGTTGTAGGGGTTGGTTTCCATGTCGCCGCGGAGGGAATATTGGGTCCAGAAAGAGCAGGAGTGATGACGCGTCCTTCGGATTCAAAGATGGCCTCTGCCTCTGCGGCTACGGCAGCAATTGCATGCGCACGGTCTAACTTGAATTGCTTTCGTTCCGCTCGTCGCCTTTCACGGATCTCCTCAGATGTAATCTCTGCAGCATTTTTAGAGAGTGTAGGTCCAGGGAGATATAGCACTTACGTTTTCCTTGCAAAGTCTTCTGTCGGGCGAGCCAGCTGGGTTCACTTCGTGACAGGTTGCCCTTGCCAAAGAAACCCCGTCTCCAAAGGAGCAAAGCATCAGAATAATTTGTCACCCAGACGGAGCAAGTGGTAGGGTCGAAAATAGCATTGCAGTGAGGCGTCTGAACTCTGGCGAGAGATAGACCGAGAAGGTTGAGCAGAGAGCGTATTGGCTTTGGAGAATCGTCGGTGAATAGAATGGGTAAGGGATTCGAGTAAATCCTGTTGTTGTCATTTCGGCGGCCTCCTCCTTTGAAGGGGCCTTTGGAACGTCCAGACGGCATAATACGGAGCTGCTCTGCCAAGTTTGTGACTCCAATAAGCAAGTCAAATATGCGCAAATACACCGGTCCGGAGTCCCGTCGAATCCGGGTGATGATCAGCCAATGATAGTCCCTGCAATCAGTAAGCCAGGGCACAAGTCGCAAGGATACAGAAGAATGAGGTGCTCTTTGACAATATAATGAATGGCTTGGGTGTACTTTCTATCAGCAGCGTCAGCTAGGAATTCGGAATTCCAAGGCATCTTCCACCGGGATGTCCATGATTTCTCCAAACAATCACAAAGGTATGAGGTGCTTCATGCGACAACATGATTTTTTCAGGATGCCGATTCTGCTTTTCCTTGGCCTTGTACGACCGACCATCACTCCCGTTTTCTGAACTGTACGTTGCTCTGTGACAGACATTGAGTATCTTTACTGACGAGCTTTCGTAGACCATCATGACCAGCTCCGTTGCTCGGATCGCCTACTTGGCGTCCGACACCCTGGTGGACCTTCAGCTACCGTCGCCAAATACTTCACTCTCTGCTCAGACCTTTACATCTTTATCAACTATCTCCAGACAGAGACCGGCCATCGTATCAGTCCCCTCCGGCGGTGATCCAGTAGCGTACATTATCCGAAACGCCACCGCTTCTCTCATCTCCTTTACTGCATCAGCAAGCCCACGGACGATTACTAATGTCATCCTTCGGATATCGGAGTTGTCTTCTCTACCACTTGTCCTCCACTTTGCCCTCGATGGCGACCTCTCTGACGTCCTTCTTCTCCGGTCCGCCATTCCGTACTTCCTGCTTTCCACGACAGCCCAACAAGCCCATGACAATGCCCTCCTGGCATCCAAGCTAGCCCGGACAGAGAAAAAGGCCATTGTTCATGCTTACTATTCAAGCGTCGTGGACGTAGCACAGGAAGTCCAGGAGGACCAAGTCGTCCCATTCCTTCTCGACAACAGACTTTCTAAGCACTCTCCGACTGCCAGCAATGGGCATGCGTATGCCGCCAATGGAAATGGTGTTAATGGACATGCAAATGGTGTCAACGGTACAAACGGCCATTCAAACAGCGATGCAAATGGTCGTTCAAACAGTCATTCCGACGAGTTTACGGACAACTCGGTCGTAAACGATCTTTTCAAAGCATATGAGATCATAGCTTTGAGTACCGTGTCCCTCGTTCGTCGGCCCCTGAGGCACCTCGTCTCCCAGGGTACGAGTAATGCAGAGACGGTCATTTTCACTTTGGGTCGTGAATTGCCCATTGTCGCTCAGGGCGTGTCCATTATATTCGTATCTCTCGTAACTCCTCTCCCTCCCTCGCGTATAATCGCGGCCATTCCTTCTACAACAAAGAGAGTCATCGTTTTGGAGCACATTTCAAAATGGTCGATGAAATGGACACCATTGTATCTCGACGTAGTCAGCGCCCTGCAATGCCATGAACCACGCCCTATCATTCAAAGTGGTGTTTTCGGTGCCGTCGACGGTATTACGTCTGTCGACATTCTCAAGCTCGTACAACACGCCTCGATCTCATCGCCGTCCACACGGCTTGAGTTGAGTCCTCCATCAACCCCATCGCCTAGTAACATCGCACCCCTCGTTCCCAAGCACGAAGCATCATATAATAAAATTTTGGCCCATCTCTTCGACGATAGGCTCGAAATCGCGAACTCGCCGTCACTTGTCGCATCCCAGGGCGAGATTGCTACGACCCCGGAGTTTGCGCTGGGTCGCGTACGGGCGCAGCTGGAACAGAGGCAACAGCTCATTAATGCCGTTCTGGAGTTGCTGCAGAGTGATATACTGGATGTGGAACTTCATTCATTACTGAGTAAATGGATACTTGCGAAGGATGACAGTAGGAAGAACAAGGGTCTTGGGGAGGAAATTGTGGCATCGCTGAAACTGGCACCACTATCTCATCCTGCGGCCGTGCGCATTCTTTCTCTCAGCGCACATTTCTCCGTTATTTCGCGGTGGATTATTGGCTCTGACGCGTGGTCGTACGATTTGGGATCATCTGGGCTGCATCACGCTGTCGCGTCGGGCCTGAATGTCAATGTCCTCATTATCGACAGCCTTCCATATTCCTCTCGCAATTCTGGAGAGATAAGCAGGCGGAAGCATGACGTGGGTTTGTACGCTATGAACCACGGGGACGTTTATGTTGCCAGCGTGGCCGTTTATTCGTCCTACGCGCAAGTCTTGCAGGCATTCACAGAGGCTGACCATTACAACGGACCAAGTGTCGTCCTGGCTTACTTGCCGTATGTATCCGACAACTCTCTTGCTCTCGAGGTCCTTAAAGAGACCAAGCTTGCCGTTGATTCCGGATACTGGCCCTTGTATCGATGGGACCCTTCAAAGGATCGCGAAGGGAAGGAGCCATTTTCTTTAGACTCTGACTCGATTAAGTACGATCTCCAACAGTTCCTTGACCGTCAAAATCACCTCTCTCAGTTGGTTCGGTCGAAGCCAGCGATGGCCACTGAACTAGTCAGTAGCTTAGGGCAGAGTGTGAAGGAGGCAAGAAAACAGAAGGCGCAGCAGTCATACAACGAACTCCTGTCATCGCTGGATGCCCCGCCTCTGCTCATCTTGTACGCTTCTGATGGTGGAAATGCCGAGAAGAAGGCCAAGCGCCTCTCCCATCGTGCCCAGGCTAGGGGACTTTCTACCACCCTAGCTTCATTCGATTCCATGTCACTGGACAGTCTGTCTCAGGAAGAGTACGTTGTCTTCATCACATCTACCGCCGGGCAGGGAGAGCCGCCTCAGAATGGACGTCAGTTTTATAAGGCGCTCAACGCCGCAGCTGCGGGTGATGATCGAACCTTGACGAAGCTCAAGTTTGGTGTCTTCGGCATGGGTGACAGTCACTACTGGCCCAGATCCGAAGACGCGCATTATTACAACAAACCTGGAAAGGACTTGGATGCTCGTCTAGGGAAGTTGGGTGGCGATCGCATTGTTGAGTTGGGACTTGGTGATGACCAGGATGCAGATGGTCCCGAGACGGGATACAAACCTTGGGAGCAGCTTTTATGGAAGGTCCTCGGAGTCGACTCCATTGAGATCACGGAAGCCGAGCCTGAACCCATTACGAACGAACACATCAAAGCCGCTTCGCAGTATTTACGTGGAACAATCGCCGAAGGTCTCCAAGACTTCAGCACGGGCGCTCTCGCACCCAGCGACGGACAGCTTACGAAATTCCATGGCATCTACCAGCAGGATGATCGAGACATTCGAGAGGAGCGACAAGCGCAAGGAGCGGAATTGGCGTATAGCTTCATGATCCGAGTGAGGATGCCTGGTGGTGTTTGTACGCCAGAACAATGGTTGCAAATGGATCAAATCGCAGATGAACATGGCTGTGGTACGTTCAAAATTACGACGAGAGCTACGTTCCAATTCCACGGTGTAATTAAGAGACACTTGAAGCCCGCCATCCAGGACATTAACAGGGTTCTCCTCGATACACTCGCCGCATGTGGAGATGTCAACAGGTACGCGTCATGTTTTAGTGTGCGACCCGCGTTCTCATGTAACGCAGAAATGTCATCTGCTCTTCCATTCCCACAATGTCAAAGCTGCATAAGCAAGTGTTTGCATTCACGAAAGCCGTCAGCGAGCACCTCATTCCGAGGACGACTGCATACCATGAAATTTGGCTGGATAAGAAAATGGTCGCAGGAGACGCTGTCAAGGACTTTGAACCATTATACGGCGAATTTTATCTGCCCCGAAAGGTACTTTGATCCAGCTATTGTCTTTTCACCCCATGCTTATAGTGTTACCTAGTTCAAAGTTGCTGTTGCCGTACCGCCTACGAATGACGTCGACGTTTTCGCAAACGATCTTGGCTTCATCGCAATTGTCGGCGACGACGGTGAGTTGACTGGTTTCAACGTCTCCGTTGGCGGAGGCATGGGTGTTACACACGGAAACAAAAAGACCTATCCCCGGGCCGGTAGTATCATTGGTTTCTGCACTCCCGAACAGGGAAAGCTTGTCGCAGAGAAGGTCATGTTGACCCAGCGGGATAACGGAAACCGTGCCGAGTATGTTTTGTATGTCGACTTCCTGATTTCGTTGCTGACTCGATTCTGCTTAGCCGAAAGGTAACGCCTAACAATGGGTAATTCCTCAAATATTGTGCTCACTCCTGCGTCTAGAATGCACGTCTCAAGTACACGATAGACCGTATGGGACTCGACGTGTTCAAAGCGGAGGTTGAGAAGCGACTTGGTTATGCCCTCCAGCCTGCACGACCATTCACGTTTGACCGCAATGTCGACGACTACGGCTGGGCGACAGGCGAAGATGGCAAGCACCATTTCTTGATGTTCATCGAAAACGGACGCATCCAAGACGAGCCCGGAAGGGACTTTAAGACCGGTTTACGGGAGATTGCCAAGGTCCACAAAGGCACGTTCCGCTTAACCGCTAACCAGCACTTGGTGGTGTCGGACGTGCCAAACGAGGAGCTTCCTCTCATCAAGGAGATCCTGACCCAATACAAGCTGGATAATCTCGTGCATTCCGGGCTTAGACTATCATCGTCGGCATGTGTGGCATTTCCAACATGTGGTGCGTAGAGCCTTGTATTGTTGGATTCCGCACAACTGACGACCTCGTCTCTTTTAGGTCTTGCCATGGCGGAATCGGAACGGGTGAGTGGCCCCTTCGTTGACGCCTTCAGCATGTTGATTTCGTTTCCGTTCCAGTATCTTCCTCTGTTGATTGATAAGGTGGAAAAAATCTGCGAGAAGAACGGTCTCCGTAACGATTCAATTGTGATGCGGATGACTGGATGTCCCAACGGGTGTGCTCGTCCTTACCTTGGAGGCATGTCGCACTTGGTATTCTTAAAGATATGTTGTCTGACTTAAACTTTCCAGAGGTTGCTTTCATCGGCAAAGCACCCGGTTCATATTCGATGCTGCTTGGTGGAGGATTCTATGGTCAGAGATTAAACAAAATTTACCGAGGTTCGTTCTCTCCGCTCCTTCTGCTGCACCACGTTCATACTGAATTGCAGAAACGGTCACTGAGCCTGAGATCTTGGCTATCCTAGAGCCCATCATTAAAAGATATGCTCTGGAGAGATTAGAAGGAGAGCGCTTTGGTGATTTTACCATTAGAGCTGGGTATATCTCGGCCACCACTTCTGGTAAAGAATGGTATGTGGGCATGGGTGGAGAAGGACAGCATAAAGAATCATCTTGATGCTGATAACTTGACGAAATTGAATGATATTTACGGCTGTGGTCATGGCCGTGCGACGGAGTCGGGACCCATTGTCAACGTTAGTTTATATAGCAAAGAGTAAAAATTATTTACATAGCGCGTTCCTGTTGCTTACAAGACTTTGGTCACTTAAAAGCAACAAAAGACAATGTCATGAATAGTTCGCTATGCTGTTACTGGCAGCGTCGATGTTGACGGCTGGTAAGGGCTGCCCCTGCTGTTGTGATAGTGCTGATTGTATCTATGTGGAGTTCTCGGTTGCGAACTTACATCGTCAAAAGGGTGGAAAGTGATAAGCGACTCAGCTAGACACGTGACTAGCCGGGTATACAGCCCGGTGGCATAGTCACTGAGCTCTCATATTGGGCACACAACAGCAGCCAGCGATTCATTATCCACTTCTACCAACACAAGTCATATAAACTGGTTCTCCAGCCTTCTAGATGCTTTCAATTCCACAAACTTGGCCACGATTTCATCCAGCGGAACCATTTGGCCCTTAGATTTCGTCCCGATATCATCCCGATTTCGAACATTTACTGACTGAGCATCTAGCTCTTCTTGACCAACAACTGGCAGATTCTTTATAGCAGAGTATTGGGAAACTGATAATGGATCGACGTACCAAGGATAAAGTTGTATTGGGAAATCTCGCCATTACGAATCTTTTTGGGAAGAGTGTTGTCCGAATTATCGACTTCGGCGTAAAGTCCTAGAGCTGAGAGCCGGTCGACGATTTGGCCTGCATAGTCTTTCTGTATCCACGTAGCACCCTCTCAGTCGGAAGCACTAAGTTGAGGGAAATGAAACGCACATAAGGAGCGGCAACAGGGATCACAACAATCTGGCGTGGAGATAGCCAAAACGGCCTATAGAGCCGTCGTCAGCGAGCGGCTCATGTTGATAACTGATACGCGCCATTTCCCAGCAAAATGCTCCGTAGCGATGGCAATGAATCGCTCCATACTTCCAAGGATTGCACGATGAATCATAACCGGTCTCGATGGGGGCTTGTCTGGATTGCCAAAGTCTTCTGCTGATCGATATTTGAGATTGAACCGCTCAGGAAGTTGGAAGTCCAGTTGGATCGTTGCGCATTGGAATGATCGGCGCAGAGCATCTCGGACAGTGATATCAATCTTGGGGCCATAGAAAGCGCCATCACCTGGATTAAGCTCCCATTGCCCTGGATAGTGCTTGTCCAGAGCCTTCTTCAGTTGCTTGAGAGAATCTTTCTCAGTACATCGCTGAACCACGTAGACCGAAAAGCCCTTACATTTTCCGCGACGTCCCAGGTTTCAATCTTGCCCAAGTAATTATCCGGACGCGTAGAGAGCTCGAGATAGAATTCAAATCCGAACATCCCGTAGACGTGTTGCATAAAGTCGAAGAGCGCACTGATCTCGTCCTCGAGCTAATGCAAGATGATAAGTGTCTGTGGAAGACAGATGCAAAGGAGCAAACCTGGGATGGCATACAAAAGACATGAGTATCGTCCTGAACGAATCTCCGTACGCGCGTCAATCCCGTTAACGCACCCGAAGCTTCATTACGATGTAGAATACCAAATTCTGCCATACGAATAGGCAACTCCTTGTAGCTACGGTCTCTTGAATCAAAGATGAGACAATGCCCCGGGCAGTTCATCGGTTTGAGGGCCCATTTCTCCTTTTCAACGTCCAGTACAAACATATCGTCTTTATAGTTTTGCCAGTGCCCTGACGTTTCCCACAATTTGCTGCTATACATGTTTGGCGAGATGACTTCCTGGTAACCTCGCTTAAAATACTCGGACTATGCGAAGTGTGAGAGAATAAGAAAGTATTGTCAAAGTTAGAAGACCTACCCGAAGCAGCTCGATAAGTGCATTGTAAATGCGGGTGCCGTGAGGTAAAAAGAAGCAATTTCCGGGACTGAGATCGTTGAAGAAGAAAAGGTCTTGCTCCTATAAAAGATGAGGTACAAAACGCCTTCAAGAAGCCTAAAGCGCACCTTTCCGATCTTCCTGTGATCCCGCTTTGCAGCCTCCGCAAGGAAAATTTTGTACTCCGACAACTGCTTTTTATCTGGGAAGGAGATACCGTATATCCGCTGCAAAGATTCATTATTGGAATCTCCTAGGAAATATGACGCAGAACTCTTGGTAATCATGAAAGCTTTGATTTTGCCGGTATGCGGTATATGTGGTCCGACGCAAAGATCTATCATAGGCCCACATCGATATACCGTGGTAGATGTGCCGTCGGGAACCTTGGTTTCAATCAAGTATTTTTTGAACTTGTTATACTAGAAGATCGCCGCGTTGTCAGTTTGTAGCGGAGTGGTCACAAATAAGCGCACCCCAAACATCTCCAAAAGTTTCTCTTTAGAAACTATCAGGCGTTCAAACTTCTGCTTTTCCTTGATAGCACTCTCAGAAACTTTTTCTAAAGCGGGATAGTCTGCTACGGTAACGGCTCTGCACAAATAAGGACAGCATTAAAGTCGGGAATAACAGGTCATACCTGTCTTCGATGCCCATCTCGTAGAAGAAACCGTCATCAGTGGGAGGACCAAGGCAGAGGTGACATCCATAATGCTTTTCGGACGCTTCGCCGAGAACATGGGCAGATGAATGCCAGAAAACGCGCTTTCCTAAAAGGCGTCTGAGTCATTATAACGACTGAGCTATCTGACCGACCTTCAGGATGCTCGAAATCAAGCAATTCCAGCTTGCAAGATGCCTCCAACGGTCTTTCAAGATCCCAGACGTTACCATCAACCTAGAGGCAGATAAGCTCAATGACAGATAGATCGTGCCAAGTACGCACTTTAGCGATGACAACGCGTTCAGAAAGACTTTTCGAGATTTCCTTTGCGATATCCATAGGACTTGTATCCCAACTCTTACCCGACTTTGTCGATCCGTCCGGCATTGTGATAGTGATATCCTCACGAGGTTTAGCTGTGAACAGCCATTGGTCAGAGGTCACGTATCATCCAGAACGAAAGCACATGCCCTTCACCGATGCATCATATTCGGCTTTCAACTCTTCAAACATCTTTATACGATGATCAAAAAACGCAGGGACAGGTTGCATCTAGCGCAGATGCTTGTCAGGGAGATGGTAACGATAGGGATAGGCCATACCTCTAGAGGGTATGTAGAGGTGGCCGCCGCCTTCGCTTTCTTCTGTTTCTGTGCATCCGGGGAAGCCATTGTATGGTTCAGTTTCCTCTGAGGATATCGATATGCGAGACGGGCGTCGAATACACGAAAGGCAGTGATGGTATAAAGAAAGGGCGGATGACTTGGATATCGAGTCAATGGACGAAGCATCCAAAGCCTGGCCGACCACACACTTTACATAAGCTTGTTTAGGGTTAGGGGCAAAGAAAAAAAAAACCAGGCGGCTGAACATGGGAAATCTGCGGGCCGGACATGATGGCTACAACCCAGAATGGCTTCGTCTTTTGGCTACAGAGACTCCCATTTTCGGGTGACAGATATCTTACTTATACTGCAGGCTCTGTGGTGCTCTTAAGCCCCTTCTCAGTAACATGGATGATGAAGGAATAGTGGTTTGCGAACTTGCAGATGGACCGGTTACTACCGGCAGCATTTACTAGCCGGGTGGCGGTGCGATTCGACGTCGTTGTTTCCACAGAGGCCGCTCGGAATCCTTATCGTTTTGCATGGAAAGAGTAAAGATTATTTACATAGCACCAAAGTAATGTTGTCACTGAAGGGGCACTAGCAGGTCGTGGATAATTTCCCGATAAGATCGTGTATGTGATTTTTCATGTCCGGACTCGGGCTGTTAATAACCGATAGCATGATCGTCGATTGACTGAATCAAATTGGAATCAAAAAATCTCATGCTTCTTCTCTTGAGGCGATCTATTTAACATCCTCCTGAGCACACATCTTTTCCTCCCCTCTTTCTTCTTCCAAGCAACTACAGCAATGGCGCTCATCACTACTCCCATTACAGAGCTCTTCGGAATCAAGCATCCTGTCCTTCTCGCTGGTATGAATGTTGCAGCAGGTCCAGAGCTCGCTGCTGCTGTGTCCAATGCCGGTGGTCTAGGAGTCATCGGTGGGTTTGGTTATACACCAAAAATCTTGCGCCAACAGGTACGTGCACGGTTGTCTTGGGCAGATTTCACGCTGCTGAAAGGCGTGTCTTAAGATCAAGGCAATCAAGGACGACCTCAAGGATCCCAGTCTTCCATTCGGTGTCGACCTTCTACTCCCACAAGTCGGCGGAAACGCGCGAAAGACAAACGTGCGTGTTTGTACGTCGGCGTTATGGTCATAATCTTTAACAGGATCTCGTACAGTATGATTACACCAAGGGAAAACTTGACGAACTCATTGATGTCATTATCGAAGAGAAAACTTCTCTCTTTGTCTGCGCTGTTGGAGTGCCGCCAAAGGAAATTGTCGAGCGGCTGCACAAAGCCAAAATACCCGTCATGAACATGGTCGGTCACCCAAAGCACGTCGAAAAAGCGTTGGAGGTTGGCGTGGACATCATTTGCGCTCAGGCTGGCGAGGGTGGCGGGCATACTGGAGACACACCCGCCAGTATTCTGATCCCAGCGTGTGTGGATGCCGTCAGGGGACACAAGGCGCCCCTAAATGGACAACCGGTGTATGTCATCGGGGCGGGCGCGGTATATGATGGCAGAAGTTTGGCGGCTAATTTAGCATGGGGTGCACAAGCTGTTTGTATGTCGGATATGCTTCTTCTCCTTACTATTCGTGAGCACTGACACGTATGGCAGGGGTCGGGACGCGTTTTGTGGCATCAATCGAGGCCGGAGCACCCAAAATTCACAAGGAGCTTATCGTGAGGGCTGGGTACGATGATGCTATCACAACTCTTATCTACACTGGACGACCGCTACGTGTTCTTAAGACGCCTTATGTAGCAGACTGGGAGACGAATCGCCAGGCTGAAATCAAGGAATTGACCTCGAAGGGTGTTATCCCAGCCAACTGGGACCTTGAGCAACGTCCCGAGAAATCTATGGAGGGTCGTCCTTGGTTAATGGGTAAAGTTTCAGGCGTATGTCTTCCTGACGTGTTCATCCTTGATTACCAACCTCATCGACATTTTACTTGCAGCTCATCAAAGACATCTTGCCAGCGAAGGATATCGTGGAGAACATGGTGAACGAGGCGGCTGAAGTCTTACAACATAATTCATCTCTCGTCCTCAAGTCAGCCAAAGCAAAGTTGTAGCCGTTACATTCTGGTGGATCTATTTATTCGCATGTGTATATACACTTCAATCATATTCTGGATCATTCGTCATCGCGCTCCAATACTGGGAAATTATTCCTTTCCTTCCCTTCCTCCCATCTTTCTCGCTCACCTACCTTCCGTGAGTTGCTGTTATCTTTTGCTCTACTTACTCGAATTCTACCCCCAAACGCCAATGTACCGTCCAACTTTTCCGCGGCTTGCCCTGCTTCCGTGGCATCGGTAAAATCCACGAAGACATAAAAGTGGTTGCGCGGACCAGGCCTGTGGACGGACGGAGAAATCATCTTGCTCACCGCCTCCCTATGACTCAACGGTTAACGATAGCTTATACATATATATATATATATCTCGAATGCAGCTCACAGTTGAAAGCCACGGAAAAGCTCACGTATGTTCTCGTTGACGACACGATGGGAAGCCATCGTCGGTAGTCCGCCAACGTACAATCGCCTCCCCTGGGCAGCATATCCTTCCCAGTGGTCTGACGCATTTGATTCGCGCCAGCCCTCGAACACAAGGGGGATAGGTTTTGACGATAAAGGTGGTCTTGATCCCTTCTTCGCCTTGCCTGGACCAATCTTCAGTGGCCTGCCCAGAAATTCGCGCTGGTTGAGGTCTGCCATGGCACGAGTTGCTTCCTCCCTGCTCCCAAGATCGACAAAGCAATACGAGAGGTTCCGGGCTGTGAAAGGGTCGATGGAGATATCAATTCGTTTTCTGTAAGACGCGTTATTATGAGTACTGAATAGAGGATAATGTCGAACACGCTGTAACCGTCTCCTCCAAATAACGACAGGACGTCCTGCTCCTTCGCCATGTAAGGAAGATTCCCCACATATAAACGGCGACCCTCTTCAATGGCCTGCAGAGCGCCGCTGTCATTCTCCCGGTGATCTTCAGCTTTCTGCACTGGCAATGATTTCTTGGCGTTTGAAGGTTCGAATGGACGAGATTCAAAATTTGCGCCACTATGAAAGGCAGGCTGCTGGCGAGAATGATAATTGCCGGTAAAGCGCTGTTTTTTACCAGGAAAAGAGGATGGCGATGGCAACGAGTCAATATTAGCTTTCGAACGCCAATTTGAAGATGCATCTGAGGGGCTGAGTGACTTACTCATGGTAGAATTCCAAGTTCGACCTTAGCTCAAATACTGTTGTCATATTAATCATTAATCTGGTGAGGGGTATTGACTTGCAAATTACACAACTCTACATGTTTGCTACTGCATTCATTCTATTTCGTGAGCACGGCCTTCAGGACATCCTGCAGGGACGTGACCACTTTATCTATGTCTCCACGTTCAGTGTCGACCGCCGTAACCCCCATATGTCTGGATATCGGTTAAACATGAGTAAGAAAGGGATGAAATGCAAGTATACGAACCCGATACGGAAGTACTTGTCTACAAAGAAAGAAAGAACCTTGAGCATCGAGACATCGCGCAGGCAACAGAGGATTACCTTTAATTGCCGTATGTAAACCTCCTGCAACAACAATTCCCTTCTGATTCAACGGACCAATGATATCCGTAGCACTAACTCCGGTAGGGAAATACAGCTTATAATAATGTCAAGTTCTAACGTGCATTGAAAGAGTCAAATTAGAAAGACGTACCGCGGTCATTCCGTTGGCAGCATATGCAGGATCCGTCGGGACCTGCTTGATCCCCAGTTCCGCCGCCACGCCCTTGATACGTCGGCTCACTTCCTTATGCAACTTGAAACGTTCGGGTAAAGAGGGTTTTGATTTCATGATTTGACTAAGGGAAGCGTGGTACGCATATATGAGGTTGACGGGGGGCGTGGCGAAGTAAGCCGCGCTTCCGCTTTCGTACGCTTTCATGATTGGTAGCCATCTGCATTCAAAAGATTTGTCAAACAGAGCCACGAAAATCCGACCAGGACACGTACTTCTTCCAGCTGGCGTAGTATGACGTTATAGGTGTCTTTCGTGATTCAAATTTCTGTAGAAAGGTCTACAACACGGCAGTGACTTGGTAAAAAGTACTCGCCTGCATTGCCCTCTTGCTCGCAATAAGAATGCTTAGCCCTGGAGGGGTGCCGAGTCCCTTTTGACTGGCCGTCAAAACAACATCAAGATCCCATTCATCCATAAGTATCTCTTCGCTAGCGACCGAGCAAACAGCATCCATTACGACCTGAATAGGTCGTCAGTACGCGTCACGTGGAGCAGGAAACGCGACGTTCTCACCAGCGCGTCTGGCGAAACACGGCGAACCGTCTCGACAATTGCCTTCGCATCCGACAATACCCCTAAAAAAAACATCAATAAAGACCAGAACGATAGAAATGTAGACACACCTGTTGAAGTGTCGACATGGGTAAATGTAACAACTTTATAATTTTTTGCCTTTAACGCCTTCTCTATTTCGCCCTGGCTCACGGCGGCTCCAATCTCGGCCTTGACCTGAGTTGCTTTCCCGCCATAGGCATCTATACTACTCCGGAAATCAGTAAAGATGAATTACGCGAGGTTTATCTCACCAATCGGCGAAGCTGTCTCCAAAGTAGCCGCTATGCAGTACGAGTACGTCCTCTCCGGGTTCTATCAGATTGGCAGCGACCTGGAAGAAGATGACACGTTAGAGGATATTCTGGGCCGCAAAAGGACGGGCATGCCTGGTCCCATCCCAATGTCCCACTGCCGCTAATCAAAAAGGGCTGGCCTTCGGCTGAAAACACGACGTCCCTGATCCGACACATGAGCAGGGTACTATGTCCGGCGACGACAAGAAACACTCGAACCTGGTCATCCGGATGCAGTCTCCAAAGACAGGAACGAACTCTGGCGATACATGCGACATGGATGGGTGGGCATTTGCGTAGAGAACCTAGACAAGGTCAGGTAAAGCCAGTGAGGATTGTGATTACCGTCCTTACTTCATCGGATACTTCGATGGGTCCTGGAATACTTTGGAGAGGATGAGAAACGATTACTGACAGCGGTACGGTCGTCCTTACACCAGTAGCCTTTCCGACGACTTCAGATTGAGGACAGATATCTAAGCATACGGTTGCGACTCACTTGTGGGGTGCCTGTTTGAATTCTTGTGTGGCCATGGTATACGTCCGACGGGATGTGGCGCGGGTAAAGGAGGGTAAAACGGTTGAGATGGTGGTACGGAAGGAAGAACGGTACGGCAGGAGCATTATTTATTATTATCAAAATGGAAGGTAGAAGTACGCTGGCAGTTGATTCAAATACTCAGGCTCGGCCGGCACAAAAATAAAATAAAATCCACGCATGGGTTGCCCTTGGACCTCAGCGTCGCGCCGTACGGACTCCCGCATCTCGACATCCTTGAGGCGATCAGGGATTATCAGGAAATACCCAAATAAATCTTATCGTTCCGTCTCTCTTGAAACATGTCATGTCGTCGGAATATCTTTCTATCGCATGGATGCACAACGGATGCCCGTCATCCTTTTACCGTTCAGTTGTTCAGTGAAGGTTATTGTTGTACGAGAGCAAGGTTTTTACGGACATTCACCAAGGACATCTTCCTACACCGGGTCGTCCGGGTCGGATTTACCGAGACCATGGTGAGCCTGAATGCACCTGAAATCGTTTTCACTTTACGGCCAACCGTCGACGTCTGCCTTGCCGGTTCCAGGGTTTGGCCGTGGTCACTAGGTCCATTTCTTCGGCATAAAGATGATACAGCAGGTCTATCAGGTGGACCGTGTACTGTACTGTTATTTCATCAGTCATAGTGCGATTGACAGACGCGGTTACACATGTACTTCTTCATTTCCTTACTGATGCTTTCAGCGCCTTTTCAATGAGTTCGATGTCTCCCCTTCCCTCATCGACAACAGAGGTCCCCATATGACTAATGTACGTCAGCGAGGACCACTTCTGGCAGAGAATGGGAAGCTTACCCTATCCTGATGTACTTATCTGGAGTCACAGCGTCAGTGTCAATATTTGGTGAGTGCTTATCATCAAAGCAACATACCTTTGGCTTCTTTGTGCAGGCCCCCAGCAACAACAATCCCATGCTCTGTCAACCGAGGTATGATGTCTTTGGGCACGAACCCATCGGGAACATATATCTAGTAAAGTCTTAGCACCCAAAAGCCTGACTCCCAATCTTGTCCTCACTGCAGTCATGCCGTTCGCAGCAATGCTTGGCTTCTTGGGAATCTGCCTGTAACCCAATTGCTTCGCCACAGCCTTGATCCTCTCACTCGCCTTCTGGTGTGCTCTAAATCTCTCTTCTAATCCACTTGTTATCTGCTTCAAAGACGCGTGATATGCATATATCATGTTCACAGGCGGTGTAGCAAAGTATGCTGGTGTACCAGAGTCGTATGCGCGCATGATTGGCAGCCATCTATACGTCTATCATTCAAAGAATATTCGGATCTGAAGACAGTTTAAACGAACTTTTGCCAGCTCGCATAGTATGATGTCACGGGAGTTTTCCTGCTTTCGAATACCTGATCCTCACGTTAATTCCTTTTCGACTGGACATAGCCCAAGGTACCGACCTTGATCGCCTGCTCGCTCGCGACAAGGATACTCAACCCTGGCGGTGTGCCTAGTCCCTTCTGACTCGCCGTGAGGACCACATCAATGTTCCAATCATCCATGCGGATTTCCTCGCTAGCGACCGAACATACACCATCGACGATTACCTGATAATCCAAGTCATCAGTCTCGCAAAGCAATTTCGAATGGAAAATGACTTGCAAGCGTTTCTGATGAGACACTCTTGGCGACACTCGCAATTGCTTTCACGTCGGATAGGACGCCTATCCAAAAATTATTAGCAGGTAGTGCACGCAGTTGATATCCAGGGCAAGACTTACCCGTGGATGTATCGACATGGGTGACTACAATAACCTTGTATTTTCTCTTCTTTAGTGCCCTTTCAACGTCTATGCTTGGCGCCGCGTCACCCAAAGGCGCCCGGATGTGGTCCACGCTGGCTCCATATGCACGGAGACTAGGACGTAATGGAACAAAAACAATCACGAAACAATTCATTCAAGCTCGGAATCAGGTCGGATTGGCGAGGTACATACCAGTCCGAAAACCCATCCCCAAAATAGCCGTTGTTCACAACTAGCACGAATTCACCAGGCTCTACAAGGTTGGAAGAAACCTATGATCCCCGATGACTTCGGGGTGACGCATAAAAAGAAGAATTGAACTCGCCTCGTCCCAGCCGAGAGTCCCGCTGTATGTTATAAGGTAAGTCCCAGTTAACTGAGTAAAGTACCCACCTCCCGGCTATGATGAAAGGCATGCCAGTGGTTGTGTACAGTACTTGTCTTCGCCAGCCGAGTTAGAAATTGGCCCGACGACCGCGTCATAACGGAAGTGGCCAGCGCACCTGGTCATATCCATGCACTCCTTAAATATTTTTACAAATCCAGGTGAAACGTGGGACATAGGTGGCTGAGAAATCGCATCGAGGACCTATGCGTAATTGAGCACGATGCAAACAAAATTGTGTATAATAAATACTTCGTTAGTCACTTCAATAGGTCCGGGGATACTAGTTGATTTCTTCAGATTCGAGGTATGTACAGTGGAAGATTTTACACGTACGCCAATAGCCTGTAAGTTGGGAGGTTGTGAGTTGTAGATCAATGTGGGGTAATAAGAGCACTGGAGCTTACTTGTGAGGTGCCTAGTAGGAAGAGCGGGTGAGTGCTTTTCACGGTCACTGCATGTTAAATGGCTATACCTGCTGGAACTTGGATCCTGACATGGCAGCAATGTACCAGGGTAGTAATGTTACGGTATAATATACAAGAATGAGTATGCGCTGGACCCGGAGGTTGACCGTTGTGTGTAAAAAAAGTACAAAATTTGAACTGCGGCCCGTTACCGATATTTCAATACAGACAGGTACGATCAGCATAAGTGGTTCTGCTAGGCAGGCAGTTTTGTGCCTTTCCGGCCCAGCGTAAACTGGTCATAGGTAAGTCCCAGGTAGATTTTCGGAATATACAACCCTCCTTCTTCACATCGATGATGTAGTTACTACGCACCAACGTTTATAATACTGTTACAGTAATAAAATACTTATAATCACTGGTTGGGCCCCACGCATTTGTTCCAATATGGTTTTACAACAACTACTAATGCCCAGCCATTGACAAACAACGAAAAGGAAAGACAGCCGTGGTTGCTGGAACCAACAGCTCCACCGTGATCGTCATCAAAAAAAAAAAAAAAACGAACGGAGGAAACTTAACAAAAACGCATCGGAACTAAGCCACCGTTTTGGCTTGCCAGTGGGTCTCCCAAGGCGCCATATTGTGCTTGCTGGTGTCTTCCACAATCGGTGGAAAAGAGGTCATATGCGGCTGGATGATATTTAGCACACAATCTGGTGACAGGGACAGAACGAACGTACCGCAGCGCTAGATGGTGCCACGCGGGTGTCAAATGAAGGTGTTTGCGAAAAATTGGACGATCCTTGGGAAGGCTCAGCGCCCGTCGGTAAGCCAGTGAGCTGGAACGTGCTTATTGGGCGGTTGGCATAATTATGCAGGTCGAGAACTGCGAAGCTGGGATGAGAAACCCCCCCGAGGAAAAGGCAAAGAAGATATACGTACTGACGCGGGAACTCATCATGCTCGTGATAGCTATCCCCATGGCACAAAGTATAGTGGAATTACTGGTATTCTTGTAATGCGCATAGAACGCCAGATTAAGGGCGTTGAATAGGGTAGTAGCGACGAAATATCGCATAGAGGAGTGCCACAGCACATCGCTGAAACCCGAGCGTAAGTTCTGCTTGTTAGCAAAGCTGATGGTAAGGCCTCGATAAGTCATTCCGAGGACTGCAGCATCAAAGACCAATGAAACCTGCCACATTTATTGATATATCAACTGATCGACATGCCAAAACCAGATGAACACACACCATGTAGTACACCCAACTGATGTTGATAGCGTCACTGTACTGGATGAGGCAATTCCCTGAAGATCCCGCCGTGAACTTCCTGAACGAGTACATCTGAGCGAAGATCTCCAGCCCGGAAACTATGATGGCGAGAGCGGAGAGCGCAACTGTGGGACCAAGCTCGTTGTTGCAGATAGCAACTGTACGGACAGTAAATACCGCATGGCTCGCCCAGGATGCAAAGCACTGCATTATGGGCATGAAACGCCAATAGTACTGACAACTTTCCATTGTGAACTCATGCGAGAAGAAGCCGATGATGTTTAGAACAAGGGCGATTAACCCCAGGTACTAGAATACAATCAATTGACTGATAAGAACTTTGCCATAGGATCTACTTACCCTCACAAGAATAAGCAGTATGCAAGCAGTACTGAGGTGAAAAATTGAAGACTGTCTTCTGTCTGCGAAAGATATCGTTCAGCAAGTCGAGTTATCGCAGAAGGATTCGGACTCACAGAGTCGGATCTCCGCAGGAAAAGTCAGAATCCAATCATACGAGTACCAGGACAACGCAGCCTAAACGAAAAAAAAAAAATGAATGAGAGGGCCCAAGAAGACAGACAGGAGCAGCGCTCACGATTCGCATATATTTAGTGGCATCGTTCCACGTCGTCATATTGGCTGGTAGTTTGAATGCAAGAGGCCAGCTCTAAACGGAACGAAGGTATAACAAGACAAGTCGGAAGTGACGGCCCTGCCTGCGTGCCGGCAAGAACATCTGACCAGTCCGACAATTGCGTACGAATAGACTCTGCAAATTCCGACGTGAGTGTCCATTCGCCGTTGTGCCTTGCGGGACCCGCTTGTTGGTCACCAAGCGATCAAAGTCGGACCCCAGATACGTGGACCTGGAGCTTGTGGTTCTGTCAATCCGCATAGCGGACTCCAAGGCTCTGAAAGCGGCGGTTACGACATCACAGTGAGTTGGACGACGGGGAACCATCACCGTCCATTCGGGTGGCGTCCGCAACCTTGTGGAACTTTATGATACCTGCCCCAGAAAGCCGACTTCAGAGTTGATTACTTTGATCTAAGGCTTTGCGCAATTTTTCATAGATGGGTGTACCGTTCATCACGGATGACATACCAATGGTCTAGAGGCCAATGTCATGAATAATGTTCGGTAAAACCACTTGTTCGAATATTCATTAGGAAACAGGCGAGCAGTCCGCGCGCATATGTAGCACGATTCTCGGCATTTCAGGTACGGGGTCTTGGACTTTGTTGCGATGTAATGTTGATAGCGCAGTACGGGCCGGGTCGTAAGAGTCCCAGTCGCTTAAAAGCGTCGACGTCGAAATCAGAAATTTGATACCGGCGAGTTGGTCGCTCCCGCACAGTAGGATAGATTCAGCGACTGTGTATTACCGACCTTTTGCAAGCGCAGCACTAATACAGTTTCTGTGCTCTGTACGGATGATCATCATTACGCAGTGTTCGGTTGCTAGTACCGTGGAAGAGCCGGCACTGGTTCCCGATACAAAAGCAACGGCTAAAAATTGAAAGAAGGGATAGTAATTAGGACTTGGAACCACATCTAGGAGAAGAATGCAAACTTGAAATTCGAACAGAATTGTTAGTATTGAGTTTTGGTGTCCTTCTCTACGAGCCCAGGTCTGGCGCTCTTTTGTTTCCAGAGTCTAAACGGTTCCGTGGGCGTCGATACTTCAATCACAGCAATCTGCGGATGGAACCAGAGGTTAGAAAGGGAGGTCTACATCCGCCACGGGACCGAAGTTTTGGAAAATGCCAGCACGAGTCCTCAAGTGGCGGTAGAGATGATTGTGGAATAGAATTGACATCATGAATGCCGTGACGGTGCGTAGCATAATGGACAGCCCTGTAACGACAATCCACCAGGGTATTGCCATCATCTTGCGGAAAAATGTGACTGAACGAAAGGGACGCCTGGGAAGAGTCTCATACCAGCCAGCCAATGGCCCCCAGTGAAAACGGCAGTTAAATCCCATCTGCCGGCGACCTGCACCAGCTCGTCTGCCTTTCCTCTGGAAAACCGAAATGCAATCTGGTCTTCCTTGAGCATAAGAAAACGACCGGTCAAGGCAGACGACTCGTATACCGTGAAAGATGGTATCTGTATCCGGACAAAATGAATATCGTAGTCTTTAAGCTGGATGTTTCCGAAAAAATGGAGGGCATGGTTCGACTGAATGGGATGCCAGCGACTGATGCATAGCGAGGACTACTATAGAGATGGGTTACCTATATCAGCGAAGATGTTACGGAATGTGTCTCAGCAACAGTTTTTTTTAAAGAAAAGGCGGCGACAGTGACTGATCTAGCTCTGAAACACCTTTCCTGGGACCCACCTTGAGTATCGTTTACGAGACTAGGACCTGCCGACTACTTAGATGAAAGTGGTGACGGAACTTGCCCACGCTTTATTCCAAATGACGAACCGCGAGTTTTATCCTTGTGAGTGACGAAAAGGACGGCATTCATGTTGAATCAGAACAGCGGCCAAGACGAGTTTATCTCGAACTTACTTTATTGACCGATAGCTTTGAAGGACCAGACCATCGTGAGTTACAACAGCGGCGAGCCACTGGCATTACGTTGAGAAAGAGCAGGACCATACATTTTTCTCGGATCTAACAGTTCACCGCCTATATCGAGCATTCCTTGCTCAGTTTGACAGCTGGAGTAGATATTGATGGTTGGCGACAGATGTAAAGATTCTCTCCGATATTTGTACGTATCAAAGCAACAATTCTCAGCTGCTTTAAAAATGATGGAACGTCGCACTCGGAGAAATGGTTACCAAAGTCAAGTTTCTTGCTTTTGAGAACGAGGGAGCGTTGCAACTCTTAAAGACAAGATCAAGAGACGGGGGTCAAAGTGGAGCGGGAATATACGGCATTACGAGGATTAACTAAGCAGTGACTCTCTCGACAGACGACTCTTTGGCCTTGGGGCAGCCGGTGACAAAGAGTTGGTTCTTGAATGAACCTTTGTTGTTAGGATAGGTGCACCTGCCCACCTCTCTTGCATACCGGCCTTGACACTCCAGGCCCATACGGCGAAGAAGACGGGGGTGCAGACCAAGACGTTGGCCACTGCCCATAAATCAGGATATCGGGCAGGGGCGGGTATGATGAACTCTGCGAGGTGGAGTAGAAACGCGGCAGCGTAGACAGCCACAGACAAGATTTTGACGACGCTGTCGAATGCAAATGGGTTACATCCCACAAGGCGATTCCAGAGGAGAAGAGTGGCGATGTACTGGACTCCGACGCCGTCGCGCTTGAGAAGTGGCCACATGCTGAAGGCAGCGATGTTGGTAAAGAGGGGTATCCACTCTGACTTTGTACCAAACATGAGAGCAGGAAGGAGGGGGACGAGGATGGTCTTTTCATGGACCTGGAAGCTAAAGAGGAAAAAGGCGAGAGAGCTGGTGAGGAGGGCGTACGGGAGAAGGCGGGGTTCGGGTGCTTGTGCCATGAGAATGACGGCAGGAAGGAAGGCGAGAACTGTTAAAACGGTGGAGAGGCGTACGAGGGATTGGACGGAGAGCAGAAGACGCCATTTGATGAGGACATTGGTCAGACACCAAAAGTTGGCAACCTTGTCTTCGAACAAGCCACGTGCAAAGGGGAATATACGGTGTATTGCCTGGGAAGGGGAGGTGAGAAACGGGGCAAATACGATGAGAAAGGTGACGGTAGTGACGACGGCGAGTTTGAGGAAGAGCAATGGAATCTGGATGCACGTGGCAAGGAGGAAGATGCCAATGGCGGGAGCGTAGTAGAGCGCCATCTGCTTGAACGAAAGAGACAGCGCAAACAGCACAGCACCGACAAGGTATCGCTTGTTCACAAAAGCACAGGCGGCGAGCAGAGTAAGGCCAAGCATAACAGAGTTGTACTGAAAATGCCCAAAGTCGATGAGTAGCAAGCACGGATTGAGCAGGATAGTGACCACAGATGCCGACTGCAACGAGAGTCAGACCAGAACATAAAGAGAGAGAGAGCAAAAAAAACATACTCTTGCTCTGGAGCTGGCTGAGCCGGGCCGATAGCGCGCCCACCAAAATACCGCCGGCACCCACACCGCCGCGTCGAGCACGACGACCGTCCAGCGCATAAACAGTTTCAGGTGCTCACTTTCCATTCCCCGACTTGCATCCAGTGCAAACCATCTACTGTCGATCTTGTCGCCGACGAAGCCGCACAGCCAGCTCACATACGCGGTCAGCGGCGGGTAATCCAGTCCCCACCACTCCAGCTCGTACCAGTACCACTCCCTCGGCGCCAGATGCAGCGTAATCTCCATCCAATGTCTCTGCGCCTCAAAGTCGCCATACATCGGTGGCGCCCCCTGCCCAGAGTACGTCCCCAGCCCGACCAATATTTTGATCAGCGTCGTCGCTGCGAGCGTCAGAATGAGGGGGTAGTGCTTTACTAGTCGTCGTGCGGCAGTGGACGGGGTATGTGGAGCAGAAGTGGGTGGTATGAATCGCACGGACGACGTGGGCGAGGCTGCGCGCGACGAGGCTGGCGACGGGTCTTGGTCGTAGAGCCAGAGTGGAAGGTGTCGGCGGGGGCGGGGGGCGTGGAGTTCTGGGCCTCGCAGGGATGCATGTCGCGGTCGGCCATGCGAGGACGGTCGTCGTACATCGACGTCTGCCATAACTTGTTGTTTAGCCCCTAACATCATCATGATTATTAATAAGCTACGTGGTATCAAAACAGCGCCTCCTCCTCGCCCTTCCAATTCTTCGCCTGATCCCAATACCCCTTCAGCCTCTCCCCAAGCACATCCTTCGCAGCAGAGTCTGTCGGGCAGCTCTTTGCCTTGAACGAACTAAACGCTCGCTCCCTCAATGCTCCCTCCCATACTAACCAGCACTTGTTATCCTCCAGCGACACCTCGTCTTCCTTCTTCACTTCTTCATCTTCTTGCAGCTCTACCTCTTCCCCACCCCGTGGTCTCGATGCCTCGGTCCATGCAATTCGGTGTATCATAAGCCGCTTGTAATTCCGTATATACTTGCTCGCGCCCTCCACGTAAATCATGCTAAAGTTTGGATTGAAGATACACAACCCGCTTAGGTTCATCTGCTCAGCATTCTTTCGAACTTTGAACCGATGAGACCCATCCGTGAGCGTTTTCACCCTACAAAATAATCAGCAGTAACCCACACATACGAACAAAAGTTCCGTACTTGAACACGGCTCCATGTATACCCTTCTTCTCCTCGTCTGCCTTTTTATTCTCCACCTTTTCCCTTCTTTGCTCGTCCGTAAGCTTCCGTTCCGCATTCATCTTCTCGTGCCCGTGTTTACGCATTGCAACCTCTCGCCTTACCCGCGCCTCAACCCGTGTTGGGTCTTGTACCGCATCACTCGTCAGAACCCTCATCAGATTCGCCAGACGCACTACAACCATTGTCAGCCAGCAACTTGCGGCGCTAGTAACAACACATACCTTTCGGAGGATCAGGAGGCAACAGCCCCATACGTATTCGGTCCCGTTTGTCTTGCAGCTCCCCTGCCCGGCGCAGCTTACGCATTTTCTTTTGCTCCTACAGCACCCCCATTAATTAATTCCTCATTGACAGCAACAAATACCCACCTTTTTCGTCAACTTCATAGGTTTCAATGCCACTTTATCCTTGTCTCCAGGCGCAGGGATAGGAATAGGATGCTGGATATATATCGTAATCGGAGAGTCCTCCGTTTTGATATTCATCGCCTGTATTCCGTACGACAAATCCTCATATGTCTTGTTGGGAAGCAACGCAGCATCCCACCATTCTGCTTCCGGCGGAGGAGCACGCTAAAATCAAATCAGCAAAGGTGCAATACATCAGCACCCTACTCACCTTGACACTCTTCTCAATGCCCATATCACTATCCAACCCTGCCTTTCTCGCGCTCTCCGCAATTCTCTGCTTGAGTGCCTCGAGCTGCGCCTCTTTTCGAACCTGGTCTGCCAATGCAATGTACTTGCCCTTGGGGTTGAATCGAAAGTTGCGTCCCATGCGGTCCCTGGGTGCTCCTTCGATCGTTTCCTTGGGTGCGTACGGATTGGCCGACTCCATAATAGGCACCGGGGTGGGCACTGGAGGGGGAGTTGGGACGTTACGCGTATTGGCCTGAAATAATGTGAATATCCAGTTCAATCACTTTAGAGAAAGAAGCCTACCTTGATTGAGGCAAACTTGGGCTGCATAGGCTTGTACCGATCCTTCTTCGATTGGGGTGCAACCGGTGTCTGGTCTAGTAACAGCGGATGAGCGGCCATCTTCAGACCTGCACCTTGCTGAGCAGGCTCAACAGGCCTATTCTTATTCTTGCCAGTTTGCGGAATCGACTGCAATCTAATTCAGGTGTGTCTATGGAATGGCACAGATGGTTCGCTCACCATGTACGGATTATCCTTGACAGCCAACTTGCTTTGCGCAGCCACGACCTTCTTCTTCGCCTCTGCGATCTTCTTGGCGAGGTCATCCGGGAGGCCAGGAGGCGTGGACGAGGCGCTCTTGACCATAGGCACAGCAGACGCCATAGGCTTCACAGGTGTCGGTGCAACGATATTCGTGCCGCCGCTCTTCATGACAGCGACCTTGGCCGCGATTTCGGCACGTTTTTGTGCAATGAGTGCTGCTTGCGACTGACAGAATCATTGAGTGGGAATCGATACGGAAAGACAGGGAGACTCACAAGAACTGAGCTGTTCGACGTCTAGGTGAAGAATAATCATAGAAACATGCATTAGAACAGAGAACCAAACGAGATAATCACCTTGGGAATGAAAGAGCACTCACAGCGTCACTAGAGAAGCGGTTAGTCAAGAAATCGCAAGCACTGGTAAAAGCTACCTTTTGAGTTTCTTATTGCTACCACTCGATTCACCATTACTTTCCAACGGTCGCTTCTTATCCATCGTAGTGGTGGTGGTGAGAGACAAAGAGCGGGGGCCGTTACGTGACGTCACACGGAATGTTTTCCCTCTCATCCATCACCTCCCTCCTCCCCCTGCGCTCACCTATAACCCTCTTCACCCGCTCCCGTGGCCAACTCGCACCACGAAAAGTCAAGTACCTCAAGCGGCACAAGGGCCGGGTACCCATCCCCGTCGGCGGCTCGACGCGGGGGACGACGCTGGCATTTGGCGACTGGGGCATCAGGATACGCGGGAATGGCATGCGGCTGAGTGCGAAGCAGCTGACCACGGCGGAGGATGTGATAAAGAGGAAGTTGAAGGTGTGGAAAGGCGCCAAAGTGTGGATGAGATGTTTTCCGGATATCCCGGTTTGTATAAAGGTAAGTTGTTGGGACAGAATAAAGGGAACAGACTGGTGATGTTTGTATTCAGGGTAATGAAACGCGTATGGGTAAAGGAAAGGGTACTTTTGAGTATTGGGCGACCCGGTAAGTAGTGTCGAGGGGTTCTTTGAAAGCGACCTTGATTGGATATTCAGACTGCCTACCGGACGTGTCATCTTTGAAATTGGTGGTGTACCTATTCGAGAGGAACTTGCACGTCAAAGTGAGTCTTTCCATCATGCCCTACTTTCCCGAGCTCATTGCCTTTGCAAGTTCTCAAGCAAGCATCGTCAAAACTACCCTGCAAAATGGAGTTCATCAGTCGCAAGACGTTACCTCGTCTAGGCCGTCTCCTTATTGAGCCTCCGAAACCTCCAAAAATGCCAGAGAATATCGTAGCCGCGGCTGAAGTAGCAAAAGTATCTAGTCAGATGCGGGCAACAGTATAAGTACGGTACATCGGTCCGGTCAATGAAACTTTTCTTTTTTTTTTTCTCTCTTCTTCCCATAACATGCTTCGCCTGGGTACTCGCCACGTACCACGACACTCATCATGTCGGTATCTTGCAACAAAAACACTAAAGGTAGAGACTGCTCGCGTTGTTCCACACTATTCTGTATGCAGGCCTAGGTGGCCGTTGAAGGATGCTGCCACGGCAAGCTCGACGACATCTACAAGCAAATTGCGACAATGGAGTGCAAGGGCAAGTACAAGGTGGACCTCCTGCTCATCTGTGGCGACTTTCAAGCCACCCGGAACGCCCAGGACCTCGAATGCATGGCGGTCCCGTCTAAACATAAGCGCCTGAACGATTTCCCACAGTGAGACTGGCCAACGATCCTAAATTCTGGCTGCTGACGTGGAGCAGGTACTACACAGGCAAAAAGACGGCGCCGATTCTGACGGTGTTTGTTGGCGGGAACCACGAAGCGTCCAACTACCTCGCCGAGCTGCACTACGGCGGATGGGTGGCGCCAAACCAGTACTACCTGGGCCGATCAGGGTGTATCCAAGTAAACGGGGTACGAATCGCAGGGGCGTCGGGAATATACACAGAGAAACGGTATCAAGTGGGCTACTGTGAAAAACTGCCATACGACCAATACGCGATCAAGTCAATATACCGCATCCGTCAATACGACATTCTCAAGCTTTCTCTGCTCACGAAACCACATATCTTTCTTTCACATGACTGGCCCCAGGGGATAACCGAGCACGGCGACCTTGAAGCCCTGCTTAAAGCAAAGCCAGAGTTCCAGTCCGAGATCGCCGACGGCACATTTGGAGCGCCCCCGCTCATGGATCTGCTGCAGAGACTCAAACCAGAGCGGTGGTTCGCTGCACATATGCACGTTCTCTTCAAAGCGACTGTCAAGCACGACGACTCTATCACAAACTTCACTGCCCTGGATAAATGTCTCCCCAGACGCAACTGTATAGAGGTCCGCTTCCCATCCTCGCTAGAAGCAGCGCTGATGGCTTTCTTTGCAGGTCATCGACGTGCCCGCGATAGCTGGGAGCACAAAACTGGCCTTTGACCCCGAATGGCTTGCCATCACGCGTGCCTTCCAGCCGTACTTGAACGACACCTCAGGGAGATCGCTGCTGCCCCCGCACCGTCTATGCAGCCAACTCGTCCAGAAGCAGCTCCAATGGGTGCTGGAGCACGTTGGAGAAGGTCAGCCTGTGACTTGTGTGCAGCAGTTCCGGCCCACGGCTCCTGGCCCTACGGGAAGAGAAGGCAAGAGGCAGCGTGAGTCCTCCTTGTCGTCTTGACTTGCATCTTTTATTCATTCCAAGCAGCCCCGATATACTTTAACCACCAAACAGAGGCATTCTGTGATATGCTGCATATTCCGGACCTCATTAATCCTCGGACATCATTTTGGTCTTAAAAAGAGTACAATTTATTCCAGAGCCATCGTACCTACGAATGTGAATGTAGCTCCCTTACAGCAACGAATTCAATGCCCCGCTGCTTTCTTACGCTCCTTTTTCTGCACGCGTCTTTGTCGCGCTTCCGCCTTGACAGCCTTTTTGCGCTCCTTCTTTGCGTCGCGGTCCTCGTGCCGGTGGCCCCGAGGGCGTCTTTCACTATCCGGTTCTTCATCGTCCTCCAGGGTATTTCCCGCCTCTCCCTCGTCGTCACCCGCCACCTGCTCATCGTCGCCCGCCTCCCGCCCATCATCACCCGCCGCAGTTGCTACCGCCTCTCGCACGCACCCCTCCTCAATATCTCGTTCTGGATCATACACATCATCCAGCCTCCGGGGGATATACGTGTGCTTGAACGCGCCATCAACCTTGTCCTCCGGTTCGCTCATCAGTTTCCTCAGCGTCTCCTCGTCTCCTTCCTCGTTTGTCACCCACACAAACGACCTCCTCAAGCCAAGCCCTGCCACCCCCCGCCTCTCGAAAAATGCTTCCACGTTGCTCAGATCACTGCGCAGAAAATCAAACGCGCTCGGATGGTCATGCTCCACGCTCTGCCCAACATCGATGATCCAGATATGGCCTTGGTGCAGTAGCAAGTTGTATTCGGATAAATCTGCATGTACCAGACGACATTGGTGGTATATCGTCCTGATGGTGAGCATCAGCTCGACGTAGAGCTCTTCCCACCCCTCCTCCGACTCGGCATCCTTCAGCCGTGGACTCGCTTGCGATGCGTTGCCCAAAAACTCCATGACCAACACGTTCTCTCGGACCTCCACCGGCTCAGGACACCTCACGCCAGCTGATCTCAGCCTCTTCAAATTGCGCATCTCCTTCTCTGCCCACATGCGCACCATCTTCCGTGGGTTATGCCGAGCATAGCCCCGCCGGAAACGATGCTCCCCAGCCACGTACCGGTCCCGGTCCTTGAAAATGAGAATAGATGTCTTGTAGATCTTCAGTGCAACTTCCCGCTCGACCGGGTCGTGGCCGACACCATGGTACACATTCGCTTCCTTTCCCGTGCTCACGCAGCCGTTAATTTCAGCAACTACCCCCCGCCCCACCATTTTCAGCAGCACCACGCGCGTCCGTGCATCCAGAACCTGCTCCGTCGTCGCACGGTCAGCCTTGTCTTTGAGATTCGCGTGGGCAGATGCGCCTTTTCTGTTCACGCCGACCCCCAGCCTATGGTCCATGTTGGCGATTCGTGAGCCATACTTTGAGGACAGGAGCGCCAGTTGCGACGCTGTTTGGTCTTTTGCAACCGTACTTGCCGCTTTGCGAGCCGCCATCGACTGAGAGGGATGATTGACGGCCGGGAGAACAGCAACATTGCTCCCTTTTCCACCGGCAGGCTTCGAAGGCGTCGTCGGGGCCGTACTCGTTGCTGATCCAGATCGCACTGCGAGGTGCTGTCTTAGACGATTGTATTGTTTCGTGAAATCTGGTTGATCATCTAAGCTAATCGCCACGACTTATGCGAGAACATACCTTTCTCAGCTACTTCCCAGTCTTCGTCCTCAACTCTCACTTGATCGTACTCTTCAGAGTCATCCTCCTCCTCCTCCTCATCATCATCATCATCATCATCCCAAGTTAGGTCGACTAGCTCAGAGTCATTAATGCGTGCATACCCCACATCGTCGGGTGCATCGTCAAACTGGCCATCTTCAACGTCGTGGGCAGGAGCGACAGTGGTCATGAATGACAGGGAAAAAAAATAAAATTGATCGTTGATGTCATTTGGATTCCAAATCAGGACATGGTACGTGCCTGACCGCGCTATGGTATCACGACCGTGCTGTAGCTGACACTAATACTACTCTGACACACATGCATGCTGTGTACACAGTGCGATAAACGAGGATAATCATTCGAGGACATCGATCAGATTGTTCGGACCATGTCCAGCAATAGTCAATCTGAACCAATGTTAACCATTTCTGATGGTGCTGGCCTTCAACGTCAACCCTAAACTCGCGTAACAAACTTGAAAATTCGAGAATTACAGGTAAAGAAAACATACCACTAATCCCTATGATTCCTGCCCATAAAAATACCTCATAATCGCAACACTATGTGTAACGGTCAGATTAAACAAAGGATGAGATGCGTTCACTCGGTTCGCCTTCCCTCCAACAAAAACCGGGCCTGCCTCATCTTCCTGCCAACAAAGTGCCTCGGTAAACACTTTCTTTCTTGTAGAATTATCCGAGCCTTTCCATCCCGACTTGAGTTCTTTCGACTTGTGCTCCGAGGGAAAAACCCTATGCTGCGCAGCAGATAAGCCTGCCAAACAATACAATGTGTGGTATGCATCTGCACTCTTCGGTGGCTTATCCCGGAGGCCGCCTGCAGGATGTTGCCCGGCAAGAAGAATATACTCTTGGAGCGCCTCCCGGTTGAACAACGATTCGTCCACATCGACCCATCCAGCATCGCCATCCTCATGTTTCTCCTCATCATGAGAAGAAGAAGAGTGATGCCCATGAATCGCCTCCAGAAGGGCAAACGCACCCCCCACCCACCATGAATAGCATCCATCCACGAGCTTGTTCGTCCGACCTTTAAATCCTCCAAGCTCGATCTCTACTCCTTGCATCTGGACTAGCCATCGCAGTAGGTTGGTCTCGTTAATATGATCCAACTTGTTATCCGACATTGGCTGAAGAAGAACCCAAGACGCCAACGCACAGAATGTATACCCGCCATGCGCCTCGCCCAGCGGGGGTTTCGGACTCTTTAACAGTGCTCCATCCTCTCCAAAGTAAGGCTGGGACGCAGACGCAAACCCTCCTTCATATGTCTGGCATGACCTCACAAATTCGGCAGTACCATCAACCAACTCTGGTGTCATAAGATCAAGAAGCGTTGCGACGGCTAACAGACAGTAGATGCCTCGCATGTCCACTTCAGCATGGCGGGCAACAAGGAAAGATCCGTCGGGTTGTTTCAAAGAGATGAAGAACTGTGACATCTTCGCCCTGTGAAGGATATCTCAGCCAAGAAAGTAATACAACCTATTGACTGACGAGACTCACCGGTCAATCTGATCCCATCCGCCTCTTTCACCCGGTCGTCCAGCGATAGCGAGCGCACACACAGCCGCATATGTTGGTAGGAGATGCGCCGCCTGTCCCGGCCCACCTCCGAATCCACCATCAGGGTGTTGCCAAGTCAGGATCGTATCAATAGCTCTGTCAAAACAAATTAGCACTATGTATATGTCAGAACAGAAAGCACGAACACACCTCTGCTTATTCCCGGGATCTAGCGCGACTCCAAGAATACTAAACGCTTGTAAAGTCCAGAACATTAACCATGGCTGGCTCGCATCCTGCGATACGTATCTCGCAGGGAATCCCTGTGCCAGGTTTCGCACAAGCCACTGCATGTGCTTTGTCTTGTGCAGCTCTAAGTAAAGGGCCTTTGTGTCATCATTCCTTGGTAAAGGCAGATGCTTCAGCAAGAGCTCCTCAGTTTCCCGCTGGATATGGGAAGTGGACGTAGGATAAGCATCGGTAGGCGTGTATGTTGGGGCCATGATGAAGTACTTGTACGTCTAAAAACGAATAAAAGATAGGCTCATTTCGAAGAACAAAAGAGAGCATTCACCATGTTTGTTAACGAGCCGAGATTCAATCAAATCAACGTCATTTCGATCGTAAAACGGTAACTTATGCAGCGTTATATACAGAATAATCATGATAGCAACGAAGAAAGCGAAAGACTCCATTAAAACAAGCATCCTTTACTGTTTTTTCCCAGCTTCTATTGCCTCGCCATTCTTACAGGCAATGATTTTTATCTTCGGAGCACTGACAATCTCGCCCCCCTCCATTTTGAATGACGGATCCTTTACGATGAATGTCCAAACGTCATCACACAGACGGTATGTATGAAGATGACCCTACCAATGAGCAGCATCAAATGGCATTCTCCCACGACGAGATGAACATACGCGCACCTTCAAGGACGTCTTCACCTTGACCTGCTTCACCATCGTGTCTGCAAGCGATTTGTCGAACTGCAAATATTACAGTATGAGTATGGAGCCACCTAGTCAGACAACTCCCACGAAACCTGTTGCAGAACCTTCATAGCCAACTGGGGTGTTATGGCTCCACTGGTAATCAGCTCATCCAGTGAATCTGTCAGCGCCATCCCGATGCTTTAAGTATCGGTGAGTCCATGTCTTTGTCCAGTACTCGCGGGCGAGCGGGACATACGAAGAACCACGATAGAACTCGTAATAAGCAGTCGCCATGATATTGCTGGTGGACGAAATAAATCCACAATGTTATGGATGAAGATGTCAATGAACGACTACCGCCAACGCAGAGCAAGGCAGTCACAGGTGTCACACAAATCCCTAGCAGGATTCTGCCGCGATATTTGTTTGGATTATTTGAATCTCCTCGAAAATTGTGACAATGAGATAAGAGTAAGATACACGAGCGACTAAGTAACGGAGACTGGATATGATGGTGATGATGCTAGATGCTAGTGATAGGTTTCGGAACGAGAATGAGAATACATATGGGCACAGTGGAAGAAAAAATTCAGTATGTAACGTGTATGCGCGGAACAAAATTGGTTTTGGAACAAAGAGGAAAGAGAAAAATAAGGAAAGGGATATAGAAGAAGCATACCAAGTATTTTGAGCCTCAAATCGGTTTCATCGTTCTATGAACGATGATGTTTTTTCCGCATATCCAAAACAAGAGGAATAGACCAACACCACTGCTCATTTATTTTATGCAATAGGCGAACTTCCTCCAGTCTGGTGAAGGTTCGTCCTTTGTGAAGACCCAGCACCCCTACTTTTCGAGTTTGGATGATGCGGATGGTGGTGGTGAAATAACTTCCCGCTACCTTTTCCCTTTAAATTTTTGGGAATTGCAACCATACCGCCAGCTTTCCGTCGCAGCTTCCTCTCTCTGCGAATTTCTTTACGCGTCCTCTCGCCCTCTCCATTCAAGTTCGCATTCTTCGTCCCCATCTTGTTCTGCCACAACATCTCAGCTAACGGGCTGCTTTTCATGACACCGCCATATCCGTGCCCATCAGATGCCGTGTCGGAATTCCATCCGCCAATATCTTCACGAGTCTTACGAAAAGCACCGACAGATATGAGGTCCCATCTCGTGAGGTTACGCATGTGTTCAAACGTTGTAGGCGTCGGCGCGGAGTGTTCGGAAGATGATCCCTCGAGAAAGGCCGAGTCAAGGACATCATCAAGTTCAATGGAAGGCGCCAACATGGAATGTCCGGACTCAGGCTCAGGAGAAGTGATGCTAAGTGCATTGATAGCTTCAGTAGTACTGCTGGGAGTTGCAGATCGTTTAGAAAGAATGAACTGCGGAAGAGGGCGGTTGATCTAGAAGAAAAGACAAGGCATTAAAACGCAATACTCAGAGATGAGAAGAAACAACGTACACCTTCAATCCTTCTTCTTCCTCTGCCTCTTCCTCTGGTTCCAGTATGAGGTGAAGGGACCGGTTTGTGTTCATTGTCAATGACAACCACTTTATTATCATCGACCAAAGTCTCAACCTCAAAATAGCCTTGTCTTGGACCACCAACAGTCTTTGGTCTGGTATGAGTTTCTTCCTCCTCTTCCTCTTCGTCGTCGAACTCTCCAAACATTTTCCCGGTCAGAATGTCTCCGGCAGTACTTTTGGTCATCAGCTGTCCCTGTAGGGCACGCCGACGGATTGGACTCATCGTCGACAAAGGATTGATGGACTCTACGTTCAATTCGAATGGAAGGTTGAACAGACGCATTGCGCGTTCGTTGGGCAAATCGTCTGTGCCTACGAGATCTTCATCTGTGGTGTCGCCGCCATCGCCCGCTTCTTCTTCTCTGTCCTCATCCTCCTCATCTGCATCTTGCATATTGACGTCGTCATCATCGTCGTCAGCACCGCTAGGTGAGGCGCTGCTGTCTACAATGAACTGGGCAGCCATGGCGTCGAATTCTGCTTCCAAGACACCGCCTCCGGGACCACTGGTGAACATAAGTTGGCCATCCCAGCCTTCCGTCACTTCGAAGGGAAGATCCCGAGGCTGGATACTGGCAAGGGCTCCGGCAAGGGCGACTGGGTCTATTGTAACGTCTTGTTCTTCCTCGTCGTCGTCGTCGGAGGAGGAGGAACCCGAAAGATTGGCAAAGAAAAGATCTGCGTCAAAGCTAGATTCTTCGCCATCTGACCATCCTGTGGCCATGCCAGTGTACTTAGGACGGCCGTCTTCTTCGTCATCTCCTTCCTCTGCATCACCATCTTCATCTTCTTCGGCAGCTTCTTCGTCTTCTTCGTCGTCGTCGTCGTCGTCGTCATTATCGTCATCCTCCTCATCAGTTTCGCCGTCCATATCCACGTCACTGAGGCCTCCTACACTCGTCTTGCGTGGATGGATAACCCAACTGTCTCTTCTTCTGCTCAGGCTACTGGGCACGTCGTCACCCAGCAACTCTCTCCTAACTCTCGCACGTTCTTCAGCAAGAATAAAATTCTCCTCCTCTGCCTCGATTGAGGAGTCGGTATCAAAGTCGTCAGAGTCGTCCGAATCAGTAGATGACGCCGCAGACGACAAAGCAGATGCTGACACGAATGTAGGGAACTGGATGCACCGTGCGTCGTCATCATCGATGTCTGTAAGTTCGGAAGAATCGGCATTCGATGCCGCTCGCTTGCGCTTGGTAGGAGGTGTTTTCTTTTTGAATACTGATTTAGGTGGTGGTTTTCTACGCGTTGTGGGTGCTTTAGGCGGACGAGGGGCATTCTTTGGAGGCCTGCCTCTACGTTTGGGGACATGGGCCGAAGACAAAGAGTTTCCGTCGTGTGCGGTGGCGAATGTCGTCTGCTCGATATGTTTTCCACGAGAAGCCGGCTGGGATTTGGTTACACGGAGCGCAGGGGGTACTGTGAGACGTATTTTGAGAACGGGTTTCGAGGGCGAAGAAGAGGGCGCAGGGTGATTGGAAGAGCAGGTGCATTCGCCATCGCACACAGGGCAAATATCGTCGTCGTCGCCATCCGGGCTGTTTGGTACGGCGTTTACGGTATGGGGATGAGTAGGCGACATTGAGTGAGTCTGTTGGGAGGGTATGTCTAGTGGTCACCGTTAGCGGTAGCTCTAGATTTCGTGGACAACAGAGGAAGCGAGAAACCATCAAAACGTAAAAGGGCCACGCTGCAGAGACGACATATGGGCAAGAAAAGAGAGGATAGAGAAAGGATAACAGAAAGAAGTTGCAAGAATCTGACAACGAGGTAGAATACGTGTAAAACGTACGGAAAGCTGGATGTGCAGGACAGCAAGGCAGAACGGCCCTGATATTTTTGGCGGGTGCCACAAATCTGGAAGAGACTCACATACGAAAGAGTTTTTGGGCATGATTTTGAACAATTAAACATGGGTAGCAGAGTGTATCCAGGTTGAAGGCAAGTAGTGTCCAATGGACGACGTGATGGTCTCGGTTCAAGAACGAGATGGGCGTGAGCGGTCCAGTCACTATTTCGCAGCCGCACGGTAATAATTTCACCGCATTATTTGCGTCTTATTTCAAAATTATTATTATTCCTCCCCTTTTTCTCCCAGTTTGTCCCCTTATTTGGCAACGCCATCCTGTCATGTCGTTCCGCCATCGATAATAACCGAGAAATGTGGTGGAAATTCCAAAGATAATACAACAGACTTCTCTGTCGAGGTCGGCTGTTCTGTTCAGTTCTTTCTGTCGTTTTCGGCTGGTAATGCGACCTAGGTTTCTCCGCGTCAGTGCTATCTAGCACAAATTCAACGAGTTCCGAGTACAACCCCCGCGAATCATTTCTTTTCTTGATCTGTCACATCCCCTACCGGAGCTAGTAGTACTATTCCTTACTTTCTAATGGCTGAATTCCTGCGGATGTACGGTCACGGGCTCAACGTCTCGACCAATCCCTACACCTGTCGGCCACCTGCCATTACTCCAGATATCGCATCCCACAATTCTTACGGCAATGAACCCTTTGCATCCACCGTTGCCTATAAATCCCACGTCCGATATCGTGCTACATCAGCCGCTTCAGGTTCTAACCCATCTGCCCAGTTAATGATGTCCCCCTCCAGTCAGATTCTACAGTCCTTTGATCCCTTCGCTACCCATCCATTCACCAGATACTCTACCCCTCCGACCCCCAATGCTGCACCGACTTTTATCCAGACCTCGCCTAAACCTTCTTCACCTCTTGCACAGAAGTCCACTGTGTCACCTTCCTCTGCCAAGACCCCTGCATCCACATCCACATCCACATCCACATCACGCATCTTCACATCATATAGCGGCAGGCAGTCGCCAGACCCCGAACTCGACCAAATTCTGAAGAAGAAAACACCAACCAAAAACAAGTCCTAAGTCATCGGTCATTCTTCCTCATCTAAAATATCATGGAGACTGATTTGTTCATTCCTGGACAGCAGCCTTTTTTGAACCCTTCCAATGTACGCGTTCCATGGTCACTCCGACGAGTCTTACACGTACTATTAGAATCCACGACATCGGTAGCAATGTTGATAAGGAGGGGTCTTGTAATATGTAGTAGTATGGGACGGAGTCCTTCAAGTAACTGTTGGTTCCTGGATACGTGATTTATGGCGCTTCTTTGGATCCAGCTACCCGTTCATGGAGCCTCATTGGATTTGTCCTGTTGTAAAGTCATTCTACCACTCATTTTTGACGGATCAAGAACAATGTCTTGGCCCGTGGTATCGAGGACATACGCTTTCAGTGTCCGAGCAAAAATTTGGGGATCTCGAAGTCCGAGGGTCTTCAGCGGTCTAAGGTCATAGGATCACGACTCAAGGTAAAGTTGTATACCAAGGAAGCATTCCGCCTGTCACAGTAGATATATTGGTTTTCCCCCTCAACGAACGCCGTTTCAAAGCTCTAACGTACGATCTCTTAGAACTGCAAGACGGTTCTCATTGAAGCGGCAAGCGAGTAGATCATGCCCACGCCCACTCCGGTAATAGATGCACTGTCAGGATAATCAAACTCGTGATCGTCTCGAGACTGAGTACGCGTCAACAAAGTGCCCAGTCGCGACAGGTTGGCTTACTTAGTGGGAAAAGCTTTGAATTATTGGGCCCCAGGCAATGGTCTCGGTATCATTAAGCTGATAATAACATATAAGCTCTCACGACTAAGGATATTGGACCGGTACTCTACCCTAGGAGGCCTCGCCTGTCTAGCACAGCCACACGGACTGTCCTTCTGTGTCCCCATGTCGTCGGTCCCAGCTACATCGGCAACCCAGGCCAAAGACCGCCTTTATGCCCAGCTTGCGAGCAGTCTCGGGAGACTTAACAGATCTATCAGCACCACTGCAGATCTATGCGAGCAACTGCAGATAGATCTGCAAGCAATGAGAACCTTTGCTGGGCTCGATGCCGCCAAGTGAGCACCAAGGTTGGCTCTGTACGACGTGATTTTCACCCTTTCCACAGATTTATAGCAATCGCATCTCAACTGAATCAGGACGTTGAAGGCGATACCAGTGTGATATCTGGCGGCGATGATTCACAGTGACCCGATTTACGCGTAGGTTAGCAATAATTATAAAGGTTTTTGGAACGACTGCTTCGCTAACGGCGTCTTTCTTAGGGAATTTTGTAATACTAAAATAATATCCGTGTGCAATTACAGGTATATGTAACATAGAAAAAATCAAAAGCAAGACCACCCGACTATCGTCCAGATGTACTGCTTCTCAGAGATTCTCCATCTGCGACCCATTCGCCTGACCGCCACCTGAGATACCCGTGATAGTCTTCTGCAGCTCATTCCACTCCGACTCCTTCGGCAAAGCTATGTCCCCGATGTCATACACATAAAGCTTGCCATCGCTACCTCCCAAGGCAACACGTCTGCCATCCTTATGATCCCATTGGAGCTTGTTGATAGCGCGCCCAGATCCAACCGTGGTCGAATCGAACGGAACCTGTGCGATCAGCCATCAGTTCATACAAGGTCTATCGCCAGCCAAAATGAGTCTCACCTCAGTATTCGCATTTAGATTCCACAAATCAAATTTCCCAGCACCATCTACTGTTCCAAAGAGTGCCGGATGTGTTGGATGCCACTTCACATCGTACACATAGTCATCTGCTTCATCGAAGGAATAAAGCGGAGAAATGACGTGTGGACTTGTCGATGGTTTGGTTAGAGATTTGGCCCTCCATAATTTCACAGTCCAGTCCACACTACTTGTCAAGAATAGATCAGAAAAATCTACCGAGCCTATGAGTGGATGGAAATGGAGGCCTATGATGGGGCCGGCATGGCCTTTGTACACGTCGTATTGGTTCAGACCCGCCTTTGCGCCAGCTCGGTCATACCGATTAGCTTGGTACACATTGCCTTCTTCTGTGCCTACCCAAAATGTGGTTGTTTCGTTGTCGGGAAAGTCTAACGTCGTCACAGCAACCTCTCCGGTTTTATTATGCCCAGCGTGGATAAGCTCCAAGGTTTCCTAATGAATTGGGGATGTATGAGTATTGCGCCTTCCTTGAAACCAAATTGTGGTCTGGCGCGCACCTGAGGCTGCGCCAGCATGTCAACCAGCCAGCTGCAGACAGTGCCATCCGTACTACATGTGATCAAGTTATGGGCATTCTGGGTTCCAACCATTTGCATAGAATATACGGGATGAGTGTGCCCGGCAGCCGACAACGGTGTCTTCAGGACTGGTAGGTGTTTGGATCGGTTGTCCCACAGCAAGATCTGACCGGAATACGTGCCACCAAAAACGAGATTCGAATGGAAGGGGGAGAATGTAACAGACAGGACGTCAGACTGCGGACGGGAGAAGTTAAACTTCAAGGTGATTTCTCGGGTATTATCAAGGCTCACGGACTTGAGAATGAAAGACAAATTCTGGCCGTTCGAGTAGATGTAGATTCCATACGGCAACGATACCATCAGGCTCGTTCAATGCAGCGGGATTCTTGTTGTAAGAAGCCACACTCAGCTCCGGATACTACATGGAATTAGCCAGGCAGAGGCAAAACGGAGCTGACTAACCTGCGGGGACCAGTCAACATCAGTGATAGATCGATTTTTTCCGTAGCGTTCGTCCCAGAATTCGCAGACTCGCTTGACACGTCCTTCGGACTCATCCCTGCTTGCTGTCAACCCATTGCGAAACGAACAGAGACATTAATCGACTAACCCCCCCGTTTCGGTACCAATTCTGTAGTCGCGGATATAATCGTAATGGTCATTCAAGGCTCGGTGGAATATTTTGGTAGTTCGATCCACAAATTCAAGAAGTTCGGGTGCAGCAAGAATTCCGGCGAGCTCCTCAGGTGGTATCTCTGTCCCAAACAGGTCAGATAAATTGGAGATTCTCTAGAAGGAGAACACACACCCTGAATCTCCTGCTCAATCTCTTCGTCTAGTTTGACACTCTCTGCCTCTAATTCTTTATCCAATGCTTCCTCCGCGTTTGTTTCCCTTTCTTTAAGCACGCGCTGCCGTAATTCCTCTTCAAACATAGGTGAAGGCGCCGTCTCCACTTCCACTGTCTGTACAGACTTGCTGTATATTACGCGTTCCTATAAACGAGATGAATGACTTTTCTGACGCGTTGTTGGGTAACGCACCTTTCGAGGTAATTCGAAAAGTTCTTGTTCCACATCAATGAGATCGGGTATGAACCGAGGGGTGATTTCTCTGCTAGCAGTTAGCCTCTACGTCTTCGTTGAGAGCGTGCGCGTATCGCACCGATCTATAACGTTGTCGGTGGCAGAGCTCTGCGACGGAGGCAAAGTCGTCACTATACTGGATGAAAAGTCGCTGGCACGGCTAGCACGCCCTGAAACTGATGCTGGGAGATTTGGCTGGCCAAGAGACGGTGTACCAGGTATTGACGATCCGGGTGTTAGGTCGCCACTGTCCCCTCCTGTTCCCCGGTTGTCGCGCAGGAGATTATTGAGGATATCGTCAACGTCACCTAACCGACGTGGAGTGCTGGTTCCAGTGCCAGATCCCTGCTTAGAAAGGATTCATGTCATTCAAGGGTGGTATGCAGCAATACCATACCTCTCGATCCGAGGTTTTCCGTTCATTTTGTCTATTGATTCTTGCTTGCCGTAGCTCAGCAAGCTTGGCTCGCTTTGCCTCGATTTCCGCTCGCCTTCTGTCGGACGACATTGAAAAGTACTAGAGAGTAAGACAGTGAGGATAGATTTCCGTTTTTGGAAAGTTCGGGCTCTACCGTGCCTTGATTACGGCTCGGACCGAGCACAAGGTGTCACGTGCAGGGGTTGCCTTTCGGGAAATCCGACCCTCAGCTCTTCAAGACAGAGCACTGCTAACGAAAGATTAACGAGCTCAGGCTTAGCCAACTGTCTCCTCTCTCCTTCTATTTTTCTTGGGATACTACTCGGTCGGACACCGTGTCTTACTGAAATGTCTTTGTGTGGATCCTCAAAAGGTACCTCCTTTGGCCGCAGACCAGTACGTCCAGCCTGCGATGAACAACTCGTTCGTTACCTCTGATTTTCTACCTCTAAGATTCAAAGGAAGGTGGTTGGTGAGATGCTATCTTGCTGCATGACTGGTTACAGCATCTGAACATTGTTTGAGAATAGTTTGCGGCGACGGTGCCTGCGGTGCGCCCTTCTACTCTCCTCTTCACTCATTGGCCTTATCATCTTGCTGTAGGAAAAACGTCGCTTCTTAATGTATTCACACGAGGATTCTTTACCCAAGTCTAGTGCGTTGCCTTGGGCGCTTTGTCATTGTCACTCATGTCTCACTGGACTACTCAACACGCTAGTGAACCTACCGTGTTTGAAAACTATGTTCACGATCTCCTGGTCGATGATCAACTTGTAGAACTGAGTCTTTGGGATACCGCCGGTTCGTCAGCCACTCATTGGCAGACATACTCTCCGTCCTGATTAATATTTTTAGGACAAGAGGAGTTCGACCGTCTACGTTCACTCTCTTATGCTGAGACACATGTTATCATGATATGTTTTTCTGTCCGTCTCTGTGTGATCATCTTTGACCGTAGTTGATGTGTTTGAATAGGTTGATAATCCAGTATCTCTGGAAAATGTTGAATCCAAGGCAAGCTAGACTATTGCTCACTGCTAATGTATAACACTTACCAGGCTCGCAGTGGTTAGACGAGATTCTTGAGTACTGTCCAGGGGTCAAGGTGCGTGCTGTCTTCTAACTCACTTTTCCCCGATACTCAACTTGGGTCTAGCTGGTGCTTGTAGGTCAGTCTGCTTTTCACCAGAACGTTTATCGTCGTCTTTTCATATGCGACCAGCTTTGAAGTGTGACCTTCGCGATGACAGAGCGGTGAAGGACCGGTTGTTACGGTACGGAACACACCCCGTAGAATATGAAGAAGGGCTTTCAGTGGCTCGACGAATACGAGCATCCCGATATCTAGGTCTGTTCATTCCGTTGTGCTATTTTTCCATCTCATGCAATCCCAAAACAGAATGCAGTTCGAAGCATAACCGTGGTGTCACAGAGGTCTTCTACGAGGCTGCCCGTGTATCGCTGAGCACGCGTGCCAAAGGCTCTCGCGACAACTGCATCATAATGTGAGAGAAATCACTCAACATCGGACCATCTCTCCAATGGAACTCTGCTAAACGTACCCACATACCCTGTACCTTAATTGTCCTCTGCATCTTGCTTTCATGCACCGTCATATAATAGTTCACTCATCTACACATGTATTTCTCCGTGTATGCATACTCTCGCAGTTTTTCTCTGACAATCAGGATATCCAAGGGACGGAATGAAGCATAGCAAAGTAGCATCCAATTAAAAGAAACGTAAGTGCAATATCTTGAGTCTAAAAAGTAAAATGTTCGACGTCTTAATAAAAACCAGTCATCGCAGGAGCCATCCCGTTCATCGCAGGAGGAGCTTGTCCCGCAAACCCATTCGTCAAAAGCAGAGTGTTTCCAAACCCACCCGGGTTGATCATGGGTGCTTCAGCTTCAGCCTGCTCCTTTTGGCTGTCCTTTTTCGACCGTTCTTTGACTTCCTTCTCGAGTTGTATCAACTAAATCGACATGGGAAGTTATTACTGGTACTACTCAAATGAAACGTCACGTACCTTGTCAACCAATGATCGTTGAATCTGTATCTTGTAAGGCATAAAGAAATCGTTGAGACCATGCTGCCATGAAAGCTCCTCCACAACATCGGATCGGAGGAGGTCGAAACAAATGTACAGTATGGAGGCGAAGCATTCCTTGTTACCGATGTCCACGAAATATGAAAGCAAATCTTCGGCGACGTCAATCGAGCCCGAAGCGGCGGCGGTAATCATAGCATCCTTATACAGCTTGTCTTGCTTGGACAAAGATATCGACTCCTCCCATCGTGAGTTTTTCTGTTTCACCAAGGGTCAATTATGGCGTGAATAATGTTTGAATGACTTGATTACCTTGTAGAGGTGGGCGGCGAGTCTTCGGAATTCCAGTAGCTCATGCTTCTCCAATCTCCTGGCAAGCGCGATATTGTCGAAGTTGTCAAAGCTATCGATCGAGTCCCGTAATGTCTTATAATCTTCTTCTTCAATGAGCAAATCGTTGTATGCGTCATTGACAGCATCGATGTTGAGCTACAAAGCATAGTTGTTAGAATGACGTGGCGACATGAAGACATTGGTAAGGTTTACATTCTGCACGGCAATCAGATACTGACGAATAAGAGGTATATGGTCTATGCCCCGGAACTTCCGTACCACGCGGCTGTGGTCGATACGCGAGATAAGAACGGAGAGTAGATCGGTCAGCAAGGTGGGTTGTTCCGTGAGGTAGAAATCAAGAGCCTTGTAGTAACTGCACAAAAATGGTTAGCGCGTGAATGCTAAGACAAAGAGCGTGCTGACATTTCGACATTTGCAGCCCTGACAATGACATCCTTGAACTGATTGTGCTCCCATGCATCAGCTGACCGTTCTATCATCGCAAGCGCCGCATTGTCCTACACCATAATAATAAAATGAGTCGCTGATAGATGGAAAGGAATGGGTGCTGACAAATTCATCGTATTTGATGTACAAGAAGACGAGCTCAGGCCATAGATGTGCCTTCTCAGTCGCCTTAAGGACCTTGGGAATATTGATACGAGACACAAACAGTTTCAGGTGTTCCATTACTACAGGACACCGTTAGTAACATAAAGGACAGAAGTGTGTAAACTTACGTCGAGAAGGCTTATACTTGCTGAGCAAGATCGACAACTCAGTGAAAATGCCCATGTGTGCTCGCTCCAAGCTAAGACCAGCTTCCAGAAGATTGATGATCTCCTCAAAGTGACCACGCCTCTCATAAATTTGTACCAGAGTCGACAATTCCTCCTTTAAAAAGATCAGAGAAGTTAAATGCTTCCACAAGAAATAAACTTACCGCATGAACAATGATGTTAAGACCACAAATTTGGGCCTGCAGGGCGTCAGCTCAAACTCAATGAGCACACAACGAAATAGACATACTAAGCGGAACTCAGACTTCTCAATACAAGCAGCATGCACCTGTTTCCAGACCCTGCACATACTCAACATCCATGAAAGTAACCATTGGAACGAACTCACTGTGTGTTCCCAGCCTTCCTGGCACTCTCTACGGCAGCTTGGTTTTCTCCCAGGTAAATCAAGGTCGTGGCCAATCGCGCCCAGTTTGAGATGCTCGTGAACAAAAGCTTGGCTGCTTGGTATAGCTCGTCCTCAAAGCACTTTTCACCAACTTCGAGAATATCAGCGACATTCGTCATGCCGAGGAAGTCCTCCATATCGTGTAGACGGTCCGTTTTAGCATATGCGTAAGCCAGCTCGGTATCAATCTTAGGTTCTCGCAGGGTCTTACGAGCCATCTGGAGGAAACGAACAAGGTCGTCATGCTTGCCAGCATGATTGGAAATTTCAATAACTTCAACGAAGTTGGACGGGTCCTCAGCCTTGATGTACGAATCTGTGCAAGCGAGGATGAGCTATCAGGCAATGGAAGTACAAAGAAGACACCTGCCAATTGAATCCTTGATTCGGAGACCATCCAATTGGGCCTTCGCCAGTCTGCTCCAAACTTCAGGCTTGTTAACTTTGTTGGCATAATCGAGACCACGATCGATGGACACTATGTGTTCAACTAGAACGTTCATGGCCATAGCGTGCTGTTCGTACTTCCTGTAGATGCTGAAGGCTTCCTCATACAACCCATGCTCCGTTGCAATCCTGGCAATTTCTCCTGCATCGTAATTTTGAAGCTTGTTGATGTAACCGACGACCTTTCCTTTATCCGCACGGATAGCAGTGAGTAACAGCAGATTCTGCAGGTTGCGGTTGTCGCTGAACGGCGAAGGATCAATGATGATTTTCTCCAACAGCTCAATCAGCTCAATAGGAAGGTCAGCCTGAAGGAAAGCTTTGACGGTGATGGAAACATCATCAGGATCGGTGCATTCAGGAAGGGCCGTCGCAACGATCTGAAGGAGAGGCGCTCGTGAGATGGTTCGTGGACAGCGACCAAACAGACCTTACCTGGTCAATCAATTGTCGACGGTGAATGTTATCCGGGACAAGTACTTGAGCCCAGAGGTCAAGCTCACGACGCTTGACAAGATAGCGGGCCTGCTGCTTAAACATCGAGTTTTCGTTTGTGATAGCGACAAGCTCTTCATCGCAGAAACCTTTGGCGTAGGCGATGTAGGCAAGGTACGGGTCTCGTTTTTCACAGAATTTACCGACGACCAGAGGTTCGTACAACTACAGTCTACAATTAATAAAGGTGAGTCAGAGGAGAAGAAGTCACTCGCGTTGTTCTCCTTCAAGAAAGTCTCCGGGTTGTTGTTGCTGTCGATGTAAATCTTCGCGATAGCATTGAAAACAGCTGAATCTTGAGATCCTGCCTGAACGCGAGCTTCGAGCCATGGAAGAATCAATTTCAACCTGTTGCGTTCCTCTACTTCATGAACGAGTTCATCAATAGGGAAGTTACCGGTGACCGAGGCAAGAAGACTCTTGATAGTTGCCTCATCGCAGTCAACATCCAACAAGCCGCCCACGACTTGAGGTGTTCGTACGGAGTTGACACGTTGCACATATACTTCGATGAACTTCGTGAGCCCATTCTGATACAAGTAGAGGACGAGATCGTGAACGAAGTCGAAACGATCGCAAACAATGATAAGGGGAAGTTGGTCGCCGAGCTTAGCCTCCTTGAGGAAATTTTTGACCTTTTCGGGATTATAATAGTTGCTCTCGCGACAGATACGCTCCACTTCCCGAATCTGGCCGGTTCTGGTAGCTGCTTGAATGTACTTGAAATGAACCTCGGGATCAGTGCTTAGATTGACAATGGAACCAAGGTAATAGTATAGTCCTGAAAGAATTCGTTAGAGTCCTGAGAGAAAGTCGATCATGCTTACCCTCGAAAGTCTTAAAGCTTTCAAACATCTCTATCAATTTGACGGGCCCAAGAATGTCGGAATACTTCGTCGCAATTTGAATGACCACTTGAAGATTCTGACGAATGTTGACACGAAGCATCTCTTGCAAACAAGCCATGGATTGTTCCGTGGTGAGACGGCTGAAGTAATTGATCAACCACTAAGAAAGGCGTTCAGATAGTAGACCAGATAAAAAATAGTTTGCTTACATCCGGTTGCACAGCGGTCGTGTGGACAATAGCCCGCTTAATGTCCGCGAGATCTTCGTAATGTTCAAGGGCCTAGAGAACGTCAATGATCTCCTGATAAAGCTCAGCAACAGAGACCTACCCTTTGTAGTAATCCCGCCTTTTCACACAAGTTGGCAATTCTGGGACGATCATAATGCGTAAACATTTCGTTACCCAAAATAGCATCTGCGACCTGAGGTGCATGCACAAGGTTCATCTCGAGTAAACGAGTCTGGAGTGGCCCTTGCTCAGGCTTGTTGTCCTTCAAAGCATCCAGCAAGAATGACGTTGCGGGCTGGATCATGTTTTGAGACATGAAGATGTCAACGACCTAAAAGCAAAGTGAATAACGACGGGAACGTCGGAAAAAGGCTTTTACACACCCGCTCAATATCAACAAGAGGTCCACTTTCGTCGTTGACTAGAAGAGCGGCAAACTCAGCACCTTTGTCCGGATTCGTGCGCATGACATGCTGAAGCAAAGCAACATAATCCGGCGAATAACCAACTTTCTTTGCGTAAAGGATGATCTTTTCTGTCTGGCCAGTCTCGGCGAAACATGCAATGACCTTGTTAGGAACGTTTGCGCGAAGATAGACACTCAAGGCAAGCGTCATGTCGTGCAGCCTAACGATGTCACCGAGTTCTTCGCTGCATGTCAGCTGCGAAGGAAAATCAATGCGAAGGACTACATAACACAGACAAAGATATCACCTTGTTCTCTTTCAACCATTTTTCCAAAAGCTGCTTCCGCCCCTGTTGCAAAACCGGGCGTGCCAATTCCAACGACTCCGAATGGTTCAGTTCACCCTTCTCAAGAAGTATACCAAAGTATTGCAGGATAGGTGATAAGCCGCCAGGCGGAGCTGGCGCTGCTTTGAATGACTCGATAACTTGGGTCGTGCGCAGGATACCCTATGTCATGGAGTGAGCAGGGATTGTCATTTAAAAGATCCAAAAATGGTTACTCGAGGTGAGTTGGCGGCTATCTTGGCAGCCTCGCCGTATTGCCCACTCTGGAATAGCTGCTGATATTGCTTGACGTAGAGATCGTCTGCACCCGGAAGGTTGCCTCGGCTAGCCAGCTTGAAGGCGAGCTCGGTGTTGTTGAGCGTCGTGAGAATGTAGGGAATAATGGTTTGTTCATCAACGTTGACGCTCAGTACTTGGCCCTTCTTGTTGATACCGATGATACCATTGGTTGCCTCGTGCTCGGCGGTGACGAAAATAGTCTCGCCCGAGATACGATTCATATAAATGCAAGCACCCGACTCCAGGTCGTATAGATGAATGAAACCGTATTTGGTGACGAGATAGATTATTCCATGTTGTTGGGATACCTGCATGGCTACAGGAAAGTCGTTTGTCGCCTCAGGAGGGAAGTAGACATCAACGGCCTTCTTGATGAAAGGTGGATCTGGCGGAGCATGATCTATCTCAACGATGTGCAACTGTGGGAAGGGACATCAGAATGGGTCGTGACAAGTTTTAAAAGTACGAACCTTGGCGCCTGCTGCGGTGCGAACAGAGAACGCAAATAGTTTCGTCGGCTTCTGATGACCATCCAACTTCAACTCTGCAAAGGCTGCTGCGTGTCCTTCAATCGCTTGGCTGACACCGCGGTCGCGACTGTAGAGTTGCATTGACCCTTTAACCCTGAAGGCGGAGGGGTTTGTCGTGTTGCCGGAAATACCGACAAGAACCAGCCATTTATCATCGGGAGTGGCACGGTAGTTAATGATCTGTGTTCCCGCAAGGGTTGGATTCCGGTCGAAGATTTTCTGAGGCCCGGACGTTTGGTCTGCAATGCTCCAGTGGAAGACGGAGGACTCGGTGACCATGCCAATAGTGGTATCATTTATCCACGTCCAGTAGACGATGTCCTCGTTGCTGACATGGGACTTAACCTTCTGCTTAGCCTCAATGTTGAAAATTTGGAGCGTGCGCCCGGCTGTGCCATACTATTGAGTACGTAACTAGAAGAACGACAACGGCCACGACGCACCTTTCAAGGCTAGAATCTTTTGCTTCGGATGCATTATCGCAGAGTCTGCAGATATTGGACGGCGAAGAACATTGTTAGCATCGGCAAGGTCTACAATGACCACCTGGTTCTGTTCGCCAACTTTCTCCCGTACACAAATGAAGTGGTCAGACTCGAGCGTCAAGGTCTGCAGACGCGAGAAGTGAGCTGTGTCCTATACGAAAGCATTCTGCCTACCTAGAATGAACAAGGAAGTCGAGTCGGTCAGTACACGACAGCATATAAGCAATACGTAGGACGCGAATACCTGGAATGAGATAGAAGCTGGCTGAACACCGACACTTGAGAGCTGCAAGTGCTCGCAAAAGGCGATAGGTTTTGAAATATCCATGACAGCCACGGCAGGTGAATCGGGGGGCGTTGGACGCCTGTACAAGTGGTTGACGAAGGGATTGGAAGAGGTAACTATTTGTTGCCCATTGTTTGGCTTCCTCCACCGTCGCTTCACCGGCCACCATCATATGTATGTTTTTCCAGAAACTGGAAGACTTTTGCTTACCATCGTTGGGATTTTTGCTTGAGGGCAACCTAGGGAGGATAAATCTTTGGGAGGAATACGTTCCGCATGCTTCCAACACCTGTTTCCTTTACCCTAACCTGCACGTGTTGTGCTTGCTTTCTCTCCAGTGCGATAATCTGTGCACTACCGATAGCTGGGACTCTTTCGGTGATTTGACCGAAACGCTGCATTTTCAGCACGTTTAAGTGTCAACCGGTCTAGGGCATGCGTACATACAGAATCTTGATCAATATCGATACAGGTGATGATACTATGGCTACAATGTGGGGGATGAAATGGGTACTCTGCAGTGCTCTAAGATTCATGGTCGATAAACCTGGAATGCTGCACCTCACTTGTCATCCTATCATTTGGATGCAATCCATTTACTCCACAGGTCTTCATACCGCTTCTGGTTCCAGGACGTCAACTCCATGAACTCTGCGAACGCTTTCTGGGGAAGCTGTAGCATCCCCTGTGTCGTTGTGTGAAAAACATCGCTTGAAGGGAAAATGGCGAGGAGATCTGAAGGTGCGATGCGCGCTGTCGGCACGTGTGTCTCGAGAAAGAGCCTTTCGCCAAAGGGCATGAAAGTATACACGTCCAGCCACCCGTCGCACCGAGAATGTGATCGTGCCGCTGATTATGGTCGGAGTGGTCGGTAAAGCAGTTCTCATACTGATTCGCAGAATGTTAAACGTCACTTACATTGTACAATCGTGACCCGATGTTGAACCATTGCAATGGCAACGGCTCCGTCACTCAGCATTTCACCTCTAGGGAATATAAAAGGAGAGAGTGAGACCCCGCAGATAATGAAGGGAAGGTGGCTCCGAATACTTGGGTTGGCAGGATTGGGATCATGCGTCCAATTTATGCTTTTGCTCATCCCCACATGTCGAGCTAGGTATCCATTGTTCTCTTATCACAAAGCGGCGTGTTGTAGAAACGTGCCTTTGCTTGCATTGTACGCTTCTAAAACGGAACAATATGGAGGAGTCGTAATACGTAGTAAGTACAAGGCGATTTCCTTACTTGGTCGATGAATCATGAACTAGACAATGTTCCGTCTGCGATGGTCTATTGTCTACGTTGGGATTTGTTGTGCTTTGAAGCTTGCGCATTCGTCTATCGCGTCATTAATGTCATTCTTTGCAATGCCAAAGAGCCGTGGCCCGTTACTTGTAGTATTAGATTATATTGTAACAAATTTGTCTAGCTGATTAAAACGTAGTTTCAAGTTACATCTACATTTTACCGGAAAAGGTACTGAGGTAATAACGATATCAAAACGCACTTGAGGTGAATGATTGAGTGCGAAGTCATCACAAAGAACAGAAGAATGGAACGGATCGAAGCAAAAGGCATAGTCAGGTCATTGTGGGGGACAGCAGTGGCCGACGAAGTCTAAGATGAGGCTGCCAAGATCCCATAGACACATGATGCAAGCTAACGAGAACAAGATCCTCAACCCGTATCGTATTTGGCTGTGTGCCAACTCGCCAGTCAGGGCTCGAGTCGTCTTCCATTGGTACCGCTTGTCGTTCCTACAATGGTTTAGAAACACTTTATTTAACACAAACTATGATGCGAACCTGAATGAATCGCTGCACACATTTCGCTACGTTCTTTGCCAATTTGGAGCGGGTGATAGGGCATGGCGGTGTTCGAAAATCCCTTGCTGGGATTTGTCGACTCCACGGACGATAACCAGGCCACTGAAGGCAATTTAATCAAAGGCATGGAAGGAAATGGAACAACTCACTTCGATTCTCACCGAAACGCTGGGCCCTCGGTCCTTAAACATTGGTTCGTCACGATCAATTAGACGCCTGACACGTGAGTGCAAAGCGTCAGACAAAGGTAGACCACATTCTGACGGATCCTGAACCCAAAAATATATCGGCGGATCCAGATTGACCTCCTCCACATACCGACGGCGGTCGCTGCTGGTATGAGGCTTGTACATGAGTTGTGGAACAAATAGGTGCCCAGCGGGAGAGCGCCCAATAGTCACGGCCTCTCGGAAAAAGTGGGCTTGCTCTCTGTGAGTGTATGTTACTTTCTCAAGCTGAGAGCTAGAAGCGTCTGGTGGTAGCTAGAGAGAAAAGAACATAAGCAAGCATCAAACAACGTCCACGATGAAGAACTGACAGTCGTCGAGGTGGATAAAGGAGAGACAGTGGTGCCTCCTTGGGATGACGTCGAAGGTAGCGGGCTGTTGTGTGCTGTAGACGGTGAGGCCTGCGATGGTGCATATATCGGAGGTGGTAGTCCATCGGTAAGGACAGTGGTGTGGTCTTGGGCTACGCCAATAGTCGGGCTGCTAGAGTCGGGATACTGGAAGGAATATTGCATGTAGTGAAACTCATTTGGTGGGTAAGGTAGTGCAGAATACGGGGACACATCACTTGTCGTGACAGAAGAGGGCGGCGCGGCATTGGACCAAGTGGTATCGTTATAATTGGCACTATCACTGTAGCTTGAGGGAACAGTGACGGTCTGATTTGAAGCCGTGTCGGCGCTGGAATCGAAAGGCGTTTCATCCCAAAGAGGTTCCTGAAAAGATGCAAATTGTACAGGCTGGTCAGAGTTGGCGCTTTCCGTGTAACAGCTATTCTCCGGCTCAGTCTCTTGCTGTGGAAGATGAACTTTAGATGAATCAGCGCAGAATAGATCAGCGAAAGCTCACGTAGAGATAGAAGTCCGACATTTGGCGAGGTGTTGCGTATGCCCTTGTCAAGGGCTGGGAAATGTAGCCCCGACCTTGCAGCAAATGATGGTCGGGAGAAGATGAATTCGATGGTGAACGTTTAACGGGTAAGTGACTGGCAAGACGACACATGGGCACGCTGGAATCTTTCGCGGCACAAATGAGTCGGATTCACTCCTTGGGAAATTCCGGCATAGTAAAGGGAGCTAATCGAAAGGCAGAAACGCTGAGGATACACCTTATATATATATGATTCACAGCATCACTGGCCTGCGAGCTTCTGCTGTGGGACGCGTACCGGAGTTTGACGGAGTAAACCTAATTAAAGCAAAGCTGTGAAGATGAATCTGGGCATTTGCCTTTGATCAAGATGATAAACAAGGCATCCCCCGCGCCCGACATGAGAGTCATCGTGAACTGAAGAGATCTCAGGGAGAGAAAAGACCGGTGCTACATGAAGTGATGGGAGGATATAAATTGCGTTTAGAATGCCGTAGCAACACGGCCCAGGCAACAGATCTGATAATATGCACGCGGCGACATCTTTACCGAGTCGTTTCCAGGAAAAGGGTACCGAATATTCAAGAGCAAGGCTGCCCAGGCGCTCGTGGGAAAGGCACGAGTCAAGATAGGCCAGTAAAGGATACTTCAGATGACTCTTGATGACGATGCGACTCTGTACTACACAGCACAGGCATCACTGCTTTCATGCAGGTTCCCCAATAAAATTTGACGACATTGCCCCAGAAGCCAACAGCAGAAGGGGATGGAACTGAGCCGACACACCATCTTTTTTTTTCCAGCTAGAAACGGATAAGCATTTGGTGAAAAGGACAGATCAGCACCGAGCGCTAAAAGCGGTGCATGTGTGACGCCGATATTTACGATTTTTACCACTGATCGGCCTCCCAAAACGGCATTTTCCGTCTTTGGAGGGGAAATTGATGGGGTGCTTCGCCCTGCGTCTCTTCGCCAGAAACCTCAATCACTCTACCACAGCTTAAAACAGCCCCGGCTATAGGCTTCCTGATTCATACAAACTGCTCCCGTTTTCGACCAGGCAATCGCAATGTCATCTCTCGCTGGCGCGCTCGGACCTCACAGCATCCATTCACCCATAAAATCAGAACTTGGCCATGTGAAGCATAGAATTAAAGCTGAAACAAAGTCAGAGGAGGAAGAAGAGATGGATGATTTATTTGGTAACGACGCGGCGATGGAGGCAGAGGCACCAGCCGAGTGAGTGGATCTCAGCTCGTGTCGCAATTCCATGCTGATTGTATCTGACGCAGTGTCGGATCACCTGAAGCCTCAGGGCATGAATCTGAGCGACTCCCTTCGCCGGAGAGAGAGCATCGCAGGGCACTCGAATACGAGGAAGAAGAAGCACCACCCGAGGGGGTTGTTGAATTGCAAGAAGCTGATGTCTCGTTTCCCAACCTTCCCGTACCCAAAAGCTCAGATGGCGACGTAAGTCCATCTAATTATCATCAGAATTGTGCCTCAAGTTTGACTCAAAGAAATGGGTCATTCGAATGCCTAATTTTGTTAAAATCGACACGAAACCATTTCATCCAGAGACATACATGGGTCCAGAACACGACGAAGAAGAGGGTCAGCAGGCACAAACCCTCCGAGAACAGAGTATGACCATCAAACTGAAGGTGGAAAACACGGTACGATGGAGGTGGACTAAGAACGAGTTCGGTGATGATGTGAGCTACCTTTTTTTTTTTTTGTTACATCTTTTCAATGTGTCGTCATGGTCAATTGTAGGTTAGACAGTCAAACAGTCGCGTCATACGCTGGTCAGATGGCACCTTAAGCCTTCGACTTGGAAAGGAATATTTTGATATCAATCAGAGTATTGACATGTCGGGAGGCGTCCCTAGACAGAGCTTTGGTGGTTCTCAGTCGCAAACACAATCTGCGGCGCCCCTCACTATTGGCGGGAAATCTCAAGGTTTAACCTACCTGGTGGCACAGCATAAGCGTTCGCAGGTCTTACAAGCTGAGGCTCTCATCGCTGGATATATGACACTTCGACCGACTGGAATGCAATCCGAAACACATCGCATGCTAGTGAAGGCAGTCAGCCAGAAGCACAACAAGGTCGCTCGACTGCGGTTAGCTCCTGATCCTGTTATGGATCCTGAACGCGAGATGCAAGAAATGATTAAAAAGTCGTCGAAGAAGGCCCCGAAGAGGAAACATGATGATGAGGAGGAGCCGAGTGGGCGGTCAAGGCGACGATCTAGGAAACAATACGACAGTGATGACGATATATACGGCAACGCAGGATCTGATGACGATGTCCACGGTAAGAAAAGTAAACGAAAGGGCGGAGACGAGGAAGGCGGAAGTGGCTATCGAAACGATGACTTTGTCGTTTCGGATGATGAGGATGATGATGGGCACCATGGAAAAGCTGATGAAGAAGATGATTTGGACAAACTGGATGCCATGGCCGAGAAGCAGCGGAAGAAGCTGGGTATTGACGACGCAATGGACGTGGAAAGCGAGGAAGAGGATGAGGCGAGGGTTCGTAAGACCAGCCGCAGCCGGAGACAAGCAACGTACGACGATGACGATGATGAAGAGGAATAAATTAATATGATTGGACCGACTGCACAATGTATAGAATATACAAATATCTCCTGATATCTCTTACACGCTCTCCGGTTCTGCAAACTCCTGCGACCTCCTACCTCCGTACTGCACCAAGGGTGTCCTTCAAAACGCCATTTTCGTCCCATTGCCCTGTCGGTTGTATTTCTTGAACGATTGCCTGGTTCTCCGGGTTGCCTTTTAATAGATTATGCAACGTAAAGATAGCGTGCTCCCGCAAATCTGTCACATTGTTAAGGTACTGGATCACTGATGATGGCAAGTCGAAATACTGACAAGGGTTCCTCTCATCAATAACGCACAGGTTCATCACAACTTCAATGCCGCCGCACTGACGTACACGGTCCTGAACAGCTTTCTGTTCGTGGCACAAAATTCCCAGAAGTCTAACGAGGTCCCTCTTCAGATAGAAAAACCCTGTGTCGGATACATTCGAAAGCGGTGTGGGCGCTGGGCCATCGGACCCAGTTTGGTTTTGGACCGGTCTTCCAAATTTTATTCGAGGTAGAAATCTATCCAGCAAACGGAGGAGCTCTGCCCGGTTAATACAGAAAGTTACGGAACTCGAGCATGTGAGCGCATACCTATCAAACTTTCCGCCAGGCTGTGATTCTCGGACCGTAGCTCGTTGAAGAAGGCTCTGATATTCTGGGGAGAGGAAGACGGGGTTCTGGAGCTAACTGTCTCTTTCTCGGCATCCAGCGTCACTGTCACGATACACTGGGATACCAAAACAAGCGCCTCGCACACCTTTGGGAGCACGACGTCTAGTTCTGCGGGCGGAAGTAGATTGACGACCGGAGAGAAATTTTCAGACGAAGGAGATCCCAGAGAACGACGAATCGCTCGCTGCGAATAGAATGACATGGAAAAGAAACATGTACCCAGCATTTGGCTCAGCTTGACTAGAATCTTCGTTGCGGCGGGGTCCTTTGGTTTCAATGGAGTCGATTGGAGATAAGAATCAATCAGTTTGAGCATAACTGTCTGGTGCGGAGTCACTATTTCGTCTTTTCTGAGAGATGTTGTTTCAACTGATATCTATCAGGGAAAAAACATTGGACGTACATTGACAACTTGGAATACAACTCTGGCACTAGACCGACTTGCATTAATCGACTGAATATGGCATACCTAATGATGAGAATGAACTGCAGGCATCGCATCAAGTTCCAAGGACTTTACCCAAGGTCGAAAGCATGGGCTTCCTCACTGCCCTCTTCGGCTTCGTAAATTTTCGACATCTTATCAAGCAGGCAAACGCATATTCTCGATCCGACCGTCGCGTGTACCAATAGTCTTCTGCGGACATGAGTTCATTCAGAGATCAGGAACATTGTCAGTGAGAAGCTTACGCTCGTGTCCTGCTGCCTTGTATGCAATTTCGGATGAGCATCATCGCAGGGACAAGAGACTTTCCATCCGACGATTGCAAAAGCCGACTAGGTCCATGGGAATCGGATCAGTCAGTTGCGAGAAACAACTTGACTTACATTAACACGACTTGATCTTCAGAAAGATTCATATAGGTATCCCAGAGGGATTGCATGAGGGCATCGTTAGCGGTGATGAGATTCGACATGGTCTGAGAGAGAACACGAGCGACGACAAGGTCTGAAAACAATGATATCAGAGCCCGTCGAGGTTTTGGCCAGTAAGCATACCATCTTGATCCTCCATCGCAGTCCAAGATGTGTAGTAGTGAAGTAGCCGTCTGATATCAGGCTCATTTTCACTGTTGGTCGGGAGCATCAGCGCATTAAGCAGCATGAGATCAGTCATTCAAACTCACAAAGCATGTGTCTGGTTTTGACTGACCCCAGCGACGAGGTTCCTGGTCAACCGAGCCAGGCTCTGACAAAGTTTTCTCAAATTTTGATGTTTCAGAGTTTCGATGGAGGCCTGGTCGTCATCATCGCCGTCCCAAAAAGTCAACTGAGCACGGACAAGGTCCTGCCATAGTTTACGGAGACAGGACCAGAACACGGGTCTGTCGGTGCCAACGTGAGACCTAGGAAAGGGCACACTCAGTTTTGGCTAGAGAGTGAAATAGCGTAAAGATAAATACCTGAGATCGCGGCTTTTGGCCAAATCGGAGGCAATGTTGTCCAGGACGGCAGAAGTAGAATCGACAGCTTCGGATACATTGATGTCAAAAGCAGAACAGGCCTTTGTAAAATTTTGAATGAGTGCCTCTGCATCCTGGGCAGCCTCGTCCTGCATAGGGAGCCTCTGTTGGAGGTCGACGTCCGAGCCGAAGAGCAGCTCGATGATCTGCCATAAACATTTCCATTCAAGTGTTCGTGATATTGATCATGACATCGGACCTCAATATCTCTTTGGAGGATCACCTCCGCGATACTCTCTCCTCAGTACAGAGACTGCTGCCTTGCGAGCTCTCGGCGCAATTACAGATTTACTTTACCCAACCGAAGCCAGCCTTGATTCCATATACCGTGCTCCAATCTGTATCCCAATGGTCCCGGTCACCGTCAGGATCCTCTGCACTCCGGTCAGCTACACCTCCTCGAGATCCGAATAATTTCAGTATGGTTTCGCTCCTTGCTGGGACCACAACTTCACCTGAACGCAAGTTCGGCTCTTATGTGCTACCACGGGACCCGGAGGAAATAGAAGCGGAGAGAAAACGAGAGAGAAGGGCCATAACGACGCTGATGAACGCGCTACTCAGTGTCGGTGGCTCAGGATTTGCAGCTTGGTGGGCATCACAGCACGCAGGATGGAAGAAGGAATGGGTACGTTCGATATATGTCTCCTAGTCCAGTTTCTTACGCATCTCTTCTAGCGAGCCCTCTTTGGGCTGTTCGTTGGATTCGTTGTCGCCATTGCAGAAGCAGTCCTATATCTCATTTGGAAGTCGCGACACTCTGCTCCAACGAAGAAAACTCGTCGGCGACACCAGGAATCTGCAAGGCACAAGAAGAACGAGGGCGATGGTGATTCATCAATTGTAGAGACAGAGTACAGTGAAGCCAGACTACGACGACGGGGTAACCCAGACCAATCCATTCCTAGCGAGTAATACAAAATATACACTACTAACACATCTTCAGAGTTCTCATAAACATCGAGAGATACCACCCAGTTAAACCCCATATTTCTAATCTATTGTCCTTCCCAATCCCTATTTCATTGTTATCGTTAATCCCTGGTTGTGAAGGGGGAAATGATATATCGCTATGGGTATCTGTTGCCTGTTCTATTTGTTGCGAAGTTTGTAAATCGGACACGTCTATTGCCCAATAGGGGCGCTGTCCGCGAAACATGGAAGGCCGAAGGCGCGAAGGAGAAGTCAACGCAGACAACGGCAGATGGAAAACGTTGTCGACTTCTGCCTGTGATACTTGCTTCATGATGGTGGATATCGAAACCGAAGGCAGAGGTTCGTTGTCTGCCAATGTCGAGAAATCTTCCTGCTCAGCGTTAATAAATCCCTATAGCAAACGTCAAAATTGCGACTGATGAAAGAGAAATGGAAGTAGCGTACAACGAGCGGCCATACAGACATATCACCCCTCATGTTAATCTCTGGAGGACCGATTTCGCCCAGGATTACGACTTGCTTTGGTATTACGCCCAATTCTTCGTGCGTCTCTCGAAGCACTGCTGCCTTGAAGGAGTCGTCCTCCTACGCGTTACCAGTCAGGACATTGGCAACAAACAATGAATTATAACACACTTCATCCACCTTTCCTCCTGGAAAACTAGAGAAAAGGATCAGCCGCTGCTAAGCGAGTGCGCAATTGGTTGCCGCGCTCACCTGACTTCACCAGAATGGGTCCTCATACGCTTTGCTCTGACCTCAAAAAGGATTCCCGGAACACCATCGAGGTTGCAGAGGGGGATTAGAACAGCAGCGTTCTTCTTCCCGGGTATGAACTGAGGCCTGGCCGCGTCGACAGACGGGGTGGGATCAAGAACTGTCTGGATCTTCCTCAAGGTCTCTTTCGTGAAAGGCTTGACCGTAGACAAGAACGAGGGGGTTCGAAGGGTATGGATCACACTTGTAGATGCTGCTGCCATGTCGATAGCATAGCAGGTGGGGATGGTAAAGAAAAAAAAGTAAAAACTAAAAGACAAGTTAGCGGTCAGATGTGGCGTGATGGGAAGTGACTCACTATTAGTTGTACAGAAGAAAGGCAGAGGAAATCTGAGAGGAATGTTAAGAATCTAGTTAGAGATATAAGTACTGTAGAGCAGAAGAGAAGCACCGGTCCCTTTATTGTCGACTGCGGTAGTCTACGCCTCTCGACGGTCCGAGTCCGAGTCGGTCGTTTAGGTGCGGAGTTTGAAGTCAGCGCTTCCTTACATTCAACCAAGTGGCCATTGTGTATCTTGCGCTCTCGTCTTGGCCAGAAAAAAAATCTGGGCTCTCCTCTTTCACGGAATACCGAAGATGTCCCCCATTTTTCCCCGACAAGCGGGTCGTCTCTCGCCTTCTAGCTGTTAAAACGTGTCTTGCTACAGGCTCTGGGCATGCTCTGGCTCAGAAGCGATTATCTCTTATCAACGTAAACCAAGAGATCTCATCCATATGTATCCATAACAATCAATACGTTCTCGAGCCTCAAAGTCTAGAGGCGGTGTTATTCCACCTGCGGAATTGTCGATGCCATTTGGCAGACGGAACAACGTGGTCTTTTACCGCCACGCTGCATGATAACCCCATCCGAGAAAACAGAGGCAGCGACAAACGAACGTTCATCAGAAAATCTCACACAAGCTAAGCTCGAGTCTGGAGTTAAACGTGCTTGCTGTTCAATGCGTTTCTCAATCACCGACCCCTCGCTTCAGTTTTTCATACTAAGCACTTGTCAACCCGCGGCGATAAAAGAGAAGATAGCGTCGCTCAGTGCTACCGTTCTCGCCATTTCTGGCCTTCACCTCGTAACCATCCAAGCTGTCCAAGACAGCTCTATGTAAGACTTCTATTACTATTTCTTGGCTTCCTAGACTGATTACAGCTTGCTACGGTGGAGAAATATACCCAAGGACCACTGTTTCTCCGCCTTTTTTTCTTGTGGGGCATCTTTACACTTTCTCCAGAGCCAATTTTGAAGAGCGACTGCTCCTACTGTTCAACCTTGCCTGTCGTGTTCAGATCGTCCTTTTTTGCAACTCAGTTTCAGAAGGCATCAAGCGTAATCCAGTCGTGACTGTCAAACGTTTGTCGTATTCCTTAAAGCCGCTTGGGTTTGTTGGAATTCCAAGACTGAGCATGAACGCGTCTTGGATTCAGACTTCGCGTTGGCGATTAGCTGATGAGCACTTTGAAATCTTCGTGTACACCGTCTATCGACAAGTTGTGTCGCTAGAGTTACTTGTCGCTGTGACGTACAGCTCCGTAGGACGGCTCGTGGCAAGATCTTGATTGTCTCTGGCATCACTGATATGGTTTTTATAGATGTTACAGCTTCCAGTCTTGGCGCGATCGAGTCCGGAATCTGTTACAGCAAACCCAGACTTTACTGACATCGATGGAGCTCCACTGTGCGGACAGATAGATGTGAGTCCACTATGGAGCCCATGCTTCTCCGACTCGGGGATACTGATATGTGCCCAAGGGAGAAGATTCAATTTTAGTTCTCTGCTCTCAGATATCCTCGCGGCAAGGCACAGCTATCTCTTGCTTCTCCCTTGATGCATGAGTGCCTAAGGCTATACTCCCTTGGTTGTCGGAGACCCCTGCTATTGTACTCCAGCCTTCTTGCGAGGCACGGGATAGCTACCTTCAGAGGTACAAGCATTCAATAGCTCTTCTCAGGCGTTTCCGTGGTCCGGATGTATTCAAGTTGTCTTTCGAAGGCATCTGATGCCTTGGCCACATCAAGTTCCAGATCCACCCCTTGGTGTTCGTTCAGACCGTACGACTCTCGGTATCCCATTCGACTGGATACAGAACTTGTAAAATGCTCAGCATAGACTATTTGATTTAGTTAAGGTTTTTACTTGCGATTGTCGTCGATCAGGAGGAAAAGACGGTCGTGCTCATCGCAATCAATTTCATCTTGGTACCTGTGATATACTAGTAGCTCCTCTATCCTTGGCGGGCTAAAAAATATTGTCGTAGGAACTCGTAGGAACTAACACAGCCGTTTCGAGGGCACTCGAAGGACTTTTTGAAGTTCCCTGGATGTAACCTGGGCTCGTTGAGCACGATGCCATTGAGACGGGAAATGAAGGAAAACAGCTGAGGTTCCATATTTCGGAGACTATGAATCAATAACAGGCGACTTTTCTACGAGCAAACGCACGACCTTGACTTGAGGTCAACTCACCGGTAACTTGCCGGTCACCTGACCGATCAGAAGTTGTCAATCTACGACGCCCGTCTTTCTTGTCCTTTTTTTCAATAGAAAAAGCACTGGGTACTCATCAGAAGAAAAATGTACAAGACAAAAAGCATCGACCAACCCAGGACTCGAACATGGAATCTTCAGCTCGGGATTACATAACCACCGGAAACTGACGCGTTAACCATTACGCTAGCCGGCCGACACTGCAGGATGTACAATGTTATAATTAAAGTGCCGCCAACACTATCTGAAGCTAAGAGTGAACCCCGCAAGAGACTGAATTAGTAACCATGAAACTGGGTACGGGTGAGAGGTTAAAACAAAATGCGTAAAGTCCAGCGAGTCCGGGAAAAGCATAGGAAACGAATATTATAAAACTATACGGCAGAGCACGGTCCAAGGTAACCGTTTGCAGCCGAAACTATTTTCAATGGTGCACGTGACAATAAATCGCTCTCTCTCTTTCTTGCAAGCATCCATCGTCTACAAAGCTGGCGCCGTCATCTTCAACTCTACCATCGCCATGCTTCGGGTCCCTGCACGTACCTGCATAAGGACCTTTGCTACTGAAAGCGTGCCGACAGCGTCGAGCAACTTTCCCCCGCCTTCCCCGCCGCCTCGTCGTCGTCGACAAACAAGACTTCATCCCGCTCCCCGCCCATACGAACCCTCGTCTCCGCTGTCCCGACCGCAACTACCCCCCAGTTTCGGCAAGAACCAGCTTCTTCCCGTCAGCAACTCCACTCGTGCCTTATTAGAGAGCGTCGTTGCTGAATTTGAAGCTCCCATCCGATACGCGTTCGCCTATGGCAGTGGAGTATTTGAACAGGATGGATACGACATAGCCGCAGAACCTGGCAAAGGTGGACCCGTCCTCGATTTCATGTTCGCTGTCACCCATTCGAGCCATTTCCACTCCATCAACATGCATCAGTTCCCTTCACATTACCCGCTCAGCGCAAGGATGCTCGGCAGTGACTATGTCTCTACTGTGCAGTCTTCCGGTGGTGCAGGAGTGTGGTTCAACGCCTATGTACCCATGCCGAATCAGCGGGTGACGATCAAGTACGGCGTGACCACAGTTGACAACCTCTGCGACGACCTACTAAACTGGCGCACCCTTTACCTTGCCGGACGTATGCACAAACCTCTCCGGATAATCAAGGATGATGCGCGGGTACGCTTGACCCAACAAGTCAACCTCGTCAGCGCCCTACGATCAGCTCTCCTCCTCCTTCCTGAAGAATTCTCGGAACGAGAATTGTTCGAGAAGATAGCTGGAATCAGTTACTCTGGGGATCCAAGAATGGTCTTGCCCGTGGAGAACAGAGGAAAGGTGGGAAACATTGTTCGGAAGCAGGAGGCACAGTTCAAAGAACTGTATGGACGGCTTGTGGGTGGACTGCCTGGGGTGGACTGGGCAAGCGAGGCCGGGAGGCTAAAACAAGACCTTTCGCCGTTGGCCAGGGAGAAGCATCTTCGTAAGCTACCGAGGGTCTTGCTGGAGGCCTTAAGGTCCCGGCACATGGCTCAGAACGAGGAGGAAGAGCGCTTTTGGATTCGCCTAGCCGCGGATAAGAGACTGGATACCCTGTTAGAGGGTGGTATGTCTCATCCTCTTTATTGCATTTACTCTCACTAAACGTTGTAACAGAGATGAAACGTATTGTTCGTCTACCTGCAACGATTCAGAGTGCCAAAGGTCTCGTTAGCGCCGGTATAGGAAAAAGTGTACGGTATAGCCTAGCGAAAGTCGGTAAGTGGTGGCGAGGCTAGATATACAGACTATTCGCACATGATATAGTGCACTACCTCTACTCGATCATTACAATATGTACGGAAGGTTAGTAAGAATTAATAAAAAAGCAGGTGTAATCGGCATATTTGTGTGGACTACAGTGTGTACACTGTCTTCTAGTGTACCTGTCCATCGAGGTTGGAAATTGAATCCATCTATTAAAAAATGAAGACTTTTTAAAAGTAGGTCTAAGTAGTAAACAAATTCCTACAGAGATCCTATCGCAATAGACAATAGTTTACAGAATCAGGCCAACAAGATCCTAGTATAATAGCAACTAAGCAAGAAAATATTACACTGGAGTAGCGTAGGAGGAACTCGATTCCCAAGTCGAGCCGCAAAACATGTTAATTCATTGCCATCTCGACAAAATCATTCCAAGTCGTGTGCAACGTATTGGCCTCTGGAGATCCGGAACTCGATCTACGCTGCGCTGGTCGTGGATTGGTGTCCAACATAGGCGTGGATCCGTATCCGTTGATTCCGTTTTCCATACCATAGTCGTACACGGGGAAGTATTGCGGGAAACCATTCAGGGCGTGTGAATGTCCATTATTACTTATACTACCATTCTGGCGATGGGTATGGACTACGTGTGAGGAAGACGATGTCTGCTGTTGTTGGTGATGATTTTGCAGCATGGACTGTGACTGTGAGAGGAATGAAGGGTCCGACTGGAAGGTAGATGTCGAAGGCATTGATGACATGCCATACATGGACACGGGTGATATGTCCGTGTCGGAAAACGAGTTATGGGATGACGTTGACGACATAGGTTCTTGCTGGTGATGGGTTCCGAAGGAGCCCAGGTATGCCAACATGTTAGAGTCCATATCGCTGGTGGGAGCCAGGGGAAGAGGCACGACAGGGGCATGTGAATTTGGTGAACGGTGGATGAGCGGGGGAGAAGAGGGCTCCTTCTTTACGAGACGCGACTTCCCACCCAACATCGCCAGCTCGTCATCTTCGTCTACTGGTGACTGAGGATCTTGGACAGAGTAGCGGCCGACAGGGGAACCTTTTCCTTTCCGGAAATCGTCAAGGCTGTTGTGGGCTTTTTCCTGCAAACGAAGCATGATCTCCTGCGAGTAAAAGATATCAGTCAAACCTAGACCTCGATGAATAAGAGCTTACCAAAACTTTCCCCGCACGGAAACCTCGAGCAGTCTTGGAAAACAATTCACAAGCCGAATCGAGCTGTACAAGCGCAGATGGCGCCAGACTCATGGATGGGCAACGAGTAACAATGGATCCCAAAACAATCTGAATTACGGATGAATGAGTTCGATCGGGGTACAGATGATACAGATGATAGGGAGACAACACACCGCGCAAGAAAACATGTGACCCCACAGGAACCAAATTCTTTCGCTCGGTTCTTGGAGTTGTGTATGGAGATTGCGCATAAGGGCCACCAAAGATCCAGCGCTACGGTATGCTGCAATGACAGATGTTCCGTACGGACTCCCAAGCGGGTCCTTTGGATGGTCACTGATAGCCCGAGCGAAGAAGCTGCGATGAAGGTACAATAAATCTAATCGCTCATCAGAATCTGATACGTGAGTGAAGCAAAGCTCCTTACTCATTTCTCTAATTGCGAGGACGACGTGGCGTTGTAACGTAAGCATGATCGTTTGAGGGAACCCTCCAGGTCGGGGCTCAGAACTTCCAAAGCCAGCTACCTGAAGAACCGGGGGCACGGGGAATGCACGTAGTTTACGATCCAATTGAAGAACGGTGGCGTAAGTGGGTGTCTTGGCCCCAAATGCTTGATCGTGGAGCAGATTCATGCATTCTGAACAAAATCTATGTTTCCAAGCATGGTCTACAATGAAGAAATTTTGGCTCAGACTCAATTAGGTCATAGAACGAAGGTTGACTTACAACTTTGGTCGTCCGGAGGATCGTTCCCGTGCGGCATTTTGCAGTCGAAATGCGCTGATGTGAAGGACGTTGGACGTCCATACGTCAGACATTGCCATGAATCGTACGTGAACATCTCCCAGAAAAGTTCTCGCCGGCGTTGCGTCTCATGATGATCGATTCCCTTCCATCGACCGCTATCCCGATCTTCCGTAAGTAGTTAGAATATTTGTGGCAAACGAAATAGACACGGGGACTTACGAAGTCCGATCTAAGTAATGGAAGCGTAAGTACCATTTTAGTTGTACTGTAAAATGAGCGCTCACGCTTTGTGCGACCTTGACCGCCATACCCATAAGGGCCCATCGAGAACCTGATCCAGCGCCATTTCTATCTGACAAAAATAGGTAAAAGGTCATCAGATACTGTTTCCCCACACAACATCGGTCAATTTACACACTTATGGAGTAAGATAAGGGGACTCACCAAAGCTTGTACGGCATTGATGGTTGGGGAATCGACGAATGAATCACGAAACAAGGCGGCTTTGGCGAGTTGATGATACTTCTCGGCGTCGATGTTATACGCCGGTAGGGAGGTATCCATCAAAGTACCGATAGCAAGAATCATAAACATAAGGGACAGCCGATGGGGAAGAAGGGGGTCATCCGCTGAGGGCACATTGCTGGTGTCATAAAACTGATGGTAGACTTCAAAGTCAAACGATTCTTGGGGGATGGGGTTGTACCTAGCAATAGATAACATCAGTCACGGGTGTAATGATCCACGGATAGACATACATCCATGCAGCATTCGTGTAATATATAGACCTCAGTTCAGCAGCTTTATCCGCAGGTGGTAAATACCAAAATAAGCTTTGAATGCTAAAGGAATCTTCGTGTAGTGTGTGGGGAACGGCGGATATAGGGAAGGATGAGGCACGAGCAAGGATTTCCGATGGGAGGATGTTCTGGAGATGGAGCATATGATCTTCATACTCATCAACGTCACCATCTTCATTCTAAGATGCAAGATGTTAGCATTTGAACACCTTCAGCTCGATGTCTCTAACCTGTAAGAAGTACTGTGAAGGGCATGTGAGTTCAATTATCATCAAAAAGGTGATTAGCCTACCCAAGAATTGGCGATCTGACCATAGTATTTGGCACCACCAGATAAACTGAGCGACAATGAGCCGAAAGCATCCACGACATCAGGGTTAGTTTCTTCCTCCTTCTGCGACGAAGTGTCAGTATTCCGCATGGACGGCGGCTCTCTTTGAAGGGGAGCCTTAATGCGCAGGAGCTCTTCTGAAAGGAGTGGATGGGTATCCGAAGAAAGTCTACCGTGAGAAGAGCGCAGGGCATCTTCTAGTTCACGGACGCGATTAGCCAATTCAGATATCTTTTCGTGTAGCTCTTGAGTAGAGGCGAGAACGAATCTACAACAATTTAAATATGTCAATTATCAGGACAAGTCAGCGAAGGTTGAAGCCCACCGATTTCCTTGGCCTGTGGTCAGAGATCCCTGTCGCCGAACATTCAGATAAGAACCGAAACCGACAACTGAAAAATAAAAGACATACGTCGGGACAAATAGCCCCACAGCCTCGCTTTACACAAGAGCTGCAAGGTATGGAGCGATCGCAGCGTAGCTTCAATCTAAAGACTAGAATGAGATATTTTGAGAGAAATGGATGATAAGAATGCTCCACCTTCTACACTTTTTCAAGTGCAAATTTTAATCAGCCAACAGTTGTATCTGAAGGAGGGCAAATGTGTCGACGGTCGTACCTCTGCACAAGACAGTCTAGTAGCTCCCTTTCGTCGTTTTTTCTGAGTCCCGTCATCAGCGTGTAAGTCTGCACGTTTTGCAGTGGTCGGGGAGGACATGATGGGTGGAATCACAAGAAGCGGACCGGCTTTGCAGATTCGCTCTAGGTACTTCAATGATCGGTGCCGGACCTTGCCGGAGTTAATGCCGCGGAAGCAATACCTGTCTTGCCGGAGTTGGGTGGCTGTGACATGTTTCCTCCTTCCACCCTTCCTGGTCGGTTTGAAAAAATTTCAAACTCCCCGTCGCCCAGCGCTCCCTGTACACCCTTTAGAGCATTGTACTTGACCGCAGCGTTTCGACAATACGGAAGATACAGCTGAGAAACCCCAAACTTAATCAGGTGGCGACCGCCCTCACCGAATGATTGCATAAGATGCGAACTAGAAGGAAATGATGGTGACTCGATCGACTTGACTTGGTCTTGTCTTTAGCGGGAATTGGACAAACTTGGTATTAGATTACCATCCTGCATGACCTTCAGGGCCTGACTAATACCACCGCATAGTAGAATGCAGCAGCTCCCTGCCAATCTGCATTCAGCTCTGCAGAAGACGTGGATAGTCGCAGACCATTGTACTAATCTGGGAGTCGAAAAGAGCGAGAGGTGGGATCTTTTTCCTGATCTTTTCCACGTGTTATTCATGTCGGATGGGTCGCGATCGGATTCGCTCATTTGTCGCCGATATTCAATTTTACCCCGCATCTTTTGAAAAAGTTTGTCTAAGGGTTGTGAAAGGTATCGTCCTTTGGCGTACAGATGCAGGTGGGCGCTGGAATGAAACCACTGGGGGGTAAAGGTATGCTTCCCATATCTATATACAATGATCCTGCGGCTTCGAATAAAAACGTATCTGGATCATAGTGATCCGTAGATGCAAAACTCTTCCTCTAGCGTATATCTCTCTAGCGATTTGACTGTATAAGCTGAGAGAAAAAAGGCATTGTACATGTGGGACATTCCACCGGAGCCGGTATCAGCGCGGACTACGCTATTAAGCATGCTGAGGACTGACCAGATTGAACTCGACATCACGGGCACCCTGAATAGGCTGAAACGGGGATAACGGCACTGATAGTCGGCAGATCAAGGTAGTGATGTTTCTCTGTCGCGTAGATACTTACATCGAGGGTCCATGTTCTAGCACAGGAAAGAAGTTTTAGAATCACGTAATGCTGTTTCACTGGAAGAGGACGCTCGACGCTGCATAGAAGACTGCTCAAGCACAACCATTATGTTGAGATACAAAACTATTGCAAGCATACTCGAATCGTAGCAGTAAAAAAGGTCGGACAAGGTACTAATATAATGATCATAAACAGTCGTAAGTGGTCTAAAGGGTAAAAATATATTAACCGCTCCATCATGATGCCAAAACTTCCTTCTCAACGTGCATTGCAACTCCGTTACTGAACGGAGGCAACGACCCACCCTGACTCCCCATGTCCGACAATGAACGTACTACCACGTCATTATGAGGACTCTCTTCACTCATGGGGCTCAATGGTTCATTCATGGAAGACGCGTCCGAGAAGCTGTAAACCGAATCACGATGCGGAACCTGTGCGACAGCAGCGTTTGATTGAAGGGGCGAGTTGGAGGAGACGCTCCCTCGCGAACTGAAGAAGCCGCCGATCTTTCGCGTGAGCGGTACCTGTGAAGGGTTCAACTGGGGAGAAGACGCAATAACAGGTGAAGCTGTGGATGCTGTTGTGATTGAAGTAGGACCACTGGCAGGTTTTACAGAGGTATCGGCCTTCCACAGCTTGAATCCCCATCCAGTAGTCACCTTCTTTGCCTCCATCTCATCTCCGGTTGTAGTGGCAGGCAAAGGAGGCAGCTTTACAGCGTCCCTAGCATCAAGGTCAACGGTACCGACATTGTTTTCGGAAATAAATTCTCGCAACGCGTTTACACACGTGTCAGACGCTTCCTTGGCTTCATTAGCCTCCGAGAGCTCGTGCTTGGTCTCTTCAAGCTCATCCCTTGCCGCCCGCAGTTCTTTCCGCAGTGCCTCCAACTCCAGATTGAACGCGTCTTTGTCGGCTTGTGGAGAACGATTATGGAATCCTGAAATTCGGCGGGACGAGTTAGCTGACAGTTCGGGGGGTATGATTAGCGTTTGCGAGGACTGATCATCAATGCATGTATCAGATACTGATGAAATGCGCCGATGAGCGTTCGGACGTGTCGTGTGGGAACCTGTAGCAGGCGTGAACGAAGCTCGCTTGGACGACCCAGGGGTACTGTAATTATTGAAACCTGCACGAGACAAGTCCAGCGGCATCGGTCCAACACTTTGTCTGCGGTTCTGATTTTCGGACTGAAGTCGCATCAGACCACGTCTAGATAGCATAGTAAGCGATAAATTGCAGTAATGAAGCGACGGGGTCGAGACGTACCTGCTCTCTTCCACCTTAGTCCGCAACATCGCAATTGCATCCTCATCGTCTTTCATTTGCCGTCTCGCAGCCATGAGCTCCTCTTCCAACTCTGTCGCCTTGGCTGCTAAGGCTTGCAGGGTGTCCTTTAGCTCTGCCTCCCTCAAGTGCGCTCCTGAAACGAGCTGGAGCAAATCATCCCGCTCTTTGGTCATTTCAGCTAATGACTGACGGAGCTGCATGACAATATGCGCAAGAACCTGTGGGTCTAGCGATTCCCGCTTCGGACATGTATCGTGAGTTTGTGTATGGTAGGCGGGGGTTACTGGAGGCGATTCCATGTCCAGTTGCCGTTCGAGTTCAAGACTGAGATCAATAGAAAACGGTCGCTGGGTCTTTGGAGAAGAAAGGGAATGGAAATCCTGCGATATGGCGGTAGGCGGTACTTCAAATTCTAGGTGATTATCAGTTTGGTCGGACTGCACGTGGAGGTTCATGGTGAAGTAGAAACAGTCAGCGATCTCCGGACGTCTGGCTTGCCACCGCCCACCATGTGAACCGTTGCACGTGGTTCCTTCGCGACGTGTTCCAGGTCGGAAACAGCCATCTGGCAGTACGCCGCAGCCCCATCCGTTGGTCTTAGCAACAAGAAACGTATATTCCAAACATATGCAGAAAGATCAGTATGTACATATCAACGACCACTACTTACATGTATCAATGGTCCCAGTTTCCTTATCATAAATGTACACCGCTTTTGGTCACGCCTCATACACTATCCCATTATTTTCTTCTATTCAGACGCATGCGTCAGTGCGTCGACACATATTATGCCATCTCTCTCGCTCCAAGGGTATCCCCATCGGTGAAGCCATTCACGTACGCCAGTTGCTAGTCGCGCTCTGGATGCCCCACGAGCCACATCTTGCGAACTAGTGTGCTTTTCTTCGCCGACGATGACGTATGCTTCGAAAATCAGGATTAGTGCCAAGAAGAGTCTATTACTATGTCGCAACTTACCCAAACCATAAAAGTGCTCCTCCTCCAACTACAAGAAACATACACGAGTCAGACGCAATCAGCATATTGAAACATCTGACGACTCACAGCCAGTAAAAAGTCTTCCAGCACCTCAGTCGCTTCATTCGAGTGCAGCCCATGCAGATCAAGCATGCTCTCTGTCCTCTCCTCAGAAGTTAATTTACCGTCTCCAGTATCGGTTCGCGCGATTCCCAAGATCACACCATAACCTCCACCGCAGACACGTCCTCGAGCTGTTCGATCGCCAGGGTCGTCTGACCAGCTCGCATCCCTGTTCCTAACAGCTTGCTCAGCCAGCGTTGCACGTTCGCGAACAAGGTGACCGGCAGCTGACGCCATCTCTGCACTCATCTTACTGTTCAAATCATGTCCTTCCCTACTGAACCTCTTCGCTGCAGCGCCATCTCCTCGCCTCCAGGCGTCCGCGGCACGAGACAAGCACGCATTTCGGGCTGCACCAAGTTGCAAAGCGCGAGCACGGTATGCCATGTACAAGGAATTCACCGATTCGCCCGTAGGGAGTGTGGGTAGAAGCGCTGGAGGACGGAGCTTGAGTCGCGGCGACGGTTTGGGTGCGACAATCGCCGATCGAGTATGAAGGCTGTCGGCTGAACTGCCCATAGCTTCACGACGGGCAGGGCTATCAGTATGAATTGCAGGAACCGGTTTCTTGACGGCTGCGGCGAATCTCGTTCGCCCGGGATCGTATGCTCTGTCGACGTATCCTCCTCGTCTACCTTTGCCATTTTCATAGCCCAAGACGGGGAAATCTTCTAGTCCAGCCGTATGGGTAGCAAGTGGCCCAGTGCCCGGCATTACATTAGCACGGGACATGGCAATATTCAGACTCGTTATATCAACGTCCTTAGGTAAATGGTGCAAAAATTCGCAGCTATCCTGTTTTGCGCAGGTTCCCCGAAGCCAAAAACGGCAAAGGGCACGCTCTAAGTCATGACTAGAATAATCGAAAAAGTTAGTCTTAACTATGACACAGAGCATGGACCTATACCTGAATCTGCAGTCCGCCCGAAGGCATTCGCCAGCAACGAAATACCGGCAGACTCTATTCCCTCCTTGAACGGGCCGTCCATTGACGTATCTAGGTGCAGGCCGCGCATTTTGGATTTGAAAACCGCCTCGACCATGTATAGCGTCCCTAGAGACAAGGGTAACTCGACCACCCATGTTCTGCATACGAACTTGAGGGTTCTGAGGTACGGACGGCAAAGCTCGGTCAACGAGCCAAGCCATCGCACGCTCAAAGTCGTATGCATTGGCAGCGAGTGCCTCCTCCAACTCGGAAGGTGCAAGAGTAGAACCAAAAACAGAACTAAGGACGTCAAATGGCGTCATTCCGTCGGTGAGCACTGCAGCAGCTTCGGCCTCGGCATCTGGGTCCTCCTCTTGAGGGTCTTCAGAGAGCAACGATTCGTACGAAGCATACGAGGTTTGAAATTGACTGTGCATCTCCCCAACTCTAGGATCTTCAGGGGACATTGAGGAATTAGACGATCCGGACCACTGAGCATCAAAATCCGAGGTATGGAAAGTATTGAAAGATGGAACAGGTTTCTGAGAAAATGGGTCAAAAGGATCTTCATCATCGCTATCGTGTTCATCAGGGAAGAGAGGAGAACGGAGAGAGGAACTGGGCGTAAGCGAGCGTGTAAGCAGAGGTTGTTCGGGAAGAAGAGGGGCCGCGATGGCGAGATTAGACGTGGCTCTGAACGGACTGTGCGACCAGAGATCTGGCGATGGGGTATCTGCACGTAAAGGGCCTGGATTGGATGATGCCGCAGAGAGCGGTCGTTGAATGGGCTTGAACTCGGAGGCTTTGGCATTTAGCAGGCGCGGCGACGACAACGGCGAGGCTGGTAAGCTCGCTGTGAACTGTGCATGTGCATGTGTCGCCTGTGCATGTGAGAGAATGGGCGACGACGAAGGCGAGTAGTCACTGCCGCGCGCCGACATGTAAGACGACGCCTGACCGACGGCAAGTGGAGAGGCAAGTGGCGTGTGCGGTCGGCGAAATACAAGGGCTCGTGGTGAGCTGGGCGCCGACAACGGTGTCTCTGGACGAGCTTGATGTAGGCGGCTCGACGCTGTAGACGCCCTTGATGACGGTCTCGAAATAGGACGACGGATGGGGGTCAGAAAGAGAAATGGAACACCTGCGACGTCGTCCCGGTGTTTATGCATAAGGTCCAAGACACCTTGCTCCACCTAGTCTGCGGTCAAGAAAAAATACTCCTCAAGGAAGAAAGACGCACAGTGTCATCATCCAGGCCAAAGGATTCCTTCAGAAGCGCCTTGAGCTCATCTTCGCGTTCCTCAACCAGCAGGGCCACGACCTGATTCACAAACGATGATGAGACTCGGCTAATCTCGTCACCGTCGATATCACTCTCAAATCCATCAATGGGTTTGGACTGGCGCGACAAGGCCGACAGTTGGGCTCGAGTGTGGGGAAACATGGGTTGGGCCAAAGCATTGTGTTCTCCAGAATCGGACAAGTTGCCTGGGTCCTCAGGCAGCGATAGTAGAGACATGTTGTTACAGGTGAACTGGGGATTGAGTAGAGAAAATGAAAAATGACATAGAGACAGCAAAAGAAAGCAGGAAAAGAGAAGCAAAAATCTGCATCGCAGGGCCGATGTTCTCCCATCATCTGATGACAGCACAGTCCTGATATGGATGCAGCAGCTTAGGAAGCAAGTAACCTTGCCTGCGACTCGGGTCTGCGTACAAAAGCAATATTATCGTAGAGAAACAAACCAAGTACACCTATGTACATCTACGCAGCAATAATAATTTGAACTTCCCCTAGTTGCCATGATCGCGATCACTGGTTAACGGTTTCAACAGGCAATAACAGTGCTCAACCGCCTCAACAAAGGGAAAACGGTCTAGAGCTTGACGTCGGGCGAAGCTTCTTGTCGCCGACGTCGTTGTCAGTGCGGTCGGACAGAAGGCATAGGAAATAATTTCCAAGAGGCAGGGGAGAGACTCCCGCCCAAGCGTTGAAGCAAACAAACCAGGGCAAGCTGGGATGTCATAATCTTGCGGGCAGGTTGTTGCATGAACGATGACTCGCCGGAACCGTGGCCTCAATCCTTCGACAGAATGTCACTAGCATGTCATGATTAACTTGTGAATTGCGCCCAACCGCCGCCATTACGAAACTGTCGGTGATCCCGCTATTCCGAACAACAACGTGCAGAGAATTCAGTGATTCTACCGGATGAAGACCGTACATTGCGATCCCTGGGCGTTCGAGGTAGGAAACCGAACCTTTGTTTCAACAGACTGAGAACAACCATAGAACCTGTCGAGATGATGCGAACTAGGTGATCTCGCTAGTAATAGCGTAACCACATCTTACCCAGATACGGCATATACATCCGTTTTTCGGAAGTCGATGCGAACAAAAACAGTAGAGATGAAAACACGAGTACTGTAGAGATCCATAGAAAAAGTCGGATGATGGAGAAAATCCAGAAAGTTCCGAGGAACGACCGCGTCCTCCTGATATAACTAATGAACATCCTTTCGACATGAATCTGGGGTTGGTAGAGGAATTAATTTGCCACAAACGTCTGAGGGTGTACTGTTAATCGCCACTGAAATTGAAATGGTCGCCGAGAAAACCCGACGGTAGATACCAAGAATGAGCGAAGGCTGTCGATACACATCGTCCGACGTGGAAGAGCAGAGGGTGAGACAAGTTCGTGTGACCGGGACTGAATGGATATTGTGGCCCGAGACCCGTTTGGACATAACAAGGACTTGGAATTACGGGCAAAGGACGGTGCTAAAGTAAATCAGGGAAGGCCAAAACCAGTATTGTCAACGTTCCTGTGGTCTTCGAATAAGCAAGAGCACTGTAAGGACACAGAAATACCTGAAGAGTCCCTGGTATTTTGTAACATACAGATACGGACTCCATGCGGTTGATTTTCTAGATTCCCAAGTTTGCATGCGTGAAACAGTAGCGTGATCAGCGTCGGCGTTGCCGGATGCCGCTGGCGCCTCCCCCAGTTGTCGGCCAGCGAAAGGTAATTTTGATGGTTGACTGGTGACTGGACAGAGCTGATGAGTGTGCAGGGCCGACAAGAAGCAAAGAGAAGAACCAACCAGATAGGCCAGATAGGAATGGCACGATTTGATTGTGGTGGAACTGGGATAATGAAAAAATCAAAACACATACTATTGAGACATCCATTGGGAATAGTGTAGAATAGATAAATTTTATGCAGCGTTGCGAACTAAAATAAAAATAAAATGGTCGGAGAAGTAAACAAGAACAACGTCACCGGCATCTTTGCCGTATTGGGCAGATCTGAGAACGCACTGTATCCTCGAATGGCTCGTTGCTGACTGCTTCACCGCTCTCCACTACAATCATCCTATGGCATCTGCCTACCCGCAGGACTCGTCTTTAGTGCAGCGGCATAAACGCAGGGGGGCTGCTCTCAGCTGTGCCGAGGTATGGTGGTCGCGTCCTTGTATTCCGAGTCGGGGAGGCTCATTCACACCTGTCTTGTTCTGTACAGTGCAGGAGGTGCGATACGCGTAGTCCTTATTTTCATCTCAAGCTGATCTGTTGCACCATTTCCAGATTGAAGCTCAAGTACGATTTGTTTGCATCCGTTTCCAGCCGCGGCTCACGCCTCGTACAGGTGTAGTCGTGTGTTTCCTTGCAGGTAAAGCTTATTCGCTCTATCTACAGCAAGTACATACTTATTATCTGTGCCCTAGTAATTGCGTGAAAAAGGGTATGGCATTTATCCTTCCACGCGGCGCCAGTATCTCAGAACCTGCTGTGTAGGATGTGGTCCCATATGTCCTGACGGTATCTCATGCAATCGGCTTTTGTCTGGTCTTGGTTGTAACGATTGTATCCAGGGTCTTTGACGACCGGCAAGGGAAATCGGTGTGTCTTCACGTAACGGATGGTCGGTTGAGTTCATTAAGACGTTGCCTAGTTTCGTCCTCGCCAATACTGAAGCGCTCCACGATAAGATTGGACAATTATCTACCCGTGTGCGACAGCTCGAAGACGCCCTTGCTGAATCACATTCTCTCAATTCCCCCCATCCTCATCCTTTACTGAGTGAAGAGCTGTTACAGATTAAGCGGCCACTGGAACGAGAGAGACTTGATGAGCAAACCCAGAAGGAGAATCACGCCGAAAATGTGGACGCCATCAATGCTCTTGGCTCCCTGTATGATTCAAGTGCCCTTTCCCGTCCTTGTACTTAAGCGTTCGTTTCCAGCTCATTGTCAGAACGAGGACGATCGTCGTTCTTTGGCCAAGCTGCCAATTCCTGGGTAAGTCTTTGCGTCGCTGATCTCTTCCATAACTCATCACGTTCCAGTATCTCCTGAAGGTAAGAATTGCAAATTCTTCTTTTTCAAAACTTCGAGCTTCCAAGTTTCCAGAACGAAGAAGGTTCCGAAGAAGATGATGATATGCCCACCAACTTTGAAATTACAATCCCCGTGGAATTGCCATGGCTTGAGCATGCATTTCCGTTCACTCCATCTGTTAGCAGATGTGCTGAAGAGATTCGACACGCTCTGCATAGTTATCTACCTAGCGCATCTGTGGCTAGACGACTGTCAGGTATGTCTTCTTCAGCTCTATCAGAATCCGAAGTTCAGGATGAAATATCTTCACAAGAACAATACTACCGACATGCGGCTTGGATGTAAGCTGTTTCATACATGTCTCCTGTACTTCATCTCATCGGTCTCGATAGGTATACACCCATCAACCATAAAGACTATTTTGAAACCATCTTTCGCCCCGTCTACGAACAAGAGTACCCTTATGGCGAGGCGATCAATTCTCACAGTCTAGCTCTCCTCTTCATGGTCCTGGCCATGGGTGCGCTGATGGACCTTGAGTTGCAGGCACATTCACCCGAAGCGATGCAATATTATCAACTAGCTAAAGCTGCATTATCCATCAATTCTGTCTTTGAGGAGCAGTCAATACCGGGAATCCAGGCCTTAGTAAGTTCTTCATTCATGAATCATACAAGCAACTTAATGACATGCAAACAGTTTGTCATGTGCCATTTCATGTTTTGGAATGATATCGAAGCTCGTTGGGTAATGATGGGAATTGTAGTCAAGTTGGCGCAAAGTGTTTGTCTTTTAATGCCTTTTTAATTTGTGGCTCGTTGCCTGATATACCTGACTCACCCACAGGTCGGACTCCGTAAGTATCATCAGTATACTGACAGGTTGCCCTTATGATCGGTGATTGTGCTAGATCGTGATAGCGGAAAGTGGAACCTTGATCCAGAAGAATCCTACCGGAGACGTTGTCTTCTATGGGAGTTATACGTCTACGATTCATGGCAGGTGAATAGTCTTGTCACTGCGGACATGGCATTGGAATATGACGTTCGTGCAGTCTCTCACTTACGGAAGGCCTCCATCCTTCGCTAACGTCCATGTGGACGCCAAGTTTCCTCAAGATGCCTCAGGTACTCATAATGCCAATGGAGAAATGAGCTGTAAGTCCGGCTTGCTTCGTATTTTGTCATCCAGATTTTGAACTTTCTCGCTAGTTTCCGCTTGGAAGCACGCATTCGCCTCAGACTGTCTGTCCATTGTTCATGATCAAGCCTTTGGTGCACGCCCGCCCAGCTACAAAATATTACAAGACTTAGACAGAAAGGTACGGTCTTACTATGTTCCTCCGAGCCTCCAGGTACCTGGATTTGGTGGCGCGAGGATGGGGCCGGAACTTGATCAACCTTCGACGCAGTTGACAATGCAGCGTTACATTGCATTTGCGATCAAGGAGATCAGTGCGTGACATTCCGCTTCTGCGATTGAAGTTGACCTCATCTCCTTTAAGCACTTTTTTATATGCATCGAGGGTTCTTTGCTCAGGCTCTTGAGGATCATCCTTTAGATCCTATGGGTAGCAAGTATGCGCAGTCAGTGCTGGCTGCATATACTAGCGCCTGCTCGTTCGTGGGACTGGTGGAGAGCCTATTTAAACAACATCCCACTTTAACGGAACGCATGTGGTTTTTGTTTACCCACGTCTTTTCTTGTGCAGTAAGTTCCCATTGCCCCTCTTCTGATGAGTTTCAGTATTAACTCATCGTCAGATCGTTCTTGGTTCAATCGCCATGAAAGCCCAGATGGCTCTTGCCCCATCGGCGTTGTCGCATTTGGAATCTGCCCATCAACTTTTCTCCCAAGTTTCGGAAAGTTCCAGGACAGTAAAGATACTTGTATGACATTTAGTTGCTTTTCATTTTACTCCCATCTCATGCCTCTGTTGCAGGCCGTTCTCCTGAAGCTCAAAGAACGAGCGCATACGGCTCTTTCGAAGGTACGCGGACTCGTACCGCCTGACACTATATCCCGTTCCTATTCCGTCGTCCATATCAAAGAAGAAGTTGATGAATTCGCAGCCCTGGGAGGTACGACGCGACTTGTTTCGCGGAGAACATCTTCTCTGCCTTCTTCCCCTTCTTCCCAGGCTGGGTCTAGTCCTGTGTCTCAGCCTGCATCTCCGCCCGGCCCCGCTTCGCCTATCACTCAAGAGCTGCAAGGCGGCTACCAATCGATGCAAGAATCTGTGAACCAGTGGCAAACCTATACCCCTCAGCCGCAACAGGAATATCAGTTGGCAGAATACCCGTTATACCCGCACATGCCTCTTCAATCAGAAAGCGCCATGGCATATAACATACCCCAGAACCAACATGGAATGTCATTGGATGTTATGCCCGAGTATTATGGATATAGCAATGGCAATGGGGCCAATGTTAGAATTGGATATGGGCAGTATACTATGCAGCATCCCGGGGAATACAGTGCAACACCGGATCATGATCTACAGGTTTCGTGGTCGAATTTTATGGCGCAGTACAAGCAGATCTAACATGTTTTTGGTGAACCTTTTTGATCTCGGTTGATTCTCAGATGTATTTTTTTGTCATGTACTTGTATCGCTCTAGTTTCTGCTACGTATTACAGCTATGTATCTTTATCGCAAGGACAAATATCCTTCTTGTTTATATTGCACTTGAAGCCTATTCTCCGGTGACCGTTAATAATTGCGACATAATACTAGGTGATGTCATCATACAGTGGTGGCTTACAATATAACTCTCTTGGACAGCCTCCTTGCTTACTACAGCCGCTGCTGTTTTGTTCTACACAATAATGTCTAACCCAGTCGAAATTGAATCAGTCACGCAGTGGAACGAGACTCTCCGTTCCGCAACAGCAGCAGGGCAAACAGTCTTTGTTGACTTCCACGCAGTATGGTGTGGGCCTTGCAAGGTACGTATGGTTTCGCTGATCGCTTTCATTAGCTGATATTGTCTCCAGCAAATCTCACCATTTTTCGCTCAGTTCGTACAGAAGAACCCACAAGCGATATTCGTGCGCGTCGACGTCGATGCGCAGAAAGCAATCGCTTCAAAATACCGGATATCCGCTATGCCCACCTTCATCGCGATCAGGGCAGGTAAACCGGTCGACTTCTTACAAGGTGCCGATCCACGGAGTCTTGCGGCCATGATTGCTCGACATGCAACTCGAATCGCACCTCTATCGGAGGAAGCAGAGGCAGCAAAAGAAGAGGGAAACAAATATTTTGCATCTGGGGACTATACATCTGCTATTGAAGCGTATACCACCGCTATATCTCGTACGCAAGAATCCCCACAATTGTACGCAAATCGTGCTTTGGCATATCTCCGTCTAGGAACCAAAGAGAACCTGCCCAAGGCGCTTGCGGATGCGGTGAAAGCAACAGAGTTGGATGAGCGATGGGGTAAGGGATGGGCACGGTTAGGCGACGTTATGCTTGCAGTCGGGGAAGACGAGACCGACCCAGAGGACGTGAACCATATGCTGAACGCGGCCCAGAGGTCATTCGAGAAGGCTGTGGGTCTACTCGAAGGATCTGCCAGTCAGCGAACAGGTTAGAGACTTTTCCTAATATTTCGCGTGATGCTGACATTCAGCAGAGGTCAAAAGGAAACTGGAGTCAGTTCGTGAGCGACTCAAAAAGATATAAATTCAAAGTGGTGTGTTGTAAGTATTGCCGTAAAATCTGTCTGTACATTATTCGGCAAATAAATAACATCCCGCGTTACATAAACGCCTGTGAGGGTGACACGGTCCATTAGGGTCCATTGTGCACATTGTAGATCTACCGTTTGCTCTTTTCCTTCGTTTTCAGCGTCTCTCTTTTCCCGTAGCATGCCGGTCCCAGATGCTAAAACACGTAGCAAAATAAGCCTGAACCCAAGAGTCTTGTCTACTTCGTAGGGTGTTCTCTAGGTCGGCTCTCAGCCATCACTTACTTCCCGTGAACAGCGTTCCAAGCAGATACTTGCCGAAAATACTGATTTCAAGCGCCCTGTTCGCGACATCACTACACTTGGGAAAGGATTGGCTCCTGGAGTACGATGTGGGCATCTTTTGGGTCGTGATGAGAGTGTTGGCATGCGGAGGTGTTGGTGTTATGGTCTGGGAGGGCTTGACCGGCCAGCTGGCACGGCGGAAAAATATCGAGGTGCGTTATTTCATTATCTTGGAACGTCTGTATCTTATCTGGCCAGTGGTCTGCACTGGGGACAGCATCATTGCTTCTCTTCGCCCAACAGGCATGCCTATTCACCGCTCTGTACAGGCTGTCGTCGATCCGGTACGCCTGTATCACTCTTTTGTTCATGCTTCTGACAGAGTATTGAAGTGTCACCCTCTTCACCCAATTTTCCTCACTATGGGTCGACAGCGTTCTCAACACGCGTTCCGTATGTCGTTTCCAAGTATCTTATCCCAACTCTTCGTCTAATAGGTCTACTAGCCTCGGAGGGCTTTCGCAGTCGTCGTAGCCTTTGTTCTATCTGTTCTCTCAGATGCAGAGTTTGATGCTGCAAATTTCGGCCGCTTAATGCCCGGCTATGTCGCACTGCTCATCCATGGAGTATCTTCAGCTGCCCTCAACCATACTCTAGGAGTCATCACTGCTTCTCTTGGAACCACGTTCACAATCGCCACCACCACGTTCGGTGCTTCTATCTTTGCCCTACCGTTCTACATCTTCAGGACAGTGGTATGTTGCGTTGTGTGGGGTTCAATTCGAACCAACATTCACCATTCATTCTCTACAGCTTACATCAAACCAGACTCCGGCACTCCCTTTGATCTCGTTGGCTGCCGTTCCTTTTATAGCGTATTCGCTGTTATTCTTCCATCCCTTGGCCACGCGATCACTGGCGCAGGTGTCTTCCATGCCGCAACATGTCGTTCTATCCTATCCATTCACTCTTATTTTTGCATCAGTGTTCGGGCCTCTTGCGTTTTCGCAGATACCATGTTGGACGGATCTCTTCGTGGCTTTCTTGATCTATATCGGTATGTGGATGCTGCTTTGTGATGAAAATAATGCTAATTGAATCTACAGGTCTGCAACCAGAAAGTGTGGAATCTATGACTGCCGCTCCTCGCACTTCCACCTCGCGTCTGATCCGATCATACCTTAAGACCATATTGTCTAATGCCGAGTCTCGAAAGATCTTCTACTTTCTGATGCTCAACATGGCGTATATGTTGGTTCAAATGCTGTATGGTGTATGGACCAATAGCTTGGGTCTAATTTCCGATGGTCAGTCCTTATTGTGCAGTTCTGCGGATAACGTCGTTTATCTAGCACATTCAGCGATCCATATGGCCTTTGACTGTATGGCCATCGGTGTAGGACTCTTCGCCTCCGTCATGGCAACCTGGGAACCAAACGAGCGATATACCTATGGGTAAGTAGAGTCATCTGCGGTAGATATTTGGTATATTCATATGGTCCAGATATGGTCGTATCGAAACGCTTTCGGGCTTTGCCAATGGTATATTCTTGATCTTAATATCTATCTTTATTGTGTTTGAAGCTATCCAACGAATGTGAGCTTCTCCTTTGACCGGAAGAAACCTATACTAACATGGTATAGTTTGGAACCACCAGAAATGAACACAAGCCAGTTGCTACTGGTCAGTTCTTTAGGATTGGCCGTCAACTTGTTTGGGATGTTTGCCATGGGCGGCCATCATCACCATGTATGTCTTTTCAATTTGGTTATGATTCCGGGCTGACATATTCTTAGGGAGGTCATTCTCATTCTCATGGACACTCTCATTCGCACAATGACCACGATCATGATGCTTCCCATCTCCCTCATAACATCTCTCCGCCTAATACTCATTCACACTCACATTCTGCATCTGTGTCGTCAGGTACCCATTTGCATTCACATAGTCACTCGCATTCGCATTCGCAGTCGCACACACATTCACCAGACTGTGATGACTCGCATCTTCATTTAGAACCACAGTCTCCGCATGTATCACACGAGGAATCTCACTCGGATTCACACACACATACAGGATCGCACTCTGAATCTGATCTTTCGCACTCACACTCGCACTCACCACCTCCGCAGGTCAACGGTCACCACTCTCACGGACCCGAGCTTTCACATCCTCCGAGTGCGTATGCGGAGCGTACCAAGCGCCATATTCCTCCTTCGCTGAAAATTCATTCGATAAATGATACACCGGTTCTTTCAGCAGTAACACCTCATGTTATTGCATATGATGACGTCCCTTCGCCTATCACCCCAACGTATCGCTTTGGCGATGATCACCATCTTCAAACATCTCATTCTCCTTCGGCCCACCATCATGACCACGAGGGGCACAGCGATAACATGCGTGGAGTCTTTTTGCATGTTATGGCGGTAAGAACTAGTTCGTGGCATGATATTCCTGCTGATTTTCTTGTAGGACACACTAGGCTCCGTAGGTGTCATCGTTTCAACGTTACTGATCCAGGTGTACGGGTGGACGGGCTTTGATCCTATTGCCTCTCTTTTTATTGCTGTCCTAATTGCAGGGAGTGTCCTGCCTTTAGTCATCGATACAGGCAAGGTTTTATGCCTAGATGTTGCCGAACAAGACGTCAAGATTGAGAGTGCTTTGTCTGAGGTTCGTCTCTGTGGATAGCACAGTACTAGCGTTGTTAACTGTCTCCGCTTACAGCTAAGATCTATCGAGGGTCTCGCCTCCTATTCCCAACCGCGATTTTGGCCCAAAGATGCCTCAAAAACGATTGGATCAATACATATACAACTTGCACCATCTTCAGCATCGGTCGATCCCGGTGGTCCCCACTCTAGTCAAAGACTGTCATACACGCAAGTAGATCGCGTCACTGAGCGTGTCGACACTCTTCTGCGGCAAAGAATTAGTGGTTTGGAGGAATTGACAATACAGGCTGAAGAAGTCAAGGGTTATACAACGACGTGACCATGTATGCATATTATGACGAGCCTCAGTACTGGATGTAAAAGTTGTATCTAGAAGCCACGATGTGGCTGTGCAAGTCAACCTGCGTTGAACTTTGATGAGCCTTTCATCTTTGTCCTTATTTCCCGCGACACAAGCGCAGATAATTGAATCAAGGCGTCGAACGTTTAAAGAATGGGGAAGATCTATGACTGAGGAGGAATATTTGCGTCGGGACGCCGAAATGGATAACGACGAGCATGCATTCAATAGAAAACTGATAACTTGGTAAGGTTCTAATCGCGACACATCAGAGTTTTATTGATTGATATCAGGGTATTATGTTCGCGAGAAGACCCCGAATCACTCGAATTTAAATGTTCTTGCGAAACGTAAGTAACGTCGAATTATTTTTGAAAATATCGGTGACTAATATATAACTAGCTTTCGACGCAAGGGCCTAGTCCTGCGAAGAAATAGCGAACAGCCAAATAATGACATGCCAGAGGAAGTAACTTGTTATGCAATTGCGTCGGTGTTTGCACCAGAACGGTTTCGACACCGAGGGTACGCGAAACATATGATGCGCCTGCTACACTGGGTATTAGCTCTCAGTTCGTCTTTGCCATCCACATTCCCGGAAGCATGGGGCTTCCCCCCGGAGAGACCTATTTGGTTGGCATATGGTCATTTTTCAGCTTTGTGGAGTGATGTCGGCCATTTCTATCAGTCCTGCGGTCCTACGACTAGTGATTCTGAAGGTTGGGTGGTAAGAGACGCGATTTCTACCGTATGGGATCTCAAAGCTGGCGACATGGATGTCGAGGATGTCTCAGTGTCCGGTCGGGGGTTGCAATGGCTCAGTGCAGGTGACGTAGAAACGTTGCATTCTGTTGATGACCAGAGAATCATGGTAGACATGGCGGCCATGTCGCTGCATTCGAACCCTGGGGAGACCGTGTTATTCTCGTTTTTGCCAGGACAAGGTGTTGAAACATTCCAAAGAAGAAGACTGGAGCATGTCTGGAGAAAGTTCAAACCTTCGGTGGAATACTGGGGCGTCGTCCGTGAGTCCAAATGTCCCACAGAGCCCGGTGCGACCACTGCGACACTCGACAAGCAGACTTCAATAGCGACGTGGACTTTCGATTTGAAACCTCCGACCCTGTTCGTTACTCGTCTGCGGGCAAACAAAGAAACCTTTGTGGATCTTGTGTCGGCGTTGAAGTTCGTTGCCAGAAAACACGGGATGGAGAAAATAGAAATATGGAATCTACCGGAAGCGCACAAGAAAATAGCACAGGACTACGGTGCTGTACATATGGAACGAGGAGAGCATCTTCCAGCGTTCAAGTGGAATGGAGCAGAGTCCCCGAGCAACGTTGTATGGCTGAATAATGAAAAGTGCGTTCCTCCACGCGCTGAAAACTTTTTTGACTAATGATTTTCAAGGTTCTGCTGGTGCTGAGCTGTATAGGCAATTCCTGGTTACTAGTATATTGTTCATGTGCGGCCAGAACACTTGATTCAGAAACCAAATCAGAAAGTCACAACATATTATCAATGAACTTATGCGAGAAGCCGGGACTTCGCAAGTCCGCGTCGTCTAGTTCTTGTAGCAGTTTCCTTACGTTTTATGCAGGACTCCAAGGTTTTGTGGATAAGGGATAAAGCCGTAAGGCGGCTATATTCTTTCTTCCTGTCGATCTCGATCTCGATCCGATAAGTTCATCATCTCTGTCCATCTGCTACGCCGACCGACTTCACGAATGATAGTGGAAGGTGGGTGTTGGGGGGGGGGGGGGGGGGGCGACACCACGATCTGGGATGTCGAAATACCCTCTACGTGGACGCTGAAAATTAGGATTTAGACGAGAAATAGAGGCGCTTTGCTGTGGACGATTTACGAGTCTTGTATCCAGTCGATAAAGAAAAGCTCAAGCAGGAGCTGATTGCAAAATCGTTGTCTTTGGAAAGACCCTCCTGCCCTTCTGCCTAGTCAAGGCGTCGAAATGTTCCAGTGAACGAGGTCGAAATACTCTCGGGGAAAGCTGGAGCCATCAGTAGCGTGCTGGGGCATCACCTCCAGGATTTCTGACAAGGTTACACAACGTTGTATCTGCCCTCGCGACTTGGACTTCCGAAGACCGCCTAGCTGTAACTCGACTACAGGAAAACCTTGGGGACTTGGTATCAGTCTTACACTATATGCTGCTAGAAGACATAGGGTTGGGATGGGGAAGATAGAACTGATTTCATGTCAAGGTTCTGCTTAGCATCAGCGCTGAGCAGTGGCGGTAGCTGTAGGACGGGTTTTCTTACCCTGCGAATATTGCTTCAGACGACGTCACAGTGAGTGTACTTAAGACTATTAAATTCCCTATCACTGCCCCCGATTCTATCTTAATATGCGAATGCAGTACAAGGAAAGTGGTATATCTGAATTACTCTGTACAGTTAGATTTCCGTCCCAGCAAAAATGAGCGAATGAAAAGCCAACCGCTAACATCTACGCCGCATTGCCATTTGGCGCACTGTCTCCATTTGCTGCTGGGGTATGTGCGGCCGTGTCGGTAGGATTCCACGGGCCGGCATCGCTCAACGAGCATCCCCCTTCGCACTGGCATAGTCCTCCGAAATCCTTCGGAAGATTCTCGGCCGGGATCTGAGCCAGCAACTTATCTTTATAGTCACTCCCAATGATGTCGATCTTGCTGACGGTGACTTCATCCAACCACGGCTTGATAATCCGCCATACGGCACTGAATGCCCAAGGCGCATTGATGATGTAGAACTTGCCCATGGATTCTGGGTACCTGTTCTGCCCGATGGACGAAGCCGACATGACATAGTCCTTGACCTGATAGAAGTTGCTGAGAGACACGTTCCACAGGTCAAGAATTGTGCAGGATGTTTCTACGGGGTGTCCGCAGGCTTTGGAACAGGCGGGTAGGCGGTCGCTGTAATTCTTCTCGTACTCGTAGACAAGACGTTGGAGTTGACGTTCCTGGGTTGTGATTCTGTAGAGCTCTTTTATGTTAAGGTAGCCAAGACGTTCGATGTAAAGCGGTCGACCATCCTAGGAAAGAAACAAGGGCGATTAGAAGAGACAGGGGCATTGCTGGGTCAGCGGGGCTTACCTTGTCCATCTTGTGGTAATACTGAGGATAATACTTGTCCACGTCTTTCTTTTCCTTGAAGTCGAAGTTCCTGATATAGAATGAGAAGTAATCATGTTGCGAGAGGAGATGTCGTACTTCATAATCTCCTCAATGCCAAATTCCTTTCTCCACTGCTCACACTCTTGCAGCATTTTTTTAGCGGCCACAATATCGAACTTGCGGGCTCTCAAGAATCTAATAGAAGCGGAGTAAGTCATCCGCCAGTATCGTGGGCACTAAAATCCTGTCGTACGACAAAATAAGAGCCTAGCAGAGAAATAGGGACAGACCTAAGCATAAGTTCATCGTCCATTCTTTCCTCGACGAACCAGCCCTCGTCCTTGACTTCTTTCTTGAACTTCTCCAAAGAATGAAGCATCGCGATGGTAAGATTGCCTAAACGGCCGGGGCCAGGTCTGTAGTTGGGGTCGGTGACTCCCGCAGGCATGGGGCTTGCACTGGCGGCTTGGGGTTGTGTGGAAGACATTAGGACGGCAAAAAAGTGGAAAAACCCAGGCAACGTCGATGTCGATTTCTTATCGCCCAATGCAAAGAAAAAGAAAAGTGGTCAAAGATATTGATATGAAAAAACGGTAAACGGATAGTGACTGTCGAGTTGGTGGTGATGGTGGGTGAGTGAGGGAGCTGCCTAGGGGCTCGGACCCTAATAAGGCTGTTCCACCCTAACTTGGACGTTGGCGTTCACCCCAAATTCACTACTTGTCGTGTGCGCAGTCAATAGCATTTCTGTGCTTTCAGCTACGGTAACAACCTTGTCAAGATATTCTTCTACTCTGCCACCTGGCATTATGGAATTTCGACCCGCCGTTTCCTGGCAACAAGAAAAGAATTCTAGCTGCATTACTTAGCAGAGAGGTCATTTAGGTGCAGCTAAAACGTGTGTTTGCTCTCTTGGCAATCTCGGCATGCCAGCGTTCCACCATCGCAGCAGAGATGGTTCGACAATAACATACGTACATACTTGAGAACTGGGACCGAAAGAATCGTCGATTCCACTGCCATCCCGGCTGGTCTGATGATGTGGCATATTGCGGATTACGGTTACTTATTCTTGGCTAGTGGCCCTCAGCTGGTGCATCACCCAGGTGTAGCACGCTCTCAAGGTCAACAATACTGTACATGCATCTTGACCAGGGTCCAGAATGAAAACTCCCCCCCTACCACCATTGAATATAATATTACAGCGCTGATTTCCTCATTCAGACCGACATATGTTAATCTCTGACTGTTGGGCATTCGTGATTGTACGGGATCCGGACAAGGGAGAAGGCTTTTCAACATCCACAACCACCACCATATGAGGAAGTAGTGTCTGGCGATTCTAAGTAGTCACCAATGAATCTACTTACTATTTTCACAGCTTTTTTTTTCAGTGCAAATCTGAACAGTTGGCTGCTTTGCTGAAAGCCTCGAGCTCAAGGGGACAAAGAAAGTAACCAGGCTACTCTTTCAAGGTAACTGGTCAAATGAAATGATTTACATTTACTTGGAATGCTGAGTCTAATAACAGAAGAATATAAGTAACAATCTACAAAGGAATGTGAGTGATATAGTAAAGAGCATGATAATGGTATACAGACTTCAGTCAGGCACAGTGTAGGTGAAATGACTGAGGTATACAGGTATTTATGGCCAGGCTATATAGGTGATTGGGTAATGACAGGGGGCATGTATATATGTTAAGTAAGAATAAGTGATAATCAAAAGAGAGTAGGTGATGATTGAAAGGGTAATTGTTATGATTTTTCCCTTTTCTTTCCTTCGAACCCCTATTTATGCTCAGTCAAGGTGTCAAGGACAAGCACTTAAAAACTGTGGGAATGGCTTAGTCATCACAACAAGCCAAATTCACCATGGTTTTCCAATGCAACCGACATCCAGCGACAAGCACACAATTGACCTTTTATATATGGTAATGATGACCAAGGACAATGGACCTCCAGGACAGAGACATACACAATAAGTGTGAAGTATTAATAGTGAACCATGTACAATATTTAAGAAGAGTGTTATGATTTTTTCCTATCTTTGCTTAGTCAGGGTGCTTAGGCCAGTGCTTAGGACTGTGGGAATGCTTAGCTCAGCAACCCAGTTGGTCATTGTCTTATCGCTGCTGTGCACTGTCAAAAGAGAGACAATGCTTCTTTTGTCCCCAAATTGCAGTGCAGCAATAACAGCATAACAGCAGTACCACAGCTTTTGTGGAGAGCCTGGCAACAGCAGGGGGTAACAGCTCTACAACAGACAATATCTTTTGTGAACATTTATTAATAGCTAGATAACAAGAACAGTATTTAAGTAGTGTAGCTCTTGCTGTAATACCCCAGCTTCAAGCTAAAGTTTATTCTCTACCATCCTATCTTGAGCAACTTGCAAATGCCTTGATCACACACCTCTGTTAACACATCAGTGAACTCAGTCAGTCTAACCCAAAGTGCGAGGTTCTGAACTGTTTATCACATGTTGATAGTCACATGGAGTTTGGACTTAACAATTAGCTTGAAGCTTCTAGCTTTCCTTCCTCAAGCCCAATTGTGCTGAGGAACTGAATGCCATCTACCCTTAATCCTTCCGATCCAAACTTTACTCATGAGTTCTTCAAACTCTTGGCATCTATTATAGGAATCCTGATCAGTTTATTGGTGATCATACAGCTGTGCCATGGACATCAATCAATCATAGCTTGGACAATCAGGCACTATCACAAATTTCAATGTATTTGAACCATCCTCTGAAATATCACATCAGACCTCCCCCTCCACAACATCCCTGCCTCTGCCTAACAGTCCTTCTGACCCACAGAAGGAACAGACCCTGAAAGCATCTCTAAGAGCTCAGCTCAGGAACATCCTAGAGAAGAAGAGGAGCAGTGTCAGCAGCATACATACCCCCCATGACCCCTGACAGCAGTCATCTAAAACACTGGAAACCCTTAGGCTATGGAGTTTTAATGACCCAGATCCAACACCCCCATTCTGTCCCCCCAGCATAGCATCCCGGCAACCAGAACAGCAACCCCTGTCTCTAGCACCAGCATTAGACATCATGCCAGAGACTCTCTGGATGCCCCATGGATGGCTTGAGGAACCTGAGGTTCCAGGGGCCATGAGTCTTGATCAACCATATCCATAAACAACAGAAGAACTAACAGCAGAGCCAGGGCTGAAAATGACTAGTATTGGCCTGATAACAGTGACAAGCACCACTGGTGGCAGACTGCCACCGTCAAGGCTGACCAGATGGAGTGTGGCCCAGCTAGCGGTCATACTAGCTGAGCAGAAAGCACACAAGTGGTATCAGTGGGAACATGGCCAGCCAATCCTGCTGCTACAGTTCTCCTCAGAGAGGACCAAGTTCAACATACCAATCACATTTCTGAGCACAGAGAGGAGCAGGCATGTATCGACAATGAGATCATGAGAGAGAATGCTCTTTTTGGGTGCTACCTTCAAGCCTGAGCAGCAGAAGAATGAAGGAGGATGGAGGGGGGAAGCTTTACCAACATTCTTGTTGGAACCACCACTCTTGACTTGCCTTTCTGGGAATCTACCACTTCCACCATTGAGTCTGACCCCTGGGCAGACCCCATCAAGAAAGAGGCCCAGCAAAACCTTGATGACAACCACCCACTATCTTACAGGACTGACACTATTGCTGAGACAGATGATATCCTGGTCTGAGGAGATGGAGTCCCAGCAGAAAGAGGCACAATCAGGGAAGACAATGAGGGTATCGACCCAATCAGTGACCTCAAGAGGTTTCTCGATGGAAGTTTCACAGCCCTCTTTCTTAACTCAAAATTTTACAGAAACTTCTGCCAGTATTGTAGAGCAATGGCACACACAGCAATGAGCATTGAGGAGCTGCCAGAGCAGTCTGAGCAGCTGCCTACTCCTTGCTCTGGACCTGATGATGCCAGACCCAGCATGCAGCCTCAGCATGGCCATTCCAGAGGTCTACGACCTGTGTGACAGTTCTCTCCTTGAGGGGGATACAGACAGTGAGACCACCAGCAGAGATGCAGACAATGAGAGGGAGGAGGATTATGACAAGGGAGTCATGGACCCTTCAACTGACTGGGTCAGCTCATGGAATATCAATACACATGAACAGAAGCAGAGAGAGTTAGCATGAGAAGCATGAAAGGAGGATTTTATGGAGTTGTTCTGAGAAGGAATGACAATATTGTGGATGGACAACATCTGGTTGGTGTCACTCATGGGACAAAGGTATCTCTCCACTGATCATGTCAAGCATGCAGAGATTTTACAATATATGGCCACTGAATAAGCCATTTTTATTTACAATAAACAATATTTAGGACATCAGATGCAGGCATTACCACTATACAGGCTGAAGTACAGCACAACACTAAGACTGTGGATGCCAATTATTGTGCTGAGCCAGCTGGCCAACATGGTACCTACTATCCGAACAATGTCATCAAGATACTCATTTGCTACCTTCACCATTTGCAGTATGGTATTTTGGCTTTCTCAATACTGACTCAAGCTGAGTAGTCACTATCTGAACCCATAGAGGTTCCTGGTTCAGTGACCATTCACCAGACAGCCACCACCAGATAAAGCCGAAGGCAGCAAGGATCCCAAGCCTGCTGAACTGGCCCCTACAGAAGATGATCCTGTGGCACTTGCCTAGGGCTAGACCATCAAGAATAGATGGATCATATGAAAGACAGTTCCTCTGCTGGAAAGTCCTATCGCTGATGACAGCTCTCTCTATTCTTTCCCAGAATCCCTGAGCAAATGGTCAGGACCACCCACTGGAGGGTGGCCCAACCCAATGCCTGCTCTTGATGCAGGGGCTCAAATTCTTAATGTCAGACTGGTTCTGGTGGCAAAGCCCAAACTCTTTTGGAGAGCTTCCAATGATATTGACTGATTCCTGGTCGATTGCAACTAATACTTTCAGGTATTCACACCATACTTCCTTGCCGACATGTACAAGGTCACCTTTGTGGTCACTCATATGGCTGACAAAGTGAAGACCTGATGGGTCTTAATCTCCCCAATATTCTGGTCCACCATGAGAGCTCATCACTGATACCTCTCATGGCTGGTATTCAAACAAATGATTGTTGACAAGTTTATGGATCTGGCTGTCCAAGAAGTCCACAAGCAGAAGATGAAGAAATATAAGATGGCTGGCAAAGCTGCTACTGATTACTTCAATGAATTAGAACGACTGAGATGGCTTGCCAGAGTTTACAATGACATTGCAGACTCTGGATAAATAGTCAAATACATGAAGATGGGCCTACTATCTCATTATCTCATCACTATCTCTGACATCAGATAAGAGATCTCTATTGGATATGATGAGTGGAAGGCCTGAATCATCACTATATACAAAGAATGACAACAACAGAAGGCAGAAGCGACGACTCTGGCATATGGAACTTATAGAAGCCAGAGGCAAGGATCGAAGTCTTCCACCCCAGCTACAACCACATCTGCTAAGCCCAGGAGCTCGACCCCAACTTCTTTTGGAGAGAAGCGAACTGATATGGGCACAACATTTATCAGAACAGATCAGCCAATAGATGTGGATTGCCTCAAGAAGGGGGGAAAGTGTTTCAATTGTAGCCAAAAGGG